TGAAAAATCCTTAGCACGTTCCTCAGCTGCTATGGTTCAACGACGGAGTATTGCTTTGAGTGCCTATGACTATACGGTTCAGCACAGGAGTGCCAAACAAATTCAACATGTTGACTACATTTCTCGACAGTCATTACAAGATAAACCTGTAAATATTTCAGACTGTTTGTTAGTGCAACCTTTACCAGTGAAACGTCTGGATCTCATTATATAAACTCGTAAATACTTTGGATGTATAATTAATGCTATACGGAAAATTTGGAATGCTAATTTGAAACGTAGATTTCCTATCTATTTTTCAAAGCGGGATGAGCTATCTACTACTCCTGATGGTATTTTGTGTTTAAATGATCGTGTTGTTATTCCTCCTTCATTGCGTAAATCTGTCCTAGAAGATCTTCATAGTGGACATTTAGGTGTTGAAAAAATCAAGTCATTGGCGAGGCTCACATGTTGGTGGCCAGAGATAAGTGCAGATATTTGTCGTACAGCAAACAATTGTGAAAAGTGTCATAAGCTGAAAAATCAGCATTCGATGTGGACTCCATGGCCAGTATCGTCTGAGGCCTGGCAGAGAATTCATGCAGACTATTGTTGTCCGTTTCTTGGCAAATACTATGCGCTTGTAGTTATTGATTTTTTTTCAAAGTGGCCTGAAGTTTTTTTCACAACTTCACCAAATTCTGACTTCACAATTCAAGCATTAAGAAAGGTGTTTAGTCTAGAAGGGGTTCCAATGGTGTTAGTAGCTGATAACAGCTCTCATTTTGCTGCAGATGCAGTCACTACCTGGTTAAATGGTATAGGGTGCAAACATCTGTTTACTGCTCCCAGACATCCTTGTTCCAATGGTCAGGCAGAAAATTTTGTCAGGACGTTAAAAACTGCCATTGATTCTATTGCTGCCTCAACATTTAATGAGTTGGAGAGGGGAGTAGATACCTTTCTACTGCAATATAGAAATGCCAGACATTCGGTGACGAAAGAGACTCCATCAAAACTATTAAAAGGAAGAACTCTTCGGTCGAATATGAGATGTTTGGAGTCTGCAGAAGTTACGTATTATCGTGGCAATGATCTTCGATCATCCACGGGGATTGTTCTGAAGAATGTCGGGAAATCTATGGTGCGACTTCTAGATATCAATGACTTAAGTACACACAATCGACATGTTGATCAAATACAATTGCAGCAACCAGGTGAGTCTGTTCCGATTTCAGTTGTTAATTCTAATACTAATGAGTGCATTCTAGATAATACAGAGTCTTTATCCAATACATTGTCGGACAGACAGCATGAACTTGAGGAGAAGACGTACAATCGATTACAGACACTTAGATTCTAATTTAAGCTGTGGCGGATGTGGTGTTTGAATGAACTAATGACTCCTTTGTACTTGTTGAATGTTCGATTTCGAATTCTAAATACAGCACATTCGTTAGTGCTTGTGTGGTACTTCTTAATTCAATTGCGTTATCCCTGGGATTCTTAGTTCATACTATAATTCAATTACTTCTAATTATCATACAAACTCTTCATGATAAAGTTTGAATTGGGGTTGGAAGTCTGATATAGTCTTAGCTGACTAAGAATTTAAAAAAGTGGATAAGAATCCTTAAAGATATTTTACTTATTATGCTTTCTCGAAAAAATATGTCTAAATTGCACAACTCGACCATAATGTGTCTTAACATATGGCTGACAATCCAATGTAAATGTCACTTGATAACTGCTACCATATCATACTAAAAATGATTTTAGCTAGCCTTGTGGTTTCCATTCAAAAATGGGGTCTCGATGTAGAAGACTAGCAAACTTTGCTAGCTCGATTCGGATAACAACCACGTTCAACAGAGCGAGAAATTTATGCTCCATACCGAAAATTTATTTTAAGAACTAGAGCTCAGTGTTCATAATCAAACCGATCAAAAGGTTTATAAATGCTAAAAATGCTGCCAGTAAATGACACGACCAAAATTTTAATGTGGAGTTTCAACACAGAAAAGCTACAAACGGGATTTCATTAAATTGTGCTCAACTACATTGAAATGTATAGTGAACAAAGTCTTTCTGAGTCTATCTGCTGGAGAGGTGTAGATCAGAACAAACTGTGTTCTTTGCAGGATTGTGTTGGTGCACGTTTATTGGCTATTTATTAACCAATCAGCACTAATGGATATTTGGAGAAGATTCCGGAATCTTCGTGTGATTTCTACCCCTACTCAAATTTGTTTGCTTGCAGTATAATCACGTCCCTCTTTAACCGTGCTCAAACATTTAACATATTTCTGAAGTAGTGTCCAATATTACTAAACAATAACAGTAGCCGAGCCATCATACCAGAATTCACAAGACACTCATTTGAAAGTATAATAAAACACAAATCTTATTCTTAATCAGGTTAGTCCTAGTCAAACAAAGCAAAAAGATTATACCAAAAGTGCAAAATACTTCAAACATTACAGCTTACTATACATAAAGAAAACGATGTGTACTAATCGGCAAAGAAAATGATAAGAAATAGATACCTGGGAATAAGGAAAAGTATTCTCAACAAGATGACATGAAATATTTATCCACAAGAATACCAAACCGTTTTCATCAGGGAGTCAAACAACTGGAATGATCAACCGCTCAATTCCGTAACCTTATATCTTATCAAACATGACTTTATTTTTATTCATCAGGGATCATACATCGACGGAATCAAATACCTAAAGCAAATCTTATCCAAAATAAAAAATAAAGGTCCATAACAAGCAGAGTGAGAAACAAAATAAATGATTAAAAATTAAAAGACAAGGCAAAGTAAAAGTTCAAAAAGATAACGATATTATACAGTAAAACGCTTGCAGTGATGTTCTCGGTTATCCTTTCTGTTACGGTGTAAATCTATATCCTTGACATTAGAAACTGGGAGATGTTCCATTTATAATGTATTCTCTACAAGAATTTCAATTTGTGTTCGAAATTCTTTGAAGCATTTGTACAGAATGATAGTTATGTTGTACGTACTTAACGAAGCTATTCCAGTTTGAAAATAATGCATTCTAGTGAGTCTGCTGTATGTGAAGTAGTATTTAGGCAGGAATCAGAAAGATAGTTTTCCCTCTGTTTCTGTAGCCTATCATCAATGCAATATGTGACCGCTGTTTACAAACTAAAGATCCCAGAAATAACGCAATTAAGACGAAAAAAGTTCTAGGTGATCATGAACGGACGTATTGAATTTGGAATCCAAAATTCGGCAGTCATCAAGTACAAAAGATTCATTAGTTCATTCAAACACCACAAATATCTCATTACATTCATTTCGCTAATGAGTTTCACAGGTGTATTCGCATCAAGCACAAAGGTAGAAAGTCTTTCACATACAAAGTGGAGAATGTCAGTATCAGAAATATTATGAGGAACAATCATGTGACCGGTCATATATCACACGTCCTTTAGTGATCATATTTCTGTGGTTAAAACTTGTGAGGCCTTTAAATTTGTCGTTTGTTTGGACCGGTTGATATACATCGAAGAACTCTGTACTTTAGTGGCCCGAGATATGACTCCAAGTAGATCATATGAATGTTTTTTATCGCCTATCCTCGTATATAATCATCGACTTAAATCGCGTTAGTTAATAACGGAATTAAATAGGTCGAATAACGAGAATGGACTTTTGAATACATATATTTTGTAAATCAAGCGAGTGGAATAGAACAAAGCGTTAATCAATATTAATAGGCACACAAAAATGAGTTACAGTCATGTAATGAGTAATGGGATAAAAAATGTACACACACCTACGCGCTCATATAAGCGAATAATTGACAAGGTTAGAATGTGCCTCAAGTAGAATGAATAGAATTGGCTGTCCGAAAGCTAGAATAAGGTATATGAGCTTAACATAATAACCAACACTACAAACTCAAATGTACAGAAGGACATGGAGGAGAAATACATTATCCAGCAATAACAAGTAATAACATTAGATTAGTTTATTCTGCTCTTATTAAAAGAACCCACTTACCAACATGTGATTACTGATTCCTCCAAATTAAGAAAAAACTCAATTACGTGTTTCCCGTAAGATTAACACTCAACCTCATTATCAAATGCTTTGAGAAGAAAGTAAAAGACTTCCAAACTCTTGTTATTCACAATCATGAACTCACGCACACTTTGAACGTTTCCCAAACTTTCTCCAATTAGTTGTAGCGTGTGAAACCAAACCTCACCTTGCTAAGGTAACCTCGTCTGTAAAGCTTAACGTAAATGCCCTGAAAAACAAAGACCTGCATACCATTACCACGTTGAAAGAAGACAACCCCTGTCAAAGGTCTAAAATTTTTCATTAGGTTCTTACATATTTTCATAAGACAGACGGGTAACTGCATTGTAACTTATATACAATAAATCTTTGAAGTAACGAAACTTTTGTGTAGATGATTCCTTTGTTAATTGAAATAGCCCGAAAACGTAACATAGGTGTAAAAGGGGTTTTCACGGGAAGCTTTAAGATAATATAAATCGAACTCTCATTCCTCGTTTCCTAAAGCATCAGTAAGGACGTCATGGTAAATGACATCAATTGATATCCCAATGGTTTCGAGTTTAAGTAATAGCGCAAACAATTCTTCAGAATCTGAGTAAGACTGTTCCACATTTTGATGGCTTCTAACCTAAGTAACTGTAATATGATGACATCAGAATATTTAATGTACTAGACTCTCATATCTTTATATTTCACACTCCTTAGATGACATTATATATAGACCTCAAAAGATTTTAGTTGAAGTTCTAAAAAGATCTTCCAAATCGAATGCAGCAACATATGAAATAATTATTGGTTCATTGAAAAAAGATTGTGCCGACTCTTGTTTTAAATGTTATCAACGACTCGCCGCTGAATATGGATTTTTTCTGAAAAGAAAGAGGAAATGATTTCTTTATCTGTATGTTGAGAAGCCGATTACTTATCAATAATTATAGCAGAGAAAAGATGATCATTCATCATTTGTTCGTCCAGTCGCTTCATTCAATGAAAGCGATGTCACGTGTAGAGCGGATAAGAATGGTTTTGATATTTGTAAAGTTTTGAAACTACTTACTGATCCTCATACAGTAAGGCTCTTTGTTTTACATAGATATTGCTAGGATTTTATGTATGAAAGGCACAAAATAGCATTGAGAAACTTGAGGACTGCGAGTTCGCTTGGTGTTGTATCCTTTTAATACATTAGTGGTTTGACTTTGCTTTTAATCGATTTACAGTATGCACTCGTTTTCGAGTATTTTGTGAGACTGTTACATTATTTTGAAAGGTCTATTCGGAAATTTGAGGTTTTTAATATACTGATGAATTAACTTTTCATTCATGAAAACAAATAAATTGAAGATAATTACAGTTATTATTGAATAAATGGTTTAGTTTCATCTTGCCTTTAAAAAGTACGAAATTCCTTTAAAAATATGTTTCTAATTGTGATGGAGTGTCTCTGTCCATCTTATCTTTCCCAGGATGACTCTGAAAAATACAGCATCCTAGACGAGAATATCAGTAGTCAGCTGATATATTATTGGTTCTGGGCTTATGAACATATTCAAAGTTCCCCGTACATTATCTGAAGTTTATGCTGATAATTTCGTTTGAAAGGACGATGAAAGCTCCACGACCAAACCATCCAGCTCAGAGAAAAAAACTCTGTCAAATTAACTCTTGATGTTTTAACTCTGTAGTCTACAGGCTTTATCACCACTAATGGAAATCTGTGGGTTAAGGTCAGATGTATTATTTTTAGAATTAATCATATGCACTCCTCTCTTTTGTTGTGGGCAGTCAATATCATTACAAAAGTTGGCTATCTAAATTAAATATGTTAAACTTATCATACTCTTCCACGTTCGACAAAATGAGCCTATCCTCCGATCTTAAATTTTATTACTTTTAGTCTGATTGCCATCAAACTGACTCGACCAGCACTATGGGACACTAGTAGAACAAACGTTTGGTCCAACGGGGTTATTAGGACATACAGGCCTAGTAGCAGTTAGTGTGATAGAATTAAGACTATGAGTTCAGAACTGCTTAGGTATCATCATATAATTATAACACATATACTCCATAACGTCAGGCTCTAAACTTATAATATCTATCAGACAATATACGGTCACTTGTTAAAAGATCCCACATGCTAATACAGTTCTGTTTCTCAACAGTGAGAAGAAACAAACCTATTATTAGTTCTTCTTCTGAAGATCTGTACCCATAAAGCTTGATCAATAATTTAATCTTACGTTTATTGAAATAAAGTCTTGCTTTACCTAAAAAAAATCACTGAATGCATGCATAATTGTCGCGTCTAAAAATTTCACAAACAAAATCTTCCTTATCAGTGATTCATGATCTAAATCAAAATTTTTTTCTTGTTTGTCATGATGAATGTTTTGTGTTGCTTAGACATTCAATATATTAATGGTCATCAAATATCTATTTTTTTCATTGTTAATAAAAATTTAAATGATCTCTGCTAATTTCTTTTTAACATACTAAACTATTTTTAAAAAATATAAATAATTTAGAACATACATGATCTTGTACATTATCAAAATATTTTAAAAGTATGCGCTGAACGTGTTTTACATTTACCGGATGTTTATCATCAAATATTTCTTGAATTAATTCAATTATGCAGCAAATCATTTTTGAAAAAGTTCAGTTCAGATGAAATGAATTATTTCAATGTAGCAGTAGATTTTATAAATCATTTTGGTTTGTTAACTATCTATGTAACTAAATCATTTTGTCTAATAGGATATCTTTTAAAATTGAAAAATGTTGAGATCTGTGCAAGTGTTTGTTATTCATTGGAACAGTTCTATTTTACAGGAAGTCAATTAAATGATATACCTGAAGGTAGATAATTATTTTAAATAACTGTGAACAGATTATTATTATAGGCTTGTTCTAGTTCATAATGATATTAATCTATCTTATTTTGGCTGAGACCATGAACCGATCAATGTTGGACCATCACTAAGAAATTGGATGTACCGGATGATCGTGTCGTCCCAGCATAGAACACGTCAACAGTGTTCATCCACTATGCACCCTTCAAGGACTGGTTTAAGGAATTTTGATCTCCCATACAAACTTTTAATCTGTGGACTGTTAATCTGAAATCTAATAGTGAACGTGTTTAATTTCAAACAATTCGCGATATTGTGTGATCATTTTATATTCCCTGCTTTGGATAACCGCTTCATACTGAACGTTGTTGGTCTTCTGTTGCTCACAGTTTCTCACTAGAACTTTGGACTAGTTGGATAAGTTACTGACCGAATAAAATGGAAGACGGTTGCGCAATATTGTGGAAAGGTTGGAGTTGGTCTTACACATCATCGGATTTGAGCTCAGTTGTCTAGATTTTAACCATTTTCTCACGAGAACAATGACCCTTAATTTGATTCGTAGTAGATAGATTGTTGGCCAGATACCATCAGTAACAGCCTTACAGGGGAGCGAACAAGCCAGCTTTCGAATGAAGAAAAAATTAAGAAAAGACGTTGGAGGTGGGTAAGACAAACGTTGCGAAAATTAATAAACCTCATCATGAGGCAAGAGCTAACTTAGAACCCTGAGAGGAAAAAGAAAAGAGCAAAGCCAAAGAACACACTACGTAAGGAATTTGAAGTAGACATAAAAAGAATTAATAGGGACGGGAAACAAATGGAAGGATTGCCTATGACAGAGTTCGGTGGGAAATGTTTGTTGGAGGCCTATGTTCTTCCACAAGGAGTGACAGACGTAAGTAAATAAGTAAGAAAAGGTCATGATCGCTTTCATCTGAAGAGTCTCGTTGTGAAATAAAACGACCGTCTAGTGCTCCCGGGTTGTCGGAGATGAGCAATTTATATTGACTTGTGATTTCAATAAAATTCAGCAGTCTCTACAACTCCATACTGATAAAAACTATGTTTATGTTTCTGGTACCACTTGTACTAACAATAAACATTCATTAAGCCCTTAATGATGATCATGATGTCACACAAACGTAAGCTGAAGATCGTCCGGTCATACTGTAAGTCACAACAACTTTAGTTTCTTCAAACGAAAAACAATGGTTCAACTACAGTGACCGTAGTTCAGTGATAGACAATTGTCACCTGTGATTTACATTTCGGTACTGAAATGAAACCGTATTTAAGTAGGACTTCTCTATTTCTGTTCTGTTAAACATATTAAGACTTCTAGTGTTTAAACTAAAAGATGTGGTCATAGTTTTTATAATCGATTATAATCGGTAACGTTTTTTATGTTTTAAAAAATAAAATCCATCGTATTGACGAAGTGCCACTTTGTCAATCATAGTTCGGCACCAAACGTCCCAATGCATAATTGTTATATACTTACGTGTGACTGGTTTCAAAATGGATTGACTGAAGCTCTACAAGAAATATCTGGATGATGCAATTAAAAAAAGAGTCGTGAGGTAAACTCAATAAAGAATATGAATAAGGCACTGGAATTCAAAGTTTTGAACAATAAGATATCGAGTCATTGCCTAGCACAGCAGTTTAAAGATGAAATTTTCACTAGGAGAATTTCAGGCTCTGAGTTCGATCATTATACCAGTCGGAAATCCAAACTATTGAGGAACAACCTTACACCAGGTCAAAATGGCTTTCCAATGTTTTTCAGCTTTCATTAGTTACCTAACTGTTTATTAAGTAAATTGCATTCCATTTCTTAAATGTTCCTAATTCAATTAGTTTGTCTGACATCTGTCTCCTTCCTTATTTTAGAGCGTAAATTACAACCAACGACAAAAAAATTCAATCAGAAAGTTGTTTGTAACAGTGATATAATTGAATCTTTATTAAAAGTAAGTCACATTTACCATTATCATCAGTGAGTTACTGTCTAACAACTGACCCGGTTGAACTCCACTGGTCACTGCTTCTTACTGGAACTCCAGGAAATACCTTTTGAAGTCAGTCAATAGTGAGCATATGTTGATTATTATCAGAAGGGGGTTTTGTGGAGATTTTATTGATTTCAATTATTGAGCTTATGAGTCAAATAAAACTAGACCACCATGGAAAACCTGGAAGCACTGGATGGCCGTTTCGTCCTATTGTGGGACTCCTCAGCAGTGCATATCCACGATTCGCCCCCTTTGCGAGATTCGAATCCAAGACCCATCAGTCTCGCGCACAAGCGCTTAACCACTAGACCACTGAACTGTCTGGTATCCAACGGTGTTAATGTTTAACTTCAACTAATCCACGAAATCGAGCGACACATCTACTATTTTCATCATTGAGTTACTATCTCACTACTGACCCGGTTGAACTTCACAATAATTGAAATTAATAAAATCTCTACAAAACCCCCCTTCTGATAAGTTACATTCATTACATTTGTTTGTATTTTCTACACAATACTATTTCTTCTCTTATAACATTAGTGTTACTGCGAAACAAATCAATGTGAAGATCTTTGTTTAACTATACTGATATTAATGGATAAGCTAACTAAACATTCCGGTAAATTGGTATCTTCCTTTTTTTTCTATCTACAAAATATAATAATAATAATAGGAATTTGTTCAAATAAAATTATATTAAAATTAGGCGCTCAGTCTATTTGTAATCGATTAGTATTACCAATTCTATCAAATGAAATCCTATCAAGATCAATATCTATTCTTTGGAATTTAATTGATAATACAACAAATGAAACAATGAAAATAGAATGGATAAAGCAAATCGGAAGTGAAGTAAGTGAATTAATCAATGTTGATGGATGAAATTTTGTTTAGTTTTAGTTATTCACTCAATAGAGTAGTGAAGTTTCATGGCTTTTCGGGTAGAGAAAAGTTTTGAAAAGATATCAGTAGTATGGATAATTAGCTTGACCCACACTATGTAATGCAGACGTATTATCATTGACCTATACTTCTCTTTTCTTACCACATTTGGAAACTTTTATGTAAATCTAAAGCTCTGATGAGCTAATGATGAGTTAATCAGTGGATAAACGTGAAAACTATTCTCGTCTATGCTTCATATGCATGTATTCAAATGTATGTATCAAAGATACACCTCTCACAAATGCATACAGGCATATAAGTTTTTGCTCCTAAGTATAAGATACATGCATATATAGAATGCGTAAACCAAGGTCCGTACTCCAAAGATGTTAGCGCTCCAGAGCCATAAGCCCAGCTACGTTTACTCTGAAAAATATCGAATTTTCTAGTTGGTATTATAAGTAAGTCATCATAAGTGATATACTCACTTTATATTTACCACAAGCAGGTTTAGTGTCAACCTCTTTGCACTGGTTACGGCACAGTTTATGATCTACACTTTGGCCCGCCCCTGTCAGACCTTACGGATCCTTCCAGATTAGTCTGTTCAGGTATGAAAAAAAACTTTTCTCCACTGCCTCAGTCGTACTTTTAACTAACGTCGATTTCTCTTCTCATGTAATTAAGGTTGAGACAGAATGGGTGATTAATCCCATCTCTGTCTGACTACAAAGTGGTTAGTCAGTCTGGCTTCCACCGTGCCGCTTGTGTCAGTTCATGGGAAAAAGATCACCAATTATCCAGTGGAGCACTATGTGGAAGTGCAAGTCGGACTTTGCACCTTTCCCTTCCTTCCTCATTGATCAAATCACGTTTTGATCTTATGGCATCTAAGGATTCGTTTTCATTTTAATGCGTTTAATTAATAATGTCTGTTGTAAACATTTCGAATTTTGCTAGTGAGTTCGTAAATGAGCACTGATATGGACTCTAATACTAGGACGAAACGGCCTTTCACTGATCCCAGATTTTCCATAGTGGTCTAGCATCAAATAGCTCATGAACTCAACTATTAAATTTTTCAATGAGTTATAAATTACATTTTCTACGCCGCATGCATATCAATTGCTTTCTGTTCCCGTTCTTTCCTCCTCGATCTTCTTGACCTTGCGCTACCAGACATCCTATTTCTGGCTAGCGTTATATACTACTTATGTTGATATAAGTAGCACACCATAACATCACTAAACTTATGAGGGAAGTTATTCATTCATTAAATTAAGAAAACTGAAAATCTAAATTATTCAGAAAGACCAATTTGTTCCGTTGCATCTACAGGTCTTGATAAGCAAAAATATCTTTTCGAAGTACAAAATCGGTAGAACAATTTATTGAGGATGATTACTATTTTTTATCATAAGGGACTTGTGGATGCGCTCTGATGAGGAGTCACATAATAGGACTGCACGGCAGTCCAGTGCTTCCAGGTTTTCCATGGTGGTCTAGTTTTAATAAACTCATGAATTCAACTATTATTTTTTTCAATAACCAGTTAAAAATAACGAAGTATTACTAGTAAGGTGTTGACTTTCTTTGCTTAACTGATAAATATCAGTTAACAAAAGAAGGAAACATTTATAAGCTATAGTCATCACAGATTGATCTCATTTTGGGAAATCTTGAAAATCAGATAGAAATGGACAGATATTTTATCTCAGTATAAGATTCATCATCAGTCAAGACTCATAGTCTAATCAGGAGTTGTGTTCAATACACTTAACAGTTAAAATGACTGTGTCAGCATTTTCGTTGTACAATTCCAACTTTGATGATTGAGTGCCAACACAGTTCATTTAGGTTAGTCAACTAAATTACGATTCCAATTTGTTTTCTGTCCCTGATTTGTTTTTTATATAGTGAGATCTCTACATGGACGCATCAGCATTGGATCAGTAGCACACAAATTGGCTCGTCAAGTAAAACATCATTCTATATTTAGAAGTTAATCATCTTTAATCAATGCATGTAATTAAACAATGTATGAGAGGTAGAAAATGCAATTTATAACTCACTGAAAAATATAATAGTTGAATTCATGAGTTAGTTGAAGCTAGGTCACTATGGAAGAGCTGGAATTACTGGACGGCCGTTTCGTCTTAGTATGGGATTCCTCGTCAGTGTGCATCCACGATGTCGCTCGCAGGATTCGAACGCAAGACCTATCGGTCTCGCGTGGAAGCGCTTAGACTCTGTGCATTGAGTTGACATCTAACGGTGTTAATATCTAACTTCAACCGATCCACAAAATTCCTCCGCCACCTACTATCATCTATATCAATTCCTGATTTTTAGATTGTTTTATATATTCATTTCTGTGGAATACTAACAGTTCATGAATAGTAAAGACTTATAGAAACCACTAACACCCTTGATTATCTTTCGAAACACTTATTTCATTTCATTACTAACATCGAATATACCATAAAATATATAATATAAACAATTCAGAATGTAATTCACTTGATAATGTTTTACTTGAATCTTCCCATTGATCAACTGCAGTCCTAAACATCAATGGGAAGATTCAAATAAAACAATATCAAGTGAATTAAACTTCACCCCATTACACAAGCAAGTGTTTATCAGGACTCAGTAGCTAAGTGGATAACGCGATGGCGTTTGAAGCGGACGGTACTGGGTTCGTGTCCCGGAGTGAACATCCACTCTGAGATGCAGGTACATCCAGCTGACGAGTCCCAAATAAGACAAAACGCGCGTCCTAGATTCCACTGCTAGCCAATATCCATCTTTGCTTATAATCCAGAATATAACTAAACATATTGTAATTGTAATCAGAACTTGTACTAGAACACAAATAATCTCGTCACATAGAAGTTTATTCTATATTCAGGAGATGATCATCTTTAATCATTGCATTCTTATTCACTGCACCAGTATTACATTCATAGATCCATTCAATAAACTATTCTTTACCATTCTTCTTTATATATGAATGTATATTTCATTATATTCATTTTGTATTTTATATATTAACAAGGAATGTCTATTAAAACTTCGTGATATCTTTTTTACATTATTGGCTCAAAGTCATTCAAAACTATGCCGTCATTTACGTAATGATATATTGACAATAATATTGTTAATTGTAAAACATGCTAATACTTATGGTTTATTAAAACAAATACATTTAATAGAATCTGGTTTAATACGTAGATTAGTACAATTATTAACATTTGATGAATGTAAGTTCCTTTTTTTTTCTGTTTTACAATTTGTTAATTGTTGAATTGATTGATCTATTATTTTTGGCGGCAAAAAAATATACAAGACTCGCTTTTCGTCCCGTTTCGGATTCGTCAGATGGATGTACCTATATCTCAGAGTTGATGTTCACTCTGAGACTCAAACCCGGTATTGTTCGCTTTAAACGTTATCACGTTATCCACTTAGCTACGGAGTCGTGATAGACACTTACATGTGTATCGGGATGAAGTTAAAATTTACTTGATATTGATTGTTTGTATCTTCTCATAGGACGAAACACGTATCCTGTATTCCACTGCTAGCCATCATCTATGTTTGCTTATAAAGCTTGTGACTTTTGCGCAAACTCTTTACCTACAAACCACTAAGCACGCGGTCATCGAACATTAGCTCAGAGGTTAAGCGTTGGAGCAAAACAAAGGCCTTGGGTTTTAATTGCTTCATGAGGAGGGTTGTAGATGTGCACTGTTTTTGAGTTCCATACTAGGAACAAACAGCCATTTAATGCTATCAGGTTTTCAATAGTTTTCTAACTTAAAATTGGCTATTGATTTAGGCAATGAAAAACATCTATACATTAGACCAACTAGCCACTGAGCGATCAAACCAAGAATGATCATGAAAATTAGTTGAACCGAATCAAGAAATGTATGCGAATACATTGAAAAAGCAAATTAAACTGAGGAACGTGCAGAATACTGAATTTCACAGTTAAATTAACACCATTAATTATTGTTATTCTTCAATATATCGAGATAATTTGTCTTTATGGACCAATTGACTAGGTAATTATAGGTCCACATACTTGGCTGCAATCCAAAGTCTACATGTGGAGAATATTGGTGTTAACTTGTTGCCAAAACTTAAGTGGATATGCTAGGGTTCGAACTACCTACTTAATGACTGTAAATACAACGCTTAAACCAGTGAGTACCAGTCCTAGTAAACAGTACAATATTTTCGATCGATATAGATATACGACCTCATAAAAAAATAAAGAATACAGTTTATTTACAATTAATTGATCACAGGGTGGTGATCAGTATCATGTATGTTAGGTCTTTCTTAGTGTAGATTGAATCCTATCGACCAAGTTGCAATGTGGCCACCAGTCTAGGTGACTCAACATCGCTTGCACTATGTTGACTACCTCCAACCACCATATTGTACAGTTTATTCTTAACTGTTTAATTTATATTATCGTATATTCATTTAAGATCTACAATCGGTTACATAATCAAACTAAATTCTTCCCTCTATTTCATTCTTGTTTTAATTTAGTTAAATGTATGAATCCATTGTATAAAAATTTGAAATTATTACCAAATGATGAGAATTTCGATATGAAACGATTAATTATTTCAATACTGATTGAAATGTGTCATGATCCAGCAGCAATTTATGTGAGTAACATTCCATTAAATGAATCATCCATTTTTACATTTATGATTAGTTCTATTTGTAAATAACGCGATACTAACTAACAACTCAGTCAGTCACTTAGTCAGAGAGAGGTGCCTTCAAAAGAAATTGGGACGGAGGTGGTCTTAGTGACCTGAAAGTGTGACCACAGTGTTCAAAGGACAACTGCTTGAGGCCGATCACATACGACGTTTTTGTGGTTAGTTTTCGTATTACCTCCGTACTTGTTGAGATCCTACCACTGGAGAATGAAATCCATGGAATAAGGTGAGGTGTGCATTTTTAGGGTGGACCTTTTCTAACCCCACCCTTCCTTGTTTGAAGGAAACACCTTACTGCCGTCATACTCCTTCACAGCCAACAGTACGACTTTACTCTCGAACCTTGGATTTGCTGGTTTTAGTCATACTGCTCTTCAACCGACCTGTCTGGCATGGTAGAACCTAGAGGAACAATTGTTCTGGCTAGTATAGCTCGAGTGGTTCATTACGATAGGCAAGCTCAACCACTACATCAAGGTAGCACTAATGGTCGTGTAATTAACAACTAGGTTAAATTATATCTGTTGAGGTTTTTTATTGTGACGCGCGCTGTCCAAAATTTGACACTGATACAAAGTAGGCTGTGCACTAAACCTCTAATTGTTTACTTGATCGAGAATGTGTGTTGTACTGCAGAATCTGATAAACATACTCATTCATATGTATACTAGTCTATCCTTGAGAAATTGACCCATATACCCCAATGAAATGCAGTTGACGTCTAGTACACTTCTGATCGCCTTTCGATTAACCTTTTTCTACTTTTGAATAGCCCTTCATATCATTTTCCATCTTCAGTCGTCCAATGTTGTTTGATTTTCAATTGTTCATCAACAGATTCCAATTGGTAGTAGACATTAGAAAAATCTTGATCAAATTACAGATAAATATTAAGATTCATTCAAATAAGAACTGGCTATTTATTTACACTGAAGAAGCAGATTACATTAAGTTACGAAGAATTGGGAATAAGACTAATGTTCAGGCTTGATGTATCCTAATTCCAGTGTTCATATTCAAATTATAAATTTCAATCATTATTCATACTTCTAACTTTGAAGCCCAAACTACACATCATGATCTTAAAGTCTAACTATAAATACTAAATACCTCATCCGAATCCTAAACCCTATTAGTAACCATAATGAAAGATGTTTACATCATTGCAAATAATAACATACATTCAACAAACAACACACTGAGTTTGATGTACACTCTTTAACTTTGAACTGATCTAATTGTATCTAATCAACTCTTTATTACAATTCACGTCTAACTACATCCATTGTTTTGTTCTATCTTAGACTATGTCTACATCGGGTCTAATTAAAGGTTTATTTCAATGGATATGTCCAGTGATACAAACCAACTCACAACAACAACAACAACAACAGCAACAACAAGAACAAATCAAATCTGACCTAAATGTCAATCAAACACAATCATCCAATGTAAATCAATCAAATAACTTAAAATCTTCATATTTACCATTGAAAAATTGTAATTCCTATTCATCAGATCTAAAAGATCACATTGCTAATGATAACAACTACAATAGTGTTAATCAAACATTAACAGTAGAGAAAATATCGGAAAATTCAGATCAAGATATTCAACGATCAGATCCATACAATTATGAAGAGAATATAAATAGAAATGATCATTCACAATGTAAACAAGAAATTGATTTAATACGTAAATGGCCACAAGCTTATTTAGAAGAATTACATTTGTATATGCTTGATTCATTGGCTATTTTAGCTCCATATTTATTGGATGATTGTTTAAATTATGGAATTCCATCAAGATTATTAATTTTATTACAATGGTGTATAAGTCCAGGTAGGTTGAATTGGTATTTATTCAAATAGGTTGAGTAACAAACAAACAAAGAGATACCTTATTAATTATTAAAAGAAAATATTAGTATCAGAAGGGGGGTTTGTGGATATTATAATAATTAAAATAGTTGAGTTCTTGAGGTTAAGCATTCATGTGCGAGACTGATAGGTCCTGTGTTCGAAACCCACGGGCGGGATCATGGAGGTAAACAGTTTCGAGAAATCCTATACTAGGATAAAACGACCGTCCAGTGCTTTCAGGTTTTCTGTGGTGATCTAGCTTCATTTGACTCATGAATTCAACTATTGAAATTACATAATATCCACATAAACCTCTCCTGATATTGATCAGCATATGCCTACTAGCGACTGGCTTCAAGAGGCTTTTCGTGGAGTTTTAGTGAGAAGCAGTGACCAGTGGAGTTCAACCATGTCTGTTGTAGAGGCAGTTATTCACTAATGACAATGGTGGACGATGGCACAATTTCGTGAATCGGTTGAAGTTCGATATTAACACCGTTGCATGCTAGCTCAGTGATCCAGAGGTTAAGCGTTTGCGAGCGAGACCGATAAGCCCTGAGTTCGATTTCAGAGAGTGGGATCATGGATGCGCACTACTGAGGAGTCCCATACTAGGACGAAACGATCGTCTAGGGCTTCCAGGTTTTCCATGAAGTTTTAGCTTCAATCGACTCAGGAATTCAACTATTAAAATATATGATTATTATAATTTGAATAGTTTGTACTATCAAATAATTCATATTCACTGACTGATATAAGTTAATTCCTTAGAATAAGTAGGTTACAATTATTACAATGAGTGAAATGAAACATTGTCTAAATTTCACTGTTGCAGAATTCCATAATGATAACGATTAGACAGACCACCTAGATTTTAAACTTCGCTATTCAAAATAGACGTACAAGATAACATCACTAGGGTAATAAGAACAAGAAAGTTGCTACTAAACTCGAAGAATTACAGTATCGGTTGAGAGTAGACCATTTGTTGTACGTTTCTGATTGATCATGGAGGTAAATAGACCACCATTTAATGCTCGCCTTTATTATTATATATCTTTTTATTGTTGCCCTTATTAATCCTCATCCTTTTTCACGTACTCTATACGTATAATTCCAGTTTCAACCAATTCACTATATTCCCCAACCATCTTTTAAAGTTATTGTTGGGCGTCTTCGTGATCCAGTTGAACACCAAGAGAAAGAGAAAGGGTGAGAGTAAGCAACCCTACCTGACACCGGTCTTTACTTCGAACGAGTCTGTCAACTGTCCTCCATGCACGATTTTGCCGTTTAATCCATCATAGGAATTCCGTATGATACTGACTATCTTCTGAGGCACGTCGTAGTGTCGAAGAAACTTCCAAAGTGTTGTCCTGTCCACACTATCAAATGTTTTCTCGTAATCAATGAAGTTAATGTAGAGTGATGAATTCCATTCATTTGACTGTTCCACAGTGATCCGTAGAGTTGCGATTTGGTCTTTGCACAATAAAGCAAACTAATTACGATAAATTACTTTTAAAAACAGTATAATTTGTAGATGATTAATGTAATGGATTGAAAACTACTGAAAAGCAAACAGCAGTAGACAATTGTTTCATCTCAGTATAAGATCGCTTAACAGTAAGCACCTACAATCTTGTTAATGAATGAAACTCAAAAGTAAATTATGTTTTCGAATTGGAAACATGAAAACTTGACTAAAACACATTTTTCCAATCATTTGTTAACATACATGAACTGTTTAATCATTATTAATATTTGTTAATTACCAGTGATGAATAAGTACCAATCAGTTACAAACTAAATTATCAGTATGTGGTTATGGAGATCATAAGACTTTGAATCGATTGATGTTAGACCATCATTGAAAACGTGGGAGCACAGGACAGCCGTTTTGTCTTATTGTGCGACTCCTCAGCAGTGCGCATCCACGATCCCCGCTTGCTCTAGTATCAAACAATAAAATCTTATTAATTATGAAAGAAACTATTAATATCGTATATCAAATATATGATTATAATCAGAAAAGGGTTTTGTGTATATTATAGTGATGTAATAGTTGAATTCATGAGTCAATTGAAGTTAGACCACCATGAAAAACCTGGATGCCTTCTCAGTGGTCTAGATGTTAAACGTTCGCGCTTGAGATCAACAGGTACTAGATCCGAATCCTGTGAGCGAGATCGTGGATGCGTACTGCTGAAGAGTCCCATACTAGGAGGAAACAATCGTCTAGTGTTTCCACGTTTTCAATGAGTGTCTAACAATAATCGGTTCATGATCTCCATCAAAAACAAACTGAACTGTTCAGCGGTAACATCACTTACTGTCACGCTGAATGATACACGTTCTTATCGTTCAGTTGCTTCATGAATACAAACAAACATTATTAATAAATGTTAACTAATAGGATACCTTAGTTCAGAACTTCTTATTGATTGTTTCCGACAATTTAACATTAATATGAATATTATTAATTCCCATAAAGTACAATAATCAGTAATGAACTAAATTTTATCCTTCCTATAACATTGAAACAAAAATATAAATTGTTATTCATAATAGAACCATTTCTTGGACAAGGGAATAGTTTCCATGGTGTCGGTGGTCGTAATAGTAAACGAGCACAATTACGCTATTCATTACGTTTAATAAGAAGTCTTGTTGAAACGAATGATGAACGGATTATTATGGTAATTTATTTTTTAAAATAAAAATGTTATATTTTATGTCATCATGGTTAAAGTCTATTATACAGATGTCTCGGAGTGAATCAATCAGAATTAAGATAGCGCTTTAAAGATTTACATTGGTAGATGTTCTAGGAATTTCGGGCTCGTGAGCACCTCTTAGTGTGATTAAGTAATGGTGTAGTTAAAACTGTTAACAGCTTCATTTTGACTCATTTAATCTAAACGGGACATAAAGCTAACATAGAGCGATCTTTCACAATAATATATCGTTTCAACCTGATTCCATCAGACTGAGATTCCTGCAGACGGCTGAAGCAATTGCTATTCGTATTAAAAAGGCAGCGCTTTCTCAGGGTTGTTATTCCAATGTAGTTTCATAGACTTAGTTGTAAAATGATTCACATAATATGTAGCAGCTGTTCCACCGGTGTTATTCTATAATAGCCGAGCAATATCAAGAATTAACTAGTTAAAAATGTAAACCACTGGATTCCAACTACGTAGATTAGTGTTTCGGCTCCCACGGTGAGAAACGACTACCTTGGATTAAATCCACCATGGTAAAGTCAGAGGTAATCATTAGTGAGAAGTTCTACATGAGAACAAAACATATCTCCTAATTTTGAGTGGTTGAATAACCAAAGTATATCGTTGATGTAAACTAAAGAATATGAGATTGTTATTCACTTTTTAAAACAAAATACGATCAGTTGGTAAATCATCGCAAAGTCGTTGGTTCATCTGATTTCCCAAGAAATTTCTACTGTTTTAAAAGATGGTTTAGATTTTCTTAACATCATGTTATACTTCATTATTTCATAAATTTTATATGGATTAAAATAATTGTTGTCATGAAATAATCTTGACCACTATGGTTGATGGTTAAAACGACTTTTTATTCTCGCTTGAAATTATTTATCATAGTTCACAGATATGATGGGATCACCGGGTAAGTAATAGTGAGGTTAGATGCAGGTTGTTAGGGAATGATGGTAAATCAGTTAGTGAGGTTGTGAATCTATATAGGCTAAGATGGTTGGGCCACGTATCACGCATGCCCAACCACCGATTACCACGACTCTCAATGCTAACTAGTGTTGAGGTTGGTTGAAAAAAAGTTGGGGTGTCCAAACCGAAACATAACTTCAGTACTTGAAGTCAATAACTTCTATTCCTAGTCATGTTGGTAGATACAAACTACTTGGTTGGGGTTCGTGTGTCTATCGTAACCAATAGTTGGAGACTCGGTGGTTCAGAATCGAACACAATGTAGTAGGTGCATACACTCACTATCTTCCCTTAAGCCGTAGGATTAAAGTTGCTTTACATATTTCTTTCTACCAACTATTTCTCTCTTCCTGTAATATATCCTTATACACAATCTTTTTTTTATATATTACTACCACTGAAGTAATTACTTCTATGAATTTGGCGTTCATCTCGTTGTGCTAATAAGGCGTTGCAACTTGGACCGATGTTTATATGTGCCTGGTCCTACGCTGTAGCTGACTGACTGACAGATATAACTTAAATTTACATTCAATATGCTGATAACAATTTCAATAGTTAAAATCATGAGGTAATTGAAGCTACACCATCATGGAAAACCTGGAAGCAGTGGACGACCGTTTCATCCTAGTATGGGTTCGAATTTCACGCGGGGGGGATCGTGGATTTTTCATACTAGGACGAAACGGCTGTCCAGTGCTTCCAGATGCAATACTTCTTTGCAAGATCCTTTTTATATGTTTCTTTTTATCTCTTTTTGCTGGAAAAACAAACAAACAGGATTTTGTCTGTCAAGGTTTAATTCAATTTCTTATACCATTAATTTGTCCAATATCATCGAGAGTGAAATTAGAACGATCACATGATGAATTGTTTAAATTTGGCAATGTGTTGTTAACTGATAAACATTCTGTCAGAGAAAACAATTCACAAACTATCTATTCAGAATATCAACAGTATTTAAAACAAACAAAAGAGATTATGGAAGAAGATATTGTTGGATTAGAAATGCAATGTGATATATTACTTATATTGTCAAAACTATGCAGTACAGCACCTGAAAGGTAATTTATTTAAAAACATTGTATCATTGAATATTTGTAATTTCTTTTTAACCAAAAAAGTAAACACATGCCAGATCTTAGTGTTGTACTTTAAGAAATTTGAAAATGTACTGAGTGTCAAACCAGTTATCTGAAGGCTAAGTGATCACTGAAGGATTTAGTAATCCTGAATTCAGATACCTGTGATGATGTTATGAGTTTGCAATGATAAATAGTCGAATCAACTGTCCAATACTTTAGAGTATTCATTAGTTGTTCAGTTATAGTCAATGCGTCAAATAAATTCTATAGAATTGAACAATCTCCAAAAAGTCTTTCGTCCACTAACCATAACTTTTTAGTCTACTGACAGCTAACATTTTATATAGGCAAAACTGAATATAATACTATTTTCACTAATATTTAGTAGTATTTCAAGATAGGTGACAAAGTTTAATAGTAGAAGTAGAAGAAATTTTATTTTGTACTTAACATGGGGTTTGTTTATGAACAAGGTGATCTCCATTGCTGTTGTCAATTCCAGGTTGTCCACATCATCAGAAGAAAGTAACTGACCAAGAAACTGGGTCAAGAGTTATTTGGACGTCTTAGAAGAATAAACGTAGAGTTTAAGGGATAACCACGTGAACCCTAACACAAACGGTCTTTCTATAATTAGTTTCACAGATATATTAGATCATATTTTCAACCTTTTACAACCGAGAAAAGAAATATCATGGAGTAAAGGGAAGTCTATTATTTTTACGGTTAACATTTTCTTATCTTTTCATTTCGTTATTGGGATTCAACATCGGGACAACTATTGGTTATTTTCAGAAAAATACCTTACTGCTACTACACTACTGTAAATCCAAAAAGATTTCTTCATTATTTGATCTTTGGTTTGTCGCTTCTATTATTACCATCCTCCAGCTGATCTAAGCGAAAGAGTATTTTAGCCACGGTCAAGGATTATAACCATAAAGAACCTGTTTGTATTGATTAATGAAATCTCATTCATTTTTAAGATTGTAACTAATCAATCTCGTTTAGAATATGCACAGATAGCCTCGGTATTACGATTAAGTCACAAGCATTTTATAAATAGAGATGGATAGTGGCAAGCAGTGGGATACAGGATGTGCGTTTTGGGCTTATTGTGACTCGTCAGTTGCGTGTACCTGTACTCAAGTTGATGTCCAATCCAAAGCTCGAGCAGAATAGTTTTCGTTTCAAACACCATCTCTTCAATCACTTAGCCATTGAACTAAGCTGAACCCCTACTAGTGAAATCGAATAAACTGTAATTTATTTATACTGGATATTTGAATATTTAAGAAGCATCATCGATGAACAAGGAGGATCGGATGCAGACGTAAAGGCGAGGATTGGCAAAGCAAGGGCCTCATTCCTACAACTAAAGAACTTATGGAAGTCAAAACAACTTCCAACCAATATTAAAGTCAGAATCTTCAATACAAACGTCAAAAAGTTCTACTGTACGGACCTTAAACTTAAAGAACTACTACAACCATCATCAAAAAGGTACAAGTATTTATAAACAATTGTCTAAGCACGACACTATCAGCAACAGCTTACTGTGGAATAGAATAAACTAGCTTCCAGTTGAAGACAAAATTAGGAAAAGACAATGGAAATGGACCAGATATACATTAGGCAAATAATCAAACTGCATCACTAGGCACGTCCTAACTTGGATTCTTAAAAGGGAAACGGAAAAGAGGAAGGCCAAAGAATACATTACGTCGAGAAATAGAATCAGATATGAGAAGGATGAATAACAACTGGAAAGAGCTGGTTAGGATTGCTCAGGACATGGTTGGATGGAGAATGCTGGTGGATGGCCTATGCTTCTCACGTGGGTTAACAGGTGTAAGTAAGTAAGTATTTGAATATTCTTTTTAATGTTTTGGGACTACAATCGATCAATCTCTTTTTCCACATATTTACATTCTACGAGGATTTTTTTTTACATCCAACTAATCAATCTTATATAAGACGAAACCCGGATTTTGGATCACACTGCTAGGCACCATTTATTACCAATCATACATGATCTTCATTTCCTTAGAAACAAAAAAAAAACTCACTTGATATTGTTTTACTTGAATCTTCTCATTGTTATTTAGAACTGCAATTGATCAGTCTCTTGTTGTATATGTGCATCTTATGCCTGTTGCTTCGATATAGCTTTAATTCACAAGGATTATAAACAAAGATGTATAGTGGCTAGCATTGGAATACACCAAACGTGTTTCGTTCTATTTGAGACTCTTCATCTGGATGTACCTACATCTCAGAGTTAATATTCACTCTAGGACTCAAACCCACCACCATTCGTTCCACTTAGCAACTGAATTCTGATAACCATAAACACAAACAAAATATATTTATATATATACATTGCTTTCTTTTGTTTATTTCTCTATAGAAAACAAATGATTGGTATAGATGGTATACATTCAATTAATAAATTATTAAAACAATTAATAAAACGTTTTACATTTATTCAATCTAATCAATATCGTTTATTAATTCAATTAAATGAGAAACAATTGATGAATCCATTCATTATATTACATAATAAACCATTAATTCAATTAACTAATGCATTAATTGAATCCATCTGGTGTTGTATCATTGGTTCAAATATATGTGAAGATTATTTTCTAATGAATAATGGTGCTATATATTTACTTAATTTATTAGAGGTAATTATATAATAATTCATTCATTGATTTTTAATATTGAATTTTAATAATTAGAAGCTGGGTTTTTTTTTTGTGTGGATATGATAGTCATTTCAATGGTTGAAGTTCGCGGGTAGAGGGGGGGCGGACAAGATCGTGGATGCACATTGTTGAGGAGTCTCACAATAAGATCTAGCTTCAATTGACTCATGATTTCTACTATTGAAATTACTATAATCTCTTAAAGAGAGCAAGAACAAAGAATGGTGCAGAATAATATGAATTTATTTTATTTCGTTAGGTTCTCATCAGCTGCTTACAACCTAAAATATTTGAAATTCAACGTATATTGACATACTTATACATCAGAGGGTGATGAAGGATGAATATAAGTAACATGATGTTTCGAATATATAAAGTTTGGAAGGGAAGGTTCGAGAACATATAAATAGTGATTAAAACTCATGAAATTAAGACACATTAGATTATTATATCATGAAGTAACTGAAAATAGATTAATAGTAATAAAGAGAGATATGAATTGCAATTGGTCAGTTATGAATGGTGTAATTATAAAATTCAGAAAGAGTTGGAATGGCGTAATAAATAAAAAAAAGGGGAGGGGAGTAAAGTTACCAGGGCAATGAAAGATTGATTAATGTTACTTTTTGTATACAAAGATCTGGTTTAAAACGTTGGATTTCTATAGCTTCGGCAAATTTCAAAAGGATTGAATTTGGTTGTTTGTTAGTCACCTTGAAGGACTTCAATATATCGACTTCATGTCCTGTGTCAAGGATATGTCTAGCGATAGCGCTGCTAAATGCTTTTAGTCCGTTTGATCTCAAACCCTTGAGAATATGTTCTTTGAAACGGATGTAGGCTTTCCTTTCTGTTCTACCAATGTTACTGCTTTGGACAATACGTGTAAATTTGTATCCATAAAATCCCTTCTGATTATAATCATCAAATGATCACTAGTGACGGTCTCCAAGAAATATTTCCTGCAGTTCTAGTGGGAAGCCGTGACTAGTGGAGTTGAAATGGGTCTGTTGTGAGATAGGAACTCACTGATGAGAGTGGTGGATGTGTCGCTCAATTTCATGGATTAGTTGAAGTTAGACATTAACACCGTTGGATACCAGTCAGCTCAGTGGTCTAGAGGTTAAGTGTTCGCGTGCGAAACCAATAGGTCCTGGGTTCAAATCTCGCGAGGCGGGATCGTGGATGCGCACTATTAAGCAGTCCCATGCTACGAGAAAACGGCCGTCCAGTGCTACCAGGTTTTCTATGGTGGTTTAGTTTCAACTGACTTATCATCTTAACCATTGAGATATTGAATTTTATTTATCAATGTACTATTAATATTTTACATACTGAAGGTACTTACTTACTTACTTACGTCGGTTACCTCTTGTGATGGAGGATAGATTACCCACTAGCATTGTATATCCACCACTTTTTATCTTGGGCAAATGTTTCCAGTTGTTACTGATTTTTTTTCATATCTTCTTTCAATTCCCGATGTAGTTAGTATTTCGACCTTTCTATTTGTCTGTTTCCTTTCACGATTCTAAGTTAAGACACTTTCCTATTGAAGATTCGTATGATTTGATTAACTGTTTCTAATAAATGAATGTATGTCGATAGAGTTTTGTTCTCTGAGCTGGATGGTTTGGTCGTGGAGCTTTCATCGTTCTTCTGAACGACATCATCGGACATCGGACAAAGCGAACACCCCTTTCACCTTTGCCTACATGAACATCAATTAGCAGTCAAACGTCATGACATCGCCTCACTTATATCAATACACGTGGACAACTGCGGACACACATTCGATTGGAAAAATGAGGAAATCTTGGACAGAGGGAATTCCAAAAACACCAGAGAATTTTTAGAAGCCTGGCACTCAGGGCAATCAGCAATCAACAAACACATTGAAATCGACCCAATTTATTAACTAATCAGGAAAATTATGCACAAATATAGGAACAAGAATCAAACCAATAGGAGACACAACCAAAACAAAGAAGTAAACAATGACAAATTTAAGGTCAATAAGAACCAATCAACATTGAGGTGTACAGAACAAGCTGTGAAACGCATATGGAGAAATTCGAACACTTCACTTCTATCTGAAGTTTGTGCTGATGATGTCGTTCAGAAGAACGATGAAAGCTCTATGACGAAACCATCCAGCTCAGAGGACAAAACTCCATCAAAATCATCCACCTGAGCTACAAATCTCCACCATCTCAAAACGAATGTTTTTACGCGCTTTCAACACACGTCTACAAACTATTGAGAATCTAATTATTGAGAAATTCAATAAGGACTATTAACCATTCCATGTTTTCTTGTTTTTCTGATCTCTTTGAAGAAGCAATAGACTATTACAATAAAATTCATACATCAAATATATTTTGAAATAAAGAGATTTGACGTGAGTACACTAGTGATGGTAAATATTTACAGATGAATATAAATGACAGCTAATCACTGTAGGAATGTTTTTAGACAGTTATTTGGTTATGACCTTGATTGTTTTCCCACTAGTTTATGCTGAATGTGGAGAGAGAATTCATCAGTCAATTGAAGCTAGATCACTACCATTGAAAACCTGGTAGCGCTGGACGACCGTTTTCTCGTAGCATGGGACTGCTTAATAGTGCGCATCCACGATCCCGCCTCGCGAGATTTGAACCCAGGACCTATTGGTTTCGCACGCGAACACTTAACCTCTAGACCACTGAGCTGACTGGTATCCAACGGTGTTAATGTCTAACATCAACTAATCCATGAAATTGAGCGACACATCCACCACTCTCATCAGTGAGTTCCTATCTCACAACAGACCCATTTCACCTCCACTAGTCACGGCTTCCCACTAGAACTGCAGGAAATATTTCTTGGAGACCGTCACTAGTGATCATTTGATGGTTATAATCAGAGAGGGGTTTTGTGGATATTATGATAATTTAATAGTTTAATTCATGAATCAATTGAAGCTAGAGCACCATTGAAAACTGGGAGCATTGTTGAATTGAGTGAAATAATTTCCGGAAAAATAGCCTTCATCGTTTATCACCGTTTCTTCATTCTTCTGTTCAAATCTTTCCTTAAGTACCCACGAGTTATATGAATGTGAAAAGATATTCTGTTGAGATATTACAGATTTCATACTGGTTCGTAAATATTTTTAAAAAACACTAAACAAACGGCTTTTTGTATGAAGTCGTAGGTTATTTTGACTCGACAACCGTCACTAGATTCTAACAGACTGAAAATTAGAGTCAGTTAATTATTAATCAATGATGATATTCAATCATTTCTTCCTAAAACATGACTCTTCATTCACAACTCCATCGATGAATGAACCTTTCTACCGGTGATTTTGCATCCGATAGATTGCAAGTCTAACTTCAACTGATTTGTAGTAGTACGTATTATGAAGAACTAATCAGAAGTAGACTAATGAGGTCACTAGATCGGAATCAGAAATGAACTAAAGGATATGTGTATTTCATTGGCTAAGAAGTGGATCGATTTCCTAAGGATATACTGGAATATCTATGAATGAATATTTGTGCATTTTATTCAGTAGCCCGATACACGTTCTCACTCACTCTTGTTTGCGCTCAAGTAGTCGATTAAAGAGTTAGCTCGTAGCACGCCGTGTATCAGGTATCAGATTTTGGACACCGCCGTCAAGGTAGTGCGTAATCATTATACTCTTGTCATCAATAAGTAACTGCTTCACACTCCACATATTTTATATCCACTAACCCCAGTGGCTTACTAAAACCTCGGGAATAGCTTCTCGAAATTAGTCACTGGTGAGCACATAATTAATATTTCTGTTGATTATATCAAGGCATCAAACTGTACGATTGAGATACGTATAAAACCGAGGTGCAAAATAACTATTGACCTAAACAACGATTCTGTTATTATAAAATATATGTAAATTGGTTACAAACCTAAATTCGTGATGTATCATTAGTGAATAACGCGTCCATATGTCCAAAAATAGAGAGACTTCTTGTAGTGATTACACAAACATTCATTACAACATATAATAACGTACATGTCTTAATTCAATAATGACTATTAACAATCGAAATTGGAACTAAGAATGGCTGTTAAAATGGTGTAGATCATTTAATTACAATCATAAATACAGTGGATATTACGAGCTTAGGTAAATACTTTAAAGTATTACAAAACATAAACGTACGTCATAACATACCTCCATAAATTATTGAAAATGTAACTGGTTACTGTATGTAAACGAGTAGTATAAACCAATACACAAAATTGACTTGGTTGAAAAGTGAGTAAGGATAAACAATGCAAACGAACATAACAATTCCTATAGGGGGTCTATGGTGGTTGTTGAATTTCATTGTTTACATCATGAAATGATCTTAGACTAAGCATCCATCTTCAAACCTGAAGTTGATGACTTGGATCCACGGCAAGTTTGTGCATTCTTACTGCTGAACAGTCCTGTACTAATATGAAACAACTATTCAATGTATCCCAGTTTTCACTTGTTGTAAAACACAAAATCGAAAATTTTTCCATAAACCCTCTCCACCCATTGCTATGAATGTGCTATTTAGTTTTACAGCAAAATTACCATTCGTCTGTCTGCCTTTCTAATTTTAAGTTTGAATAAATAGGAACCTTCAATATTGGTTTATCCTTTAACTAAATGACAGTAGTATAGTTGATATATTACATATTTTTCGAGTAAATAGAATTATGCAGTGCATCAACAACATGTCAAAAGTATTTATTGGTAAATGTAGCTGACACGATTGGTATATTAATTGCAAAGAGTTGAAATCTAATCTTGAGAGAGCTGCTACTCCTTAAGAAATGTAATCCTCCATAAACCAGATAGCTGAGTGTTAACGTCTCAGATTGCGTAACCAGGCAACATTTCATTTAATTCACCAGGGGACACAAGTTCTATCAAAGTCACAGGCACACCTTATCGTTGACATACATCTAGCACAAAACCTTGATCAATCAATTTTTCCTATCGATTATCATCAGCCAACTAATATCTTCACATTGCAAGCTGGTCAGTTGATTTCAATGAACACTGAAACAATATTGACAAACATGACATTAATCACTACTCATTGATTATTCAACTGTAGATGATCATATTTTGACTATTTGCAGAACAAGGATTCGATCCGATGTCATCCAAGTTAGTCCCTTGACATTTTAAATTTAAAACAAAACTTCTAAAACAATCCAATTACTATGTTTATTCTCCTTTTATTTTCTGTGTTTATTTTGTTCCTTTGATAGTGGTATCCACTTGAATCAGTCAATTATCTCTTAGGTTGTTTAGTAGATTTAACAGAGAATCCTAAATGTTTACCATATCTATCCTGTTGGTCTGGAATTCGTCCATTGAATGAGAATGATGATTATGATGAAGATAATAGTTTTATATTGAGTAATAGAAATCCAATTAAACAACAATTAAGTCATTTAGAATTAACAACTTCACTATTGATTAAATCACCTGATCCTGTTGTTTCAACTAGATTGCATAAAATTATTTCAAACACTAACAAACATACTACTGATCATCATCATAATAGCAATGACAGTCATAGTAATCAGGTAGATTTAAATACGGCTAACGAAGAAGGAGTCGATTCAAAAGAGATTCCTAATCAAGATTCCAGAAATCCTTGTGAAAAAGAAGTTAACGATGATGGTGATGATGATGATGATGATGGCAAAGAAGAATCTATCAATATTTGGTTAAATGGACCTAGTTTAGCACAATTACTCTGTTATATTTGGAGATGGGAAGAGAAAAGGTTGAAAAATGTTAAAAGTCAACAAAAGCAATTTGGTAAGTGAAAAATAAAAAAATGTATATTATTCAATGTATAATAAAGCATCATTGCCAAACTAATATGCCATGCACTGGACAGCTGTTTTGTCCAGCTGTGGGACTCCTCAGCAGCGCGCATCCACGATCTCTCCCTCCCCACGAGATTCGAAGCCAGGACCTAATATGCAATTCACACTTGTATACCCTAAGATTTAAGTGATGTGACGTAACAATGTTGACATTCAATAAAAATGGAAAATTGAAAAAAACAATTCAATTCACACTACAGTCACATCAATGATTATCTCTAGTAGTGTAAAACTATAATCAGCGAGTTTACTTACTGTTATCTTTAGCATAGTGTTCATGTCTTGGAGTAAATTGTTATACCTGGTGTCTGTACATCAAGTGCTTGTAACGTTGAACTCTTAGTTGATTTCAATGAAAGAGAGAAATAAAGGGAGGGAGAGAGAGCGCAGTTGATGATCTAATTAAAATGATGAAAGACAACTGTTGATTGATATATCCAAAAAGTTTCATTACTGATACCAATATGTATTCATCTGGTTACGTTCCAAGAGTAAACATTTTTGAAAAAAATGGTAACATAAGTTTCTAAGCAAACATATTATAGAAGATCATAAATGAATCGATTAGCACTAAAAAGAACTTCACATATATGAAATTGGTTACTAAGCACTAATCGATAAAATATAAATGTATCTTATTCCTACATGAGATCAGTTACAACCAAAAAAAACTCAGTGAAAACGTCACTGAATGTGAATCTAAGTGAAGGGGAATTAAATCTTCCAGAGAGTATAGTTCACCTCAACATTACTATTTCATAAAGAGGATTTTGTGGAGATTAAAGCACTGGATGACTGTTTCATTCTATTATAGGACTCCTCAGAAGTGAACATCCACGAGAAGTCCCATACTAGGACGAAACGGCCGTCCAGTGCTTCCATGTTTTCATTATTGGTCTAACTTCAATGGACTCATGAATTCAATTACTAAATTATTACTACTTCTTTTATACGAGTGTAAACTAGCTCGAAACTTCAATCAACCAGTGTCTCCTATTGATTGCATTCAACTAAAATCTTATCGTTTTAGTGACAAAAGATGGGTGTGGACAATCGAATGTATTTGACAAGAAATTACAGAACTAGTTTTTAAAATCTAACAACCATATAGTAAATGTTTAATTTGCAAAATGTCCATCAATTGTTTCAAATGACTCAGACTTCCTTTGTTCTTGCATCTTCATACAAATTGCATTCTGTTTTCATTCTTCACTGTTTGATCTTCTTGTCTTTCTGCTGCCAGACATTCTATTCACGACTAACATCATATACTACTTATGTCTACATAAGTAGCACACGCCACACCATTACCATTGCAAGAATGTTGCAAGATGTTTCTTCAGGATTGGGTTGCATCGACACCCAAACTAATGATAAAGAGTGAAGTAGCTGAGCGCGTCAACCGCTTCACTTATCTAGGGAGCCTCATCAGCCCTTGTGGTCTGACATGTGACGAAATCTCAGCACCGATACGAAAGGTTCGACTAGCTTTTGCCAACTTGCGTCATTTATGGTGTAGGCAAGATATCCGTCTACCAATCAAAAGACGAATTTGCTGTTCAGCAGTTAGTTCTGTCCTACTTTATGGCTGTGAAAAATGGCCGGTAAGAGTAGAGGATATTCATAGGTTACTAGTATTCGATCATAGGTGACTTCACAGTATTGCTCGTATATCCTGGGGCCACCGAGTAAGTAATACAATTGTTAGAAAACAGGTACTAGATAAGGATGGCAAATCAATTGACGAACTACTGAAACTTCGTCAGTTGAAATGTCTGGGACATTAGTTGCGCATGCCCGACCATCGACTGCCCCGACGTGCGATCTTATCTGGTGTAGGAGTAGGTTGGAAGAAAGCTAGGGGCGGCCAGACCAAAACATGGCACAAATCCATGAAGTCACTGACAAGTGGACTGAGCCATATTGGTAGATGTAGACTACCTGGTTGGGCATCGCGTGACGATAGCAACCGATGGTTAGAGACCTTGAATGACATGGCTGAAAATCGCTTGCAATGACGCAGGTGCATTCACTCTTTGTGTTATTTCAAATTCTAATCTTCTGAATATTTCATGTCCCTTATTTTTTGTCTTTCCAAATTTATTTCACTAGATTATACTCTTTGAATAACATCTTCAAACCCTAATCTTTCCGATTACTGCTTATACTCTTACTACCTCTACCACTATGGGATTTGAATTGATAAGTGAATCTCTGTGCTAGTGTGGTATGGAACTCGAACTAATGTACGTACGTACAAAGTACTATGTTGTGTACTGACTGACTGATCGAAGAAAAAATATCGCTTTAAATAAACCACAATAAATTATTAGTTTCTATTTGATAAATAGTGAAATCATACGATAATATGATCCACAACTAGGTAAAATCATTTAATGGTGCCATGGTACCATTCATTGTAATTAAATTTAGTCGATCAAGCTTCAAACTTATTAAACACATGTGAATCTTGCATACCCCATATTCAACTTGTGTGTGTGCCTTGTCCTATGTTGTAGCTGACTGATTGAATGACTCAACTGATAATTTATCATTCCGATCAATTTAATTGTTCTGTTTTTTTTATCTCTACAAAACAAAACTTAGGTATAGACAATGTAAAAGATCTTTCTGAGACACCAGAGACTAAAGAAAACACAAGCCTTCAAATGAATATATACGCTTTGTTTTTACGACTTGGTTTTAATAATCAAGAGAATCTCACATTTAAAGATCAGATTACATTGAAAAAAATAGAATCATATCTTGATTTAAAGGTAAGGAAAACTAATAACCTCGTGTTGTTGTTTATTTATGATGATTATTGTAATAAACTTAGTTGGATAGAGGTTAGTAGTGGAATCTAGGACACATGTTTTGTCATTATAAGGGACTCTTCAGCTGGATCTACGTGCACCCTGCCATCAATATTTGCATCAGGACTTGAACCAAGTACGTTTTGTTTCAATATTTTAACAAGTTATCCACTTGACCACTGAGTTCACTTAGCAATGGGGTGGATTTTAATTCGTTTATATTGGTTACATAAATAGTGCAAATGTCATTTTGGGCTGCATTTGATTTCCAGTCTCAGCTTGAATATCAGTACTGGGTTACAGGTACAATCAACTGACGGGTACCAAATAGAACGAATTCGAGTCATGGATTCCGTTACTATCTACCATCCATGTTTGCATGAAATGCTTATAATTTAATGATAATATCGAAGTTATCTACACAAGATTCATAAATTCTAATATAGACTGATCAATAGCAATACATAACATCAATGAGAAAACCTAAGTAAACAATACAAATGTACTATAATTCATTTTTAATTAATGATATCGTCTTAAGAATCACTAAAATCTATGAAAGACTTTGTAATTGTTTCAGCTTCAGCAGTAAAACTTCTCAACAATACACATCAACCACTTTAATAACCATCAAACTGTAGACTTTCAGACAGGCGAGTTAATATTTCCAATTTCAGCTAAATCTACACATAATACGATCATCAAATTTCATTATTGATGACTGTCTCATCTGTAAAACTCTTAAAGATGATTATATAGTGAACGGAAACAGAAGTGGGGACAACTATAACAACATTACAGAATATATTGGTAATATCTGATAAACATACAGTAAATACTTCATTGAAAAATATCTATTAGTAGTCTCAGACGTGATTGTTCCTTAATTTCCATTACCAATCATTCTCTGTGTTCTCGTTCTCTTCTCTTTAATTTTTTCAACCTTTTAATGCTAGGCATTCCACTTTCGATTGGTGACAAATACTACTTATATTTATCGACATCAGTAGCACACATCACAATAATACTTACATGAAAGCATCCCCAGTTAAACAGAAATTTATCCAATATAAATAACAAGCACATTTCTGAATTCAATTAGTGACAAATAAATGACATATCCATGGATCGAATTTCACTAAAGTGTATTGTTAGAATATACAATAGAAAAGAAATTTTGTCTTCATAATAGATGAATCCTGAGTGAATGTAAGACATCAAAGAGGAAAAATGATATTTCATTGATCTCCAAGATTGATGTTTACGTAAAATTCAACATTTTGATAGGTAATCTGATGTAAGTTTGGACCTTTATCAGCTCGCCGTCTCTAAATACTCTCACATGGCCACGTGCATACAACCAATACCACCGAAGTCCTACTCACTGCCTTCTCGCGGCGGGAGTGTTATTTACGAAATTGAGAGGACGAAAAGCGAATGCACAGCACTTTGACCGGGCTGATAGATACGGAGATTCCACCTATAGGAGTTGGAAAACATTGATTCCAAACCAATGGTGCATATGGATTCAACGACCCTAATGGAAAAAATAGCGTATTAATCTACTGTTGGTCACCGGCTACCATGATACTGCATCTTTTGACGTTGCTTCACTGCCTTGTGGATCAAACCTTTAGATTGAAAGCTCTGGCTGTGGCCCCCTAATAAAACCACCTGCTTCGGTCTTGGCACTCGGGTAGTATCTCAGCTATCACACAAATCGAATGATTTATATGGCGCATATATCTATTTGGTGCCTCGTTGTACCAATATTTATATGTTTTAATAAATAAATATAAGTCACTTATTGTCCTTAATATAGTATACTTTTACTAATCATTCTATTATTGATTTATTAAGATGGCTGAAACTTGGACAAATATACAAACTGATTTAGATCATCAACAAATTCGACCAATTACACCAGATAATGAATTATTATCATGTATATCTGAATGGTGTAAAAAACAAATCAATAATGTACAATGTAAAGAACAAGAAATATTAAATTCTACACAAACTTATGAATTAACTGAAGAACAAAAATACTATTCATCAGTAAGTAGATTCTTCTTCGTTTCTTTAATGAAGAATAAGTTCTTGAATTGTATTTAAAGTGCCTTAATGCATATTGATCCTTGATCTATCAGATAATGTAGCTAACAAATCTAGTTCTATGTTGTAACTAATTGACTGAAGCTAACAAACAGCTAACCTCTCTATTGTACAGTAGTGGTTCATCAGAACTTAAACACTCATGAATTTATATTACATAAATTATTATATGAAAATACACTAAGAAATAGAAAATTCATTTCAATAGTTGAGATCATAAGTCAATTGAAGTTAGACCATCACAATGAAAAACCTGGAAGTACTGAAAGGTTGTCAAGAGGTGGGATTGTGGATGCTCACTGATGAGAAGTCTTATACTAAGACGAAACGGCTGTCCAGTGATTTCAGGTTATTCATGATGATGGTCTAGCTTCAATTGACTCATGAATTCAACTATTAAATTACTATAATATCCACGAAACCACTCTCTGATTAAATTAGAAAAGTATGGTTTAAATACAAACAAGTCATAAGTGGGAGAGAATGCAACAAGGGTTGAATAAGAAGTTAGATATAGTTAAGGAACATCAAATCATGTAGCAACAATTAGTGACTACAATTCAATCCTACAATAAGTGGAAAACTGACATACAATAACCCACTTATTTATTAGGTAGATACAATAAAATAAATAATCTGTAAAATAGTTTCAAAATTCTAATCTTCTTCATTACTCGCACTCTTGCAAAACTTCTTTTCATATCATATTAATGAAATATCAAGTTTCACATCACAAACTACCTTTGGTTAAGATACTATTTTAAAAAGCAGAAAACACAGGAGACCTGTTTCATCCTGGTATGATGCTTTTTAGTGTCAGTGCGCTTTAACAACCTTATCAAACATTGAACCTAAGACTCACAGGACTCGTTGTCAAAACTTGATCATTTATATCATTAGGCTTGCATCCAATATTATAATTTCTAATACAGAATGATGATTATCTAATCCTACTGATGAGTAACTGCTTCACAATGACAAATAGTTCGACAATTACTTATAACTTATTTCAATAAATGAGATCATGAGTCAATTAAAGCTAGATCACCATGAAAAACTTGAAAGCACTGGATGGTCGTTTCATACTATTGTGAGACTCCTCAGCAGCGCACATCCACGATCACGTCTAGCGTGATTCGAACTCAGGACTTATCAATCTCGCGCGCGAACAAATTATTGTTATTATTATTAATTATTTTATCACTTCATTGAAATTTTATTATCTATTCCCGTTCCAATTAAGATAAGAAAAATCATACGTAATCAAGAATATGCCATGGAAAATTATAATGACTACATAGCAAGAACGTCGAATCATCAATACCTTAAAGAAGCTCGTATTAAACAATTATCTGCGATTAATGCATCACGTATTGGACGACTGAATGATATCAATAAATCATCAGATATCAATGTGGATATTCAAAAAAACCAATCGGAATCAAATCAGATCAAAGGTCAATTAAGTAAAGGTTCAAATCATGATAAAGGATCCAATATATATCATAAGACAGATATTGATAAGTTGAATGTGACAGTAAGTGATGTCGATTTCCTAGAAAATATATTTATTTGAAATTATATAACTCGAACGGCAGTCTGTATGTAGCCATTTCTAGGTCGAATAGATTATCGATAACTTCCTAAACTATGGAACTAGGTAATCAATGTTAGAACCTCAAAAAGTAGCATCAGTTACCTCAAGTCCCCCAACACCCCTTGATTATGAGTGATATCTAGGACGAAATCTGAATGGACAAAATTTTCTTGCTGACTACTTCCAACCACCTAACATATCAACATAACACATGCAATATCGAGTCATTTTGACCAATGACTGCATGGCAACTTGGTAGATAGAAATTGATTAACTTTAGAGGATTAGAAAAGCTTAGTATTGGTTAATACTCAATAAACTGTCACATTAACATCTGCCAGCCAACTGGTCGGAGAATGATTAAAATTGAGAATGAAAGCTATGAGTTTCTGAAAAATTGACTCAAAAGTATCGTGCTCACGGTGAGATTATAAGATCTTGAATTTAATTTTACGTGAAGCTGTGTTTGAATACAACGAAGAATTTCCCCTTTGTAGTTAGAATAACTGTTTGAAACCTTCTTTGTGATTTGTCAGCAAGGGAAATAATGATTAGTGATTTGTTTAGCAAGACTAGCATATAGTCTGACAGGTATTAAATAAGTCACATATTCTCTAACCCTTATTATTACTGTGATTGTTGCCGGTTTTTGGTGTGGAAATATATTTACTTTCCAGACAGGCTTATCACGTGTTCTTCATCTGAGCTGTGTTGAAGTCCTGTAGAATAGACACTGGAAGGCTATCTAGTGTAGATATTCGTCTAAGGTAAATTAACGTCCCAATCGTGTAGATGCGGAAACCGAGCATCATAAAACTTTGACGTTCAGATTTTCTCTAAGTGATACTAGTTGATGGAGAATTTAATATTAAAACTGAATTCGGTCGAAAGTAGTGAAAACTAGATAATTTATCATCTAAGTTCTATTATTGACCAGCGGAAGCTCGAATAACTCCACAGTAACATCTCAAATTATAAAAGTAAAATGAATTTAAATTCCATGTAAAGAATCCATTTTGTCAAAAATCCAACTCTACCTCGATAGTTCAAATATTCTTTATTAACCATAAATGCCCTGGTACAGTCGAGTCAAATCTCCCTCTCGAACTGCTCTCACATGGCCACGTGCATATAACCAATGCCAGGGAAGTTCTACTCACTGCCTTCTGGTAGCGGGAGTGTTATTTACGAAATTGAGGACAGAAAGTGAATATCCTACACTTTAACTGAGTTGATGGATACGGAGAGTTGGAAAACTCTGATTCCGAACCAATGATGCACATAGGCTCCATATGGAAATAACGGCGTATTAATCTACTGTTGTTCACCGGCTACCATGAAACTGCATCTCCTGAAATTGCTCCACTGATATGTGGATAAGACCTTTAGATCAAAGACATCAGGTGTGACCCCCTAAGAAAACCACTAACTTCGGTTTGAGCATCCGGGCAGTCTCCCAACCCTCACACAAATCGAATGACTTACGTGGCGAATATCTGTTTGGTGCTTCTTTGTACCAATGTTTATGTGTTTTAATAAATAAATAAATCTCCACCATAACATTTAACTAAAACATATAAAGTACCCTATCGATTAACAACTTAAAATACTAAAATCTTTCCTTTGTTTATTATATCATACTCTTCTTATATTTCTTGTTTTGTTTTTCATTTTCACCTTTCTATAGGCTTTCTGCTCACAAACTATTCATATTGATTCAACACCTAAACAACTATTTCAACATCCAAGTAAATTAGAAGATGAATTAATTAAATTAGTTGAAAGAAAAAATGAACAATTACCCTTGAATGATAGTGATATTAGTGATCATGAAATGAAAGATTAAATTTTATCTATTAAACAAACAATACCTTACATAATCTGTTTTTTTTCATCTTAAGAATGGTTTCAGTTTACAAAAACATTATTATAGGCAAAGATAGATGATGATTAGCAGTAGGATCTAGTATATCCAGTTGATGAATCCTAAAGAGGACGAAACGTGTGTCATGGATTCTATTACTAGTCATCACCTATGTCTGGGTATGATTATCAAAAATGATACCACGATTAGAGGAACCACGACAATCACATAGAAAAACAGCATAACCAAAATGACAAAATAATTGAGCATGAGCAAATCTATTTTTTTTAATGAATATAAAGTAAACAAATATCAGTTACAATCACTAAATTATCGATCATTATGAAATATTTCATTTCAACAACAAAAAACACATAAATCGAGAAATAAGATCAATAATATGAACTACAACAGTAAAAAGGGTACTCTTCAATTTGACATAGATTCGCTTAAAAGTACGAATATTCAATATCGGGTAGGTTGGTATAATAATAGTTGGGTTTTACTCATTATATATTAGCCTAAACAACGTTGCTTGATCTCTATGGATTATTTGAATCTTTCCATTGATGTTTAACATTGTGATTGATCGATCAGTCTCGTTCTTCATAACTAACAAAAATGAGTGTCAGTTAATAGGTATTTGGAAAAAAACTGGACTAGAAATGGTTTAGGTGAACTAGCAGACAATGGATATATGGACTCAGTAGCTAAGTGGACGAAGCAATGGCATTTGATGTGAACGGTACTGTGTTCGAGTGCTAGAGTGAACATTAACTCTGAGATGCAGGTACATAGAGATAGGACAAAACGCGCTTCCTGGATTCCACTGCTATTCAATATCCATCTTTGCTTATAATGCTTGTGAATTAAGATAATATCGAGGCAATACACACAGTATTTGCATATACTAATAACAGATTGATCAATTTCAGTCCTAAACATCAATGGGATGTATCACTTAAACAATACCAAGTGGATTTAAACTTAACCACATTGCACAAGTAAGTAGCTGAGTGGATAACGTGATGGCATTTGAAGTGAACGGTACTGGGTTCGAGTCCCAGAGTGGACATCAACTCTCAGATGCAGGTACATACAGATAGGACGAAACGTGCGTCCTGGATTCCACTGCTAGCCACTATTAATCGTTGCTTATAATGCTTGTGATTTAAGGCAATACGCACAGTATGCACATATGCCAATAAGAGACTGATCATTATATAGATTCAAACGAACAATACAAAAATGAAGTGTATTATTCTTAATAATATAATAAGATAGTATCAAGAAATAAAAATTCGTAGTGTAAGTCGCAAAGCTGTTATATTGTTCTATTTTAGAAAAGATTATGTCGATATATTTCAAACACAAATATCAGTATAACTAGGCATAAAAAAAAATATGAACACATTTTCTTCAGTTGTAGTCATCATAAAATTCGTGTAGGAGATGGGATATTTTCTGTTCGTCTAAACTAATCCAAGTGTTTTCATTGAGAGGAAAATTTCTCGAGACTTTCATTTAGAGGTCTAATCAACAAGATAACGTCAAAGAATTCATCCCAATGGTAACTAATATCCACAGATACGTTAATAAACTTTTGGATCCCTCAAAATCCCAAAGCCCATATGCACAACTGATTTGGAATCAGGATTTTCTAACTCCCTTCAGTAGAACCTCTGTATCCGTTTTCGTAAAAAAAAATTAACTACTCATGTAAATACGGTGAGTAGGACTTCCCAGGCATAAGTTATAATCTCGTGGTTGTATGATAGTATTTCGAGAGGAAAAGGGGACGCTCTCTCACTCCACCCTCAAACGTACCACGGCGTTTAAGGGTAGTTGTTTCTGCGAATATGGTTTTATTTATTTCATGTTATGAGCTGTGCTATGTTGAATGCACTACTCTATAGACTGTAAAATTGTAGAAGTAAAATAAAGTTCCACAGTTCTCATCAATTGTTCCTCTTTAATTAACTTAGAATCGATTAGCATTAAGATTAAATTACACAGAAATGAACTTGATTTAAAGTTCTAAATCTGACGTTGTTTTCTGGAGAGACAATAAAAACTTCATGATTAAATTAATCTATCAAAACAACACAACTTTACTAAAATCATCCACTTAAGGTGTAATAAATCTTTCATTTATTTCATCAGTCAGTAACAACGTGGAACTTCGTAAGTACGTACATCAGTTCGAGTTGCCATACCACATTAGCACAGAGATTCAGTTATCGTCTCAAATCCCATAGTGGTAGAGGTACTAAAAGTATAAGTAGTGATAGGGAACATTACGGTTTGATGATGTTATTTAAGGAGTATAGTCCAGTGGAATAGATTTGGAAAGAAAATAAAAGACATGAAGAATACAGAAGATTATAGTTTGAGAGAACACAAAGAGTGGATGCACATGCGCCATTGCAAACGATTTTCAGCCATGTCATTCAAGGTCTCTAACCATCGGTTGCTATCATCTCGCGGTCCCCAACCAGGTAGTCTACATCTACCAACATGGCTCAGTCCACTTGTCAGTGACTTCATGGATTTGTGCCATGTTTTGGTCTGGCCGCCCATAGCTTTCTTCCAACCTACTCCTACACCAGAAAACATAGCACGTCGGGGCAGTCGATGGTCGGGCATGCGCAACTAATGTCCCAGACATTTCAACTGATGAAGTTTCACTACTTCACCAATTGATTTGCCATCCTTACCTAGTACCCGTTTCATAACAACTGCATTACTTACTCAGTGGTCCCAGGATATACGAGTGATGTTTCGAAGACACCTATGGTCAAATACTAGTAACCTACGAATATCCTCTAGTCTTACAGGCCATGTTTCACTGCCATAAAGTAGGACGGAACGAACTGCTGCGCAGTAAACACGTCCTTTGGTTGATAGACGGATATCTCGCCTACGCCACAAATGACGCAAGTTGGCAAAAGCTAGTCGAGCCTTCTGTATCCGTGCTGAGTTTTCGTCACACACCAAACCACAAGGGCTGATGAGACTTCCGAGACAAGTGAAGCGGTCGACACGCTCAACTACTTCACTCTCTATCACTAGTTCGGGTGTCGACGTAACCCAATCCTGAAGCAACATTTTGCATTTCGAGGGAGAAAATCGCATGCGAACATGCCTGCATTGTTGCTATAAGATGAATCCCGATATTTAAAACAGTGTGATACACTGCATAAAATTCAATACTGTGATTAGTGCTGTTAGAAGTATGAAATGGGAGGTTGATTATGAATACAGTGATCTTGAGTGCTGTGAACCCTTGTTATATAATAATAACAATGTTAATGTAAAGACAGACTATCAACAAGTTAGCAAAATGAATGAAAACAACGACAGTCTCAGTAATGATAAGTTTCCAATTATGCAATCGACGCCAAAATAATTGAAACACTCGATTTCAAGATATGTCAACCAATCTTCTACATGAAATAGTAACCAAACTAACGTTCTCGAATTCATTGGTAATAATAAAAAAAAATTGTTCAAATGAATTAATCAATATAATATGACTTTGAAACAAGTATTCTTTATCAGAAGGGGTTTTGTGGAGATTGTAGCAATTTCCGAAGTTGAGATCGTGAGTCAATTAAAACTAGATCACAATAGAAAAGTTAGAAGCACTGGTTTCATTCTAGTATGGGGCTCCTCAGAAGTGCGCATCCACGATTCCGCCCCGCCAGATCCAAACTTAGGACCTATCAGTATCGCGAGCGAACGCTTAGAGGTTAAGCGTATGTATATCTAATGGTAGGCATCTTCTGTTCATCCCCTCATAATACTCTCATATGATCGGAAATTAGTTAGCCTATTATTACTAAAGAAGTCATATAATTGTACTAAAGTGTAAATGACAGGTTAATCAAAACACCAGATAAGTATTGTTTTTTTATTATTATTTACCACGTTATTATGAACTCACTTGAATGACAATTATTATTGAACAACGATAGGGTGAATAATCAAATCTTGACATACTTCCACATCAGTAAGGTGTGTATGTCGATATGACCAGTGACTGAGTATACGTACGTAACACATGTTCTAACCAATTCAATCGATGAAATTCCATAATTTCATCAAATGAGTAGTTATCATTTACCTAATACATTAACTCTAACATCAATATTACTACCTTAGTGATATCAATATACGAAAGAGAGAGAAATAGTTTCGAAGACATTTTTCGTCAAATACTAGTGACTAGTGACCTAATAGTAATCATCTAATTTACATGTTTCACAAAACATAAACCAGAGAAAACAATTAAGTAGTATATTTATCCTTTAATTGATCAACAACCAAAAAAACTAACCTGACAATCATAAATTCATGTGTCCAGATTTCATTAGACACAAATCCTCAACAGCAATAACAAAAATGAAGTTTACCATTTATATACATAATTCAAGAGAAATTATTTATAGTAATTAATTGTTTATAAATACTAAATAAGAAAAGGATCAATGATGTTATAACAGAATGAAAAGACAAATTAATCATTGACGAAAAACAAAAGCTAAATACTACTGAATACATTAGTTAAATCATTGAACATAAGTATACATATCTTTTCTTCATAATAAGTAGTATATATTTTGGTCTTTGAAGAAGAAAAAAAAGAAGGAAGCACATCAGCTGATCATCATCTTCACAAATATGAATCCTTGTTTTGTTTTGGATAAAGTGATGTATACAATGGGAAATTAAAAATAAATTCTAAATAATTCCATGAATTACCATGGTAAGGAGAGGGTGAGGTGTATATATATGTGTGTGTGCGTATGTATGGAGGGGGGTTGGGTTGGAAATATACATACATGACTATGATAATAAATTATACATAGAAGATGTGGAATGAATCGTCATATACTTTTTTTTTGCTTCATTTAACTAGATTTACAAAGAGTTTCTTCAAGAAAATTTAAAACTGTTGCTTCAACATGAGATTGATGCTTTAAACGATGTCGAGAATTTGGATAAAACTGTAATAGGAAAATGGGAAAATAGAAATAGCATCAGATGAAACAATATATAAGTTGACACTAGAATAAATTTACAGTAACTGATTGACTAGCTTTTTAGATGTTTTAAAAGTTAATCAAAATAATGATTCAATTGGATAACTCTAAATGATATCATAGGAAGATTTTCGATTTTGCAGGGAAACATGTCTCATTGATTAGGAGATAATATATATGAACTGGATGAAATAGTTGTTCAATTAGGTTCTAATATGACAGCTAGATCGGTTGGAGGAAGATAAGACAAAAAGTAGCTAATAGTACTGGACTGTGACGAAATTGAGATGTTTTTCTCAAACAATAAGAATTTTTAATGATGTGGCCTTCCTATAACGTCAAGAAGGAGTTAGAAAAAATCTGCCCTAAAAATAGCACTCACAGATTTCCTTCTACAGTAGTAAAGCCTTAAAAGTACAGAATTAAAAGATCAAGAACTACTCACAAAAACGCTGTGTATGAACGATCTCAAGTAGTTTTCCTTTGTGTTTTGCAGTCATCTATTTCAGGTTTTCAAGCTTACTAATAACCCAATCACTTTTCAAAATACTTTATTAAGGGAGGGAGGGTATCCTACCACGCTATGGGCGAACGGGAACTGGCAAATGTCCGTATAATTTTAACAGCACTGAAGATCGCCCAACATACCTATGCTTGTGACACACATGAAAGTAGACGGATAATGTTCTCACAATATTTTATTCAGTTAAATTATGAACAGTTGTTTAAAATGAAATCTAGTTCCTCAACTAAGAAACATATAATGTAGAAATTTTCAAAAATACAGTTTAAGGGATTAACTAAACTTAGGAAGTCAATTATGCAGATGATGGTTCCAGGTAATCAACAAGAAACCCTACCCGACCTAATTTTCGTGCTATCACGCACTCGTCAAAAAAGCCCCAGTCATCTTGAGAGAACTGATGCTCATTTACAGACTCATCATCATGTGACCTAGTTTCACAATCAGAGATGTTACCACCAAACTATTCGAGCCATGACTTACCTCTTCTGTAGAACTGAGATGTATTTACAAATGATTGATCAATGAGCAGTGACCAATACCAAGTATGTAACGTCCTTCTGAATGCTGATTGAATTCTATCGACAAATTTGCCGTACACCTTAACACAGTGCACGCTATGTCAAATCACAGTGTAACTCGATCAATAGAATTCGATCAGCACTGAGAAGGATTTAATATACATGACATTTGTCACTATTCAGGAATCGATCGATTCTAAACAATCAATTATCAATGTAAAATAACACAACGGTGTTGTTTTACATGTGGGGATGCGCTAATCGGTAATAATATTTAACGTAGTAACCTCAGGAATATTGTAGTCTACTAATATTAACTGTACCTCCCATAATAAACTGAATAAACAGAAAAAAGCTACATAACTTCTATTTAGAATTCACATTATGTTCTAGGATCATCTATATACAGTCAAAATAATTTTTCTAAGTCATTAAAAAGCTGATATTAAAACTAATAATTGAATTGGTTGTCAGTTTCATTTCCTTCCATTTATATTATTTCTAGTGTTTATTAACATTATATAGTACTAGCCAGACTGGGTAAAACAATAACACCGTCAGATGCTGGCTCAGTGAGAGCGAAGGTCCTGGGTTTGATTCCCAGTTACATGGTCGTGGATGCGCGTCGCTGTGGAGTGCCACACCCAGTGCTTCCAGGTTTTCAATACTGGTTTAATTTAAATCAGTTCATGGTATCAATTTAAAAATCATTGCTTATAAGAATATTATATATAGCATGGTTTACCGTACGAAGTTGTATTACTCATTTAACAAAATTTGACAAATATTTAAGTACAATAATGGTTAAAATATAGTTTAAATGTTGCCTATTTTGCGTCGTCTAATGTTACTACTACTTTTCATCAACATTGTTATACATAAAAAGATATAAATCAATAGGATTTTCTTCAACATAGATACACAACCTAACGAAAAGAGTGATCCAATTAAAGTACATTTATTTATTTATTCATACACACGAACATTGGTACAAGAAGGCACCGAATATATATATATATATATATATATATATATATATATATATATATATATATACATAGCAGGGTATTTGGAGGTAAAGTGCTCCTTCCAAGAAAGGGTTTCGTCAAACAAAACCTGCAAAGATCCAAAATTTTTTATAAATACTTGGTGTAAAAAATCTTAATATGATTGGTCACAAACTGACGTCGCTGGTTGCAGAAATGTTGACAAATCAGGGAATAAACAGACATGTCATCTTTACATGAGATTCATGTCAACAGTAAAAACATTTACAATTTGATCAACAGGATAGAGCAACACAGACAATCTAATAAATCGTCTAAGATGATAACAACATCAATTGAATTATTTAGCCATTTTAATATATGAATTTACCTGAAAATGATGTGGTTTACCGCATGCATCTAATTTTTCAATTAATGATGATGTATGCAAAAAATGTACATTTTCATCTTGACCACCATGGAATATAAATAAATGATATTTATTTGATGGCATATTTGAAACATAATTCATTACGTTACCTTTACTATTGAGAAAAAAAAAAGAAGAACAGGAGAAAAACGAACAAGCAAACAAACAAACGATGATTGTCAAATTTACACTTGAAGCGATGAATGTAGTTACCGATGAGTTGTAGAATTACAACACAAGAATAAGTCTAATCCCTAATGTAATTAGTTCATAAGCGAGTAAACGTATGATTTGAACCAAAATGCATATATCCAAGAATACTAAAAAACTGGATAAAATGTTCACTAGCAACGTCATATTAACAGTGTTAGACAACAACAGTTTACAGATTGTATATCTTCGCATTTTGCTATCTCGTGCTGCCTGATATTCAACGACACTCCTAAATGAAATCCAATGCAACCTATACATCAAACTAATCTTCATAGAACCCTTTAAACTAAATACGAGATTCTATTAACTGTTATAAAAGTAAACCTACCAATAAGCATCTGGATTATCTTTAGGTAGACCGATATATCGTTCTGTGTATGCGGTATCATATAACGTCCAATCAACTACCGGAGAAATAGCTATTGCAGCTTTATATACATCGTGATATAGCATTGCAGCCATCAATGACATATAGCCACCTAAAGACGAAAAACAAAAGAAGTTTCATCACCATTATAATCATAATCAAAACCGTAATACAACATTTTTTTATTTTAAAAAAATGATTAAATTTGCAATAAACAAATTTAACTGAACAGTTGATATATAATGGATGGAATGTGGCTAGTAGTGGAATCCAGGACGCGCATTTCATCCGAATTGGGAGTCGTCAGATGGATATAGCTACTGAAACGCGCTTCATGGATTAGACTGTTAGCCACATTTCATGTATTCCTATAATAACTGATGTCATAATTGACCATATCGAGGTGATCCACACCGGATGCCCAAATATGCCAACAACGAGATAATCTAAACCATTTCTAATTGAATTAATTGAATAGTAATAACAGGCAATTGATTTTATGTACATTATTTTTTGTACCATCTAACTCTTTAATATTTCATCTTTGATGTTAGCTACTTGAGATTTTTTTTTGAAGAGAAACGTTCAGTGACGATCTCAAACAAAACATTAATAAGTCACTTGACACATTAATAATTTATTCAATAACTATAGCATTGTGAGTTCTACATTGTCGATGATAAACGTATTGTTCAAATGATATGTCTGATAACCAATCGCTTGATCCGATTTCCTGGCCTCTTGCTCATAAACCCAGGCTAAATCTACACAGTAACTTGAACACAAGATAAAAAGTGAGAAGTTCGAACAAATCGCTTGGTTCCAATGTTAATTTAATTACAGAAAAGAAAGTATCTATAGAGTTACACGACCTTGAGTTCTAAACATTTCTGGAACAACACTAGATATAGTAATAACGTTGGCGATTATTCAATCAACACCGCAGCAGATGATTCTGCATTCTCCAGATGTCTCCGCAAAGATCCTTAAATACAGGATGAACAATTTCATAGGACATTTACAACGTATCACTGAACTAGTAGTAGTGAGTCACAGAATGAATGTTAACAGTATGAATCCATTTAACTGTGACTAAATTCTATAAGCCATTATAAGATTTCTTATCGATTTGCAGGTATTCTCTTATCAAATCAACATTTTTAAGCAAGTGTAATCAATAAGGTGCAATCTACGATAAACATTTCATCATATTTGAGACTCGTTGGCTGAATATACACCTGTACAAGTGTTTATGTTTGCGTTAAGATTAGAACCCAATACTTTTTGGCTCGAACACTCAAAGCATAATCGATTGAGCCACTATCGGATTTAGAAATAAAAAAAATCGCAATACAAAACTATACCGAAAAAATCCACTGAATATGTAAATATTGGCAGCATAGGCTGAATAAATTGCACACCAAAATGATTTATTATTTATTTAAAAGCATAAAGATGTGCGCTAGAGTTCATTATTCGATATGTGTGCGTGCTGAAATACTGCACGAGTACCCGAACCAAAGCATGTGGTTTTCTTAAGGGGACATTACTTGAACATCTAACCCAAAGGTCTAATCCACAAAGCAGTGAAGCAAAGTCAGAAGATTGGGTACCGTAAAAGCCGGTTCGTATGCCATTTGTTCCCGCAAGATTATAAACCTAATGCGCACAATTGGTGTGCAATTAAAGTTTCTCAACTCTCATTGTTGGATCCTTCGTTCTTATCAACTGGGTACAAGTGCCGGATATTTACTTTTCCTAATCTCAATTTCGTAAACAACACCCTGATTAGAGAAGGCAGTAGGACTTCACTGACAGTTGCTACATACGCATGGCCATATGAGAGCGTTTCAACAGAGAGAGCAGACTCCCCCCCCCCACTCTCAGTCTAATCAGGGCATTTAGGGGCTCCAATACCAAACAACGGGGAATTATAAACTATTACTAACAATAAAATATTACATATCGACATATGGTCAAATAGGAAAGTTGTTGACTCATAAAAGTCATATATCAAATGCCCTGGTACGGCCAAGAGTGAGGAGAGTCCGCTCTCCCTATCGAAATGCTCTCATATGGCCACGCGTATATAGCCTCTGCCAGGGAAGTCCTACTCATTGCCTTCTCGTGGCAGGGGTGTTGTTTACGAAAGTGAGAGGACCAAAATCGAATGTCCGGCGCTTTAACCGGGTTGGTCGACAGGGAGAATCGGCCTAGAGGAGTTGGAAAACCCTCATTCCAAACCAATAGTGCACATGGGCTGTCTCCAGTATCCTGAGCGAATAAATGGTGTATGAACCAATCGTTGGTCACCGGCTACCATGGGACTGCATCTCCTTGTGGACCAAATCTTTAGGTCGAAGGCTCAGGGTGTGGCCCCTAAGAAAACCAACTGCTTCGGTTTGGGCACCCGGGCAGTATCACAGCCCTCACACATATCAAATGAGATTTGTGTGGCGCATATGTATTTGGTGCCTTCTTGTACCGATATCTATGTGTTAAAATAAATAATATATATACATACATATATAAACACGATAGCCTGCTTACCAAAGGAATAGCCCATAATAGCAACCCGTGAAAGATCAATAAGTCCAGTGGTTTTTGCAGCATACTTTAAAAAGGCCACATGATCATCAAGTTCTACCTGGCCCTAAATTTGTTTTTAAGAAAATAGATTATGATATTTTAATGATGAAAGGAGAGAACATAAAAGATGTTAACCCTCGCAGATTGAAGGGATTTATAACTACCACTTACCTTTATGAGAGATGTTAGGTGGTTGAAGAGCAATTTGAAAAAGAATACCAGGGGTAGACAATGTCAAAGTGTGATACCAATAAATGACATCATTGACTGCTAGTCTGAGCTATGTTGGTAGGGATCTGAACTAGTTGTCTGAGATCCATGCAGTAACCCTAGTCAATGATTTTAGACGCCCAATGACAAAGCTGTGAATTGATCAAGATGGTGCAGACATATTTGCTATTTATTTTATTCTAGATCTTCAGTTACCTTCATATGTCACTTTTGAATTCTTTTTCTTGAACTATCTCCTCAACGTTCCTTCCTTTTCATTACCATTATTAAAACCATTGTTATTTCAAACCCGTTACTAACCACCTTGTCAATTTCATTGTGTTGTACTAATGTGGTTTGAGAACTTGAACTAACGTATATATATACATATATATGCCAGTCTCTAAGTCGTTTTATGACCAATTGATAGAATGAAGGTTGTATCAAAAGATCAATCTTTATTTTCGCCATTGTGTAAAATCATATTTCGAAAGGAAAACAATTCAAAGAGTTCACATTATATTCAAACGTATTATAAACAGTGTTTCCTGACGATGTCAAGACACTTAGATTGATGAACACATATTACTTGATTAACAGAATTTGAGATCTAGATAAATGTAACATTGGTCACTACCATTCAATGATCAGTTATTGTAAATATTTGTAAATGATTTTCAGTTTAGACGTACCTAAAAAGGAAATTAGACTAACAGAAGTTTTGGTGACCTGAAAGCATGATAAAAGACTATAAGGGACAACAAGTTAAGGTTAGTTATAGATATGTTAGCTTCTAACTTTAAAGGCTTTACAACTGATGATGTAGAACTGTAGGGTATGATGAGGTGAAATATTTTTAAGAATAACCATTTGTAACACCTTCCTTCCTCTGTAAGTATTAAGATAATGATTGTCTGAAAACAAAAACCTTACTATTGTCAAAATCTTTTACAATCAGCAATACGACTTGGATCCTACATCTTAAATTTGCGGCTTTTATTCGTAGAGTCAATCAGCTTGTCATGATAGGACTTAAAGGAATCAACTGGATCATCACAATATACAAACTAGACTAGCATATCAAGATGACAGTTAACATCATCAGATCAAAATGATTGTATTTGTTATAAAATGTACTTATAATAAAAATTAAATAATATTGGATCAACTTGATACATGTATAGTACATTAATTGAGGTTAGTGTTTTCCAAGTCTATATTCGAGGCGGCCTGCTTGAGTATCTGAGCTACCTGTTCCTGACATCTGGATATTGCAACAAGTTATCTGTTTTCTTATTTGTTTTAACACATCATTATGCCTATTACTCTCATAATCTATTCAGGTGCGTTTGTGAAATGTTTACGACATTTCGCTGTACAAGTTACAAAAGAGCTCAACCAGAGACATTATGGTTACTGGCAATATGCATCGAAAAGGATATACATTTATCAGATATCGATTCCTGAACCGCTAACATCTAACTGGCGACCACTCAATATTTATCGCAAGGAACTGATCAAGAAATAAGAAAGGGAAACTTGTTGAAATACTTTGTGCTGAGAATTCTATATTGTACCAAAAATAGAATATTGAATAAAGCCATTAATAATAATAATAATAATAATAATAATAATATATGAAGAGAGTAAATCAGATGATGTAATAATTGAAGCTAAAGTATATGTTGCAATACACAACATCCATTTTCAGTTAACACAAAAAGGAACAACTGAAAACAATACACATAAACTTAATTTAACATTTAGATTATGGAGAAGTTCAAGAATACACATTAAATAACTGAAATCAATGTTTCAATGGGATAAATTAATTTTAAACATCTACTTATTATTTCCTATTATGTATTTTCTGTATTGTGTAAACTGTTTAGTTCAAAATTTTATACCATGTCCACAAAATGACTTAACGGAAAATAAGAATGTAAACTATTGTAAAATCAATTCAGTCTACTAAAGATTAAGCGTTTGTTGTGAGGAATAAAGGTGCCAAGTTGTGAATACACATTATTGAAGAGTTCCATACTACAACAAAACAGCTATCTAATACTTTTTGGTTTTCAATAGCTGTTTAACTAGAATAACTTCATAATGTGAAATTATTAACATTACTATTTTAAAAATGTCCACCTATATACTAGGACTAAATGAGGGTTATAAACCTGTGTGAGGAATTAAGATTATGATTTATAGTTGATGGTTAGTATTAGGAAGGATTTGTATGTGACCAATTTGGTCTCATGTGTTGTTACGGGTATGATGGCTGATATCACTTCCCGGCTGTCCACACCGTGGAAGGGTATTTCTTGAGGAACCTGAAAAGGAAATCGGATTAGGGCTGATCTTAACGACCTGGGAACGTGACCTTGGAGCCCAAGAGACAACTGCTTGAGGCCGATCGTGCACGGCCTTTTCGTGGGAGGCCTTTAATGTGTTAGCTCCGTTCTTCAAAGCGCCTTGCCGCCGGAGACAGAAATCCGTGACGTATGGTGTGGTGTGACAATTTTTAGGGTCGATCTTTCCTAACCCCTCCGTTCCTTGTGAGAAGGCAGCATTGCTGTAGATGCTGGTTGTCCGAGGGAAACACATTACTGCTGTCACACCTCTCTACAGTCAGCAGTACGACTTCGCCCTCAGACCTTGAGTTGCTGCTTTTAGTCTTACCGTTCTCCAATCGACCTGCCTGGCATGGTAGAACCTTCAAGAACATATGTTCCAGCCAATATAGCTCGGTTGAGTCATCACGATAGGCAAGCCCGACTACCACGTCAAGGTAGCCGCTACGGTCGTGTTTAGTGTTAGGAACAAGAATTAGGGTTTTCATGATGAACTGACACCAGTTATATTACTAAAACGCTATCTAGCCAAATGTAATGGACACATAAATTCGGAAGGAAATTTCATCTACTCTGTATTTATCATCAGTAGAATTAGAAAAACGACACTGAAAGCTTACTGCTCCCATAGCATTTTAATGCGACAATGAATTTGGAATCTTTCATTCTTGTAATTTAGGACTTCCTTACAAATCTGTAAGACTTCACTCTATGAATCGGGCCCGGAATGCATAAATTTCACTGGATTTACATTGCCTACATACAAATTAGTTTTAAATTTGATTCAACTTCTGATATACATCTACTGTGATGATCACCACATATCATGAATTCTAAATGTTTTCAATACTTTTCTGATATAAGTAAAACATAATTAGAATGGAGGTTTGTGGAGATTGTAGTAATTTTTAATAGTTAAATTCATTAGTCGGTTTAAGCAAGACCACGATTATAAACCTGGAAGCACTGAACAGTTTTTTCGTACCAGTATGTGGGATCGTGCATACGCAATGCCACTGAGGAGTCCCATACTAAGACGGAACGGCCATCCAATGTTTCCAGGTTTTCAAAGATGGTCAAGCTTAAATCAACTCATGAATTCAACAGTCAAAATCTAATTGTAATTATTTGTCAACTTACTAATCGATCTTTAATATGACCATCAAAATTGATACCACGATTAGAGGAACCACGACAATCACATAGAAAAACAGCATAACCAAAATGACAAAATAATTGAGCATGAGCAAATCTATTTTTTTTTAATGAATATAAAGTAAACAAATATCAGTTACAATCACTAAATTATCGATCATTATGAAATATTTCATTTCAACAACAAAAAACACATAAATCGAGAAATAAGATCAATAATATGAACTACAACAGTAAAAAGGGTACTCTTCAATTTGACATAGATTCGCTTAAAAGTACGAATATTCAATATCGGGTAGGTTGGTATAATAATAGTTGGGTTTTACTCATTATATATTAGCCTAAACAACGTTGCTTGATCTCTATGGATTATTTGAATCTTTCCATTGATGTTTAACATTGTGATTGATTGATCAGTCTCGTTCTTCATAACTAACAAAAATGAGTGTCAGTTAATAGGTATTTGGAAAAAAACTAGACTAGAAATGGTTTAGGTGAACTAGCAGACAATGGGTATATGGACTCAGTAGCTAAGTGGACGAAGCAATGGCATTTGATGTGAACGGTTCTGTGTTCGAGTGATAGAGTGAACATTAACTCTGAGATGCAGGTACATAGAGATAGGACGAAACGTGCGTCCTGGATTCCACTGCTATTCAATATCCATCTTTGCTTATATGTCAACCACCATTATAATTCCAAAGAGATCGTGTTGGGATGAACGAATTAACATTTAAATCTTTGCGTAATAAAATCCTGAGTAATATTTGATGCCACTATTTTCAAACGCCGGCTTCAGTGACTTAGATATATTTTCCAAATGTCACCGCAGAGTCTTTTACAGCATCAGTCTATTGAACTACCGAATAACATACATAAATACCAATACATATATACAACATTTCTAACCCTCAGAAAATCAATCCATTCTTTAGCAAATGGTATACAGTTGTCCTTCAGGTTATTTCTGATTGTCATCAAGCGACCGTCTGACTTGGCTACTTCCGATTGGTTCACTATATCAGAAGGTACCCTACGAAGACAATGGAAAGTGGTTGTGCAATATCATGGGTTGATCGCAGTTAGACTTGTACATCATGAGATTCTGGATCGATGGTATAGACAGTAAGCATTCGGCGTTGAAACTTAAAGTCTTGAGTTTGAATTCCGGTTGCGAGGTTATGGATGAGCATTATTGGATAGTCCCATACTAAGGAGAAATAGTTGTTCCGTGTTTCCAGACTTTCATTGGCTGTCTAACTTGGGTTGATTCGTAGTTTAAATGAAATTCAACAGTCTTCACAGTCCAATACTGACACTAAGCATTATTAACGGAAATTGAGTAAACCCATGTACATATAAGTACTCCTCTATTTTCTTCACAATACTATCACTTCGTTTCAGTAGTCCATACTTCTGATGACTAGTTGTACTACAATTTATGTATATTAAGTTTTCAATTAACCATAATATAAACAACTAAAAACCAAGACTTACACAGATCTTGAATAACTCCCACGAACAAGTTGAATACCTGGACCACCATAGACAAAATGCAATGTTGGATAACTAACAACACTAACACCATCGACCGATGATACAGGTAACAGACGACTATGATTACAATTCGGCACAAATAACTGTCCATATAATATAGATTGTGAATTGCTAAACTCAATATAATTTGATGAGTATGTAACACTAATACTACTACTTATATGATCATTCATACATTCATCATTATTATTATTTTGTAATTTGAGCATTCGATCTAAATTATTAAATATATCACATCGAAGAACTAGCGGAGGATTAGTTGGATAAAATCCATTGAACGCATTATAATGCCATACTATTGAATTAGTTTATTGTTGACATAAAAAAAGGAAAAATGATTCCAGGGTGAATTTACCATGAACATTACAGGATATGCGGAATATTAGATAAATAAAACTGTGAATCTTAACAAATTATAACTTATATATCAAATACACCTTGTTTTATATATATAAGGCTTCAATTATGACATAAAGAATAACGGAGAAGATTTGGAAGATGTAAACTCCTTTACATATTTGGGCCATCATCCAGAAGAAACAGGTGTTTATTAACATTTGTCTACGCAAAATACTTCGGATCCGTTGGCCAGACACTATCAGCAACAATGTACTATAGAAGAGAACAAACCAGATTCCAGCCGAGGAAGAAATCAGGAAGAAGCGCTGGAAGTGGAGAGAACACACATTCAGGAAAGCACCGAACTGCACCACAAGACAAGCCCTTACATGGAATCCTCAAGTCCAAAGGAGAAGAGGATGATCAAAGAACACATTACACCGGGAAATAGAGATAGACATGAGAAAAATGGATAAGAATTGGATGGAACTAGAAAAGAAGGCCCAGGACAGAGTTGGTTGGAGAATGCTGGTCGGCGGTACCACAACACCCTAATAGGTTAGGGTAATCGGATAATCTGTCACACAGAGTGTGGCTCAAAACTGAATAGGAATTTGTAATTAGTAGGTGATTTACGTCATCTTTGGGAGAATTAAGTCTACGAATCAGATCTTAATATAATGAACAGCAACTACAAAGCTGATATCCTCCAATAGTGTTATTTTACTTCTAAACATTTGTATATTAGCAAATTATTTTATAAGATACCAAACCTATTCTTCTATCTAGTGGTCACAACCTTTGATATCAGCTCATTCAGAAGCTCGAATTGACAATTTCATCTTGTAGGCGGCCATAACTCAGTTAGATCAATCGGTATTCTATGTCTATATACTTTAATGAATTAAAACTCATTCAAAGCAATCCAATCTGAATTCATAGCAAAGTCACATCAATTATGTCACTTAGTGGGTGATAATACCCAGGTGATTAAACTCAAGTTGTTCATAGCTCGAAAAAGTGGTCCAAGAACTAAAAAAGAGTTTAGGAATGAACAACAAAACAGTGAACACAACATTAATTATTCATTAAGTTCACGCTACGTGCTATCATTTTCATCTATTTAATCCGTGAAACGTGTGTGGCATTAAACACTTGTTATTGAAGAGAAATCAGATTAACATCATTGAATTTTAGAAAAAAACTTAAGGGTAAATACAGTCAAATGTGTTTTTTGGATTACTGAAAACGTGATAAATTACCGCCTCATTAGAACTTATTATTCTTTACAGAAAAGATTAGTCACTTAGCCTGAATGATTGTTGGAACAAAATGACTAAATACCCTGAGACCGTTGAAGATGCTAAGATAGTAGAGGCCAACTAAAAGTTGTGATCGGGCTTACTCATCATTATTACTTTATCAAACTGTATTGGTGGGAGCGCTTGTTCCTTCAGGTATTATCATGCTAGGTAGGTTAGCTGAACAACAAGAAAACTGAAAGCAGAGAATGAAAAATCAGACAGTAAAGTCATGCTACCGACTGTACAGGGGTGTGACAGCAGTAAAGTGTTTGTTTCAGGAAACCAGTATCGGCAGCGATGGTTCCTCTTCATAACGAACCAAGTAGTTGTCCCTTAAGCTCCATCGTCACGCTCCCAGGAACTCAAACCACTCCTAGTTTAGGTTAATTTCCAGGGACTACAAGAAGAAGTATTCTTCCAAGATCTGGGGGTCACGTATCACGCATGCCCGACCACCGATTACAACGACGCACAATGCTGACTAGTGTTGGAGACGGTTGGAAGAATGGGCGGCCAAAACGTGTCATCAGTCCCTAAAGTCACGAACGTTTGGTCTGAGCGATGTTGGTAGATGCAGACAAATTGATTGGGGTCCACGTGACTATCGTAATTAAAGGTTGGAGACTCTGGGTGACGTGGCTCAGAATCGATCACAATGGCGTAAGTGTATACGCACTTTGTCTTCCTTCTTTTTACGAACTCATTCTTTCTTCATGTATATCATTCAAAAATGAAGAATATTTGAGCGAACAATTGTTTTCAATAACTTCATCATCAGGCTCTACAGTTATAAGTCCATAATTATGATATTGAAAACAATTGTTCGCTCAAACATTCTTCATTTTTGAATATATTATTATATGCAATCCTTTTTTGCCACCATTGAAGTAACTGCTTCTATGAATGTAGTGTTGTTGTGCAAATGAGGTATGGCAACATGGACCGATGCATATATGTGCCTGGTTCTACTTTGTAGCTGACTGATTGATTGACTGACTGACCTGCTCCACCTAGATTTCTCGTTATTTGTAAATAGTTGAAAGATAAGGATTTATAATTGACTGACAATTGAGTAGCAACTTATGTAATGTTTAGCAAGTCCTTTTACATGTTGACCAAGTTGCGATGATGCCACTAGTCTAAGTGACTAGACATTGTGTGAAATATACGAAGATTTCAGTTGGTAGGAAGTGGTTGATAGAAAACCCTGACGGACTTAGGTTTCATCCTAGATGCCACTTGTAAACAAGTTGTACCTGTAATATTACAAGAAACAATATTTCCTGGCGAACCTGGTTATTTGTCATCCAGTCTTACAGTCAAAGACACCCTTAGAGCCACAAATAACCTCCTGCAGGACTGGGTTATACTTACAATTAACTGATTATTGAGTAGTAACCAATGTCTTATTTATCAAATTCTTTTTAGTGCTGATGAATGCAGAGTTCCCTTTTGACTGTCTCTAACAATCTAACATCTCAGAAGAGTGTAGGTGATTTTAAGTCACTTGGACTTGAGGCCTTATTGCAACTTGATCAGTAGAATTCCATCAGCATTAAAAACAACTTGATAAGTATGATATTGGTCACTTATTATTCAGCAATTAATCAACTTTAAAGAACATATTCAGCTGTAAAAGAGACTAAACAAGCAACTGAATCTTAAAAACTTGTACAACCGGCCATCACACGATACAATAATAGTGTTACGAATCGTAGGATTCAATAATAAAGTGAGTGTAATCAGATTTCAGATGAAAATACATGGAGGATAATAACTTTAAAGGTTGTTACTAAGTTTGAATCCTTGTACAATCAAAATTTCTTACCATGTTTACGAAGCCATGCTATATGTTGTAGAATTGGTTTAGGATGTTTATTTACAGTAATACTAGTAGAATTATTTATTTTATTTTCATTATTCTCAATAATAACTTGACAAATTTGAATGCCAACAAGTTTATCTAAACTGCTTGACTCTAGGATCATAATACCAGATTGAATATTGAATGTATTCAATTCATAAGACAATGGATATGGTTCCATTAATAAACATGAATCATGAAACAATGGATCTAATGCACTTTCAATGTTAGTATTCACTGATAACGATGATGATGATGAATTGTGTGCATTTTGAATGGATTTCATTACATGAGTATCATTGTTGTCGATTGGAAGGTCTAAGGTTAAACAATTTACTTGACCTCGATCACTTTGATTTCCATAACTTACGGAATATCTACATATATTAAGAATAAGAATGGAATTAAGGTAAAATAGAGAAAGACATGAAATTGGTCATACGTTTGCCAAATATTTAAGCGTCTATGCATACAATAGATAGATTGTGGCTAGTAGAAGAAGAAACGATCCATGTTACATACCTATGTCGGACTTGTCAGAGGGACATGTAACGAACGAAAATACAGGTGGTGACAACCGAATGTAGTTGAACACGAACCTACAGAATGTCTTGGTAAAATATGGAAACACAATGAATAATTCATTCACGGATCGGTTGAAGTTAGACATTAACACCGTTGGATGCCGGTCCAGCGGTCTAGAGGTTAAGCGTTCGTGAGCGGGATCGTGGATGTGTGCTGCCGAGGAGTCCCAAATAGGACGAGACGGTCGTCCAGTGCTTCCAAGTTTTCAAAGGTGTTCTAACACCACTCGGTTCACGATCTCAATCAAAAACTTATTAAACTCCACAACAGTATACTGACAATTACCATGTGAACACTACTGACTGGCTTCGTGAAAGAATTCTCGGAGTTCTAGTGAGAAGCCGTGAACAGTGAAGCTAATCGGTGTCGAGTACAGACAGGTATCTTCTTCAGGAAAATGGAAGATCGTCGCGCAATTTTATGGATTGGTTGAGGTTAAACATTAACGCCGTTGGATGACGGCTCAGTGGTCTAGAGGTTAAGCGTTCACGCGCGAGACTGAAGGCCATGGGTTCGAATCCCGCGAGCAAGATCGTGGATGCGCACCACTGAGGAGTCCCACACTAGGACGAAACGGCATTCCAGTGCTTTCAGGTTTTTAATGGTGACCAAAAATCAATCGGTTCACAATCTCAGTCAAAAAGAATAATTCATTTGCAAATTTCCATCATTTGCCCTTCATATTATGTATGATTCTTTCAGTTCACAATTCCTTTTTATTTTCCCTTCCATCCACCACCGATTAGTGTTACATACTACTTATGTCGACATATATAAATAACGTATACCACAGATAAAGCTATCATCCCAGAATTGATATTCACTAAGGGACTTGAACCCAATATCTTTCGCCTCAGAATTATGAAATAAAGGAATAATTCAAACATTTATTTATTCATAGTAATATTTAAATATTCAATTTTTCAGCATCAAACATTGACAATTATTATTATAACAATTAATAAGCAGATTAATTGAATAAAAACTTACTTACATGTGTCTCAATAGAGGATGTTCCCTAAATCCTTCAAAATAAACAATTTTATTATCTTCGTCCAGCCAAATCTATGGGGAAAAAGTGGTGGGTTTAGGAATAGAAACTTCACAAATAAAATATGTATATACATGAATGTTTATTTATTTCGTTGAGATTACGAACCGATAAACGTTAAAACACTATTGAAAACTTGGAAGCATAGGAAAGCCATCTCATTTATTTATTTATTTATTTGAACACATAAATATTGGCACAGAGGGGCACCAAATATATATGCGCCACACAAAACAATGATAATTTGAAGAGAAAGAGAAAAGAGAAAAAAAAATGTAATGAACGTGGGGAATTATAAAAAAAAGGGGAGAGAGAGAGAACAATGGTGGGGGAAACGGAAAGGTACAATCAGAGAGATCTTTCAGTTAAGGAAGATATAAACACTTTTTATGAAGAAAGTAAGAGGTTACAGCACGATCGCCACTGGCTTCTATTCTGAGCCATATCTGATAACGTCTCTAGCCACTGCGTTACACCGTCTCTCGGACCCCAACCAGGGAGTCGTGAAGGACCAACAGAAGCTAGCCCTTTGCAGCTTTCTTTCATACCACGACACCGTGTCATATACTGACCACCTCTCCGCTTTTTCCAACCAGTCCCAGAGTCGGCAAATAATGCACGACGTGGAATTCTCTGGGACGACATTCGTAGAACATGTCCAAGCCACCGAAGTCGGTGTTTCAAGATGGTGACACCAATTTCATTATCGTCTCTGTGACCGAACACACGATGCCGAACCTCTGCATTACTGACATGGTGTTGCCACTGGATGCCAGCAATCCTTCGGAGACAACGATGATCGAACACAGAGAGTCGTCTGACATCCTCAACTCGGAGAGGCCAGGTTTCACAAGCATAGAGCAAAACTGCTCTCACCGTCGCGTTGTAGATCCGACCTTTTACAGCCAGACTAACATCACGAAGGCGCCAAAGGTGGCCCAGATTGGCATAAGCCGCTCTGGCTTTCACTATACGAGCATTGATCTCATCACTCACACCACCACCAGCACTTATGCAGCTACCTAGATACACGAACTCCTCGACTACTTCTATCTGCTCACCATCCAGAGTGAGTACAGGATTAGAATCCTGCCAGTCTTGTAGAAGTACTTTGCACTTCGAAGGTGCAAAGCACATACCATACCTACGGACATTGATTGCCAACTGATTAAGTGCGGATTGCATAGCTTGGGCATTCTCGCACAGTAAGACAATATCATCCGCATACTCAAGGTCGAGAAGTCTTTCCCCAGGCAACAGATCCACACCACCATTACTTACATCCATCAGAGCTGTTTCCAGAATGTCATCGATGGCAAAGTTGAAGAGGAATGGTGAGATTGGGCAACCCTGCCTAACCCCACTGCTTGAATGGAATAACGGAGAAAGGTGGTTGTATGCCCTCACTCTGCCTGAGGTGTTTGTGAATAGGACTTTTATGATGTTAACAAACTTCTCAGGCACACCCTTCTTCAATAGACAATCCCAGAGAACAGTTCTGTCCAACGAATCGAAGGCAGCCCTGATATCAAGAAACACTACGATTGTTGGCCTTTGATAAGTATGGCGGTGTTCTAACACTTGGCGGAGGGTGAAGATATGATCAATACATACTCGACCAGAACGAAACCCAGCCTGCTCCTCGAGAGTCAATCCTTCTCGGGTCCTGAACAACCTACGAAGTATGACGGAAGCCAATAGCTTGGACGAAATCGGAAGTAGACTTATCCCCCGATAGTTGTTACAGGAACAACGTGAACCCTTTTTAAAGATAGGGACAACTATCGACTCATTCCATGACGTTGGAACACTCTCTAGTTCCCAGATCTTTGTAAACAACGTCGTCAGTCCCTTAGTCAGAAAGTCACCACCATCTTTAAAAAGAGCCGGAGGTAAGTCGTCTAGGCCCGGTGATTTGTAACGTTTCAAGAGTTGGAGTTCCTTGCGGACTTCCGTCTCATTTGGTGGATCAGTCGTCACCGGCCATGGAGGGCAGGACAGTCTGACCGATGTTGCCGGAGCAGCAGGCCAGTTGAACTGCCCTTCAAAGAATTCTGCCCATCGTCCAAGACGTCGATGGATGTTAGTGATTGGCGTTCCGTCATCCTCGCAGATTGTTTCGCTCACACCAAACTTCTTGCTGCCAGTGGCTCGGATGAGTTGGAAGAGCTTCCGGTAATTACCAGATGCAGCTGCTGCTTCCAACTCACTGGCACGCTCCGACCACCAGGCTTCTCGGTCCTTACGCAAGCTTTTCCCGATTTCATTACGTAACATCCTTCGTCTGTGGTCAAACTCACGGTCACCCGGAGTAGACCGACGGGCTTCAATCAGTTGTAAGGAACCAGAAGAAACCCAGTGCTTGTAAGCGGGACGTTTCGCAAACCCACAACAGACTGTACCCGCCATTTTCATGGCGTCATGCAATTGCAACCAATGCTCATCTATACTTTACGGTGGAATGGTAGCTAGCCTAGAAGCTAGCTCGGTTCGGTACTTACTAGCAACAGAAGTTGCAGCCAGCTTGCTAACATCAATCCTTTGGTGGCGGTCACTTCGTTGTCCACTGAAAAGTAAGGTAAGATTGGCGCAGACCAGGGCATGATCAGATTCCAGATAGGTACTCCAAAAGGAGCGGCAGTCTTGTACACAACCGCGCCAGCGGTAGCTGATCGCGATGTGATCAATCTGAGTCCAGGCTTGAGATGCAGAAGGAGGACGCCAGGTGGCACATCGGCGATGACTGTGCCGAAAGTTAGTGCTAGCCAGAAACAGCTTGTGGTCTGTGCATAGTTGCAGTAGACGTTCCCCGTTATCTGTCCTGCGACCAACGAGTCCCCATCGGTCACCTAAACGACTCTCTTCTGTGCCTAGACGCCCGACATGAGCATTCAAGTCTCCAGCTAGTACTACAATATCTGTCGAACGCACTTTCTGGAGAAGAACAGTTAGCTGATGGTAGAACTCGTCCTTGATTGCATCCGGGCTGCAATCTGTCGGGGCATAGGCGGAGATGACGAAAAGACATCGTTTCTCACGCCGATTTCTTCTCACTTTGATGGAACTTTCTAATCTAACAGCACATAACCGACTGTTAATGGGGATCCAGTCGACTAGTGCTGCCTCAGCTCTTGCGCTTAGTGCGACACCAACGCCAGCAAGACCAGACGAAGATGCCACAGGGTCCCCGGATAAACGCACATAAAACAAGCTTTTTGAAGTGACAGATGGAGAGCGAACTTGTAGTACTTCACCAGAGTCTTGAATACGGGTCTCGGATAGACAACACACATTAAGACTTTCCAAAGACATAGCCAGTCCTATCTGTTGTCCGACCTGCATAAGTGTGCGAACGTTGAAGGTAGCCAGTTTGAATGGTGCACGCGGTTTCAGAAAAACTGCTTCAGTACTCATGTTCGGTAGTAACATACAATTTTCAACCAGGCAGTGACTCGGGAACGTTTAGATAAAGCTGAATTTTCACCATAGGTGAGCTGTTGTCTAGGTCGAAACGCATATATAAAGTAGGAATAAGAGAGGGTGAATAAATGACGTGGTAGAGTAATAATAATAATAATAATAATAATAATAATAATAATAATAATAATAATAATAATAATAATAATAATAATAATAACAATAATAACAATAATAATAATAATAGTACGAGTTATTTCAATGTTAATCAGATAGAAAGGAATATTTTCCATAAGCAAATTGTTCATCATAGTTTTAGTGAGTGGGCTGGGATACTGCCCGGGTGCCCAGACCGAAGCAGGTGGTTTTCTTAGGGGGCCACACCACGAGCCTTTGACCTAAAGGTCTAGTCCACAAGGCAGTGGAGCATCGTGAGAAGATGCAGTCCCATGGAAGCCGGTGACCAAAAGTTGGTTCATACGCCATTTGTTCCCGCAGGATACTGGAGCCCATGTGCACCATAGAATTGGGATCCGGTTATTTCGTTGAGATTACGAACCGATAAACGTTAAAACACTATTGAAAACTTGGAAGCATAGGAAAGCCATCTCATCACAATATGAGACGCTTCACGGGTGCGATTCCGCCACCCCTAACCCAAGACTCAAACACAGGACCTTCAGTTTCGTGCGCGAACATTAAACCTCTAGATTACTGAGTCAACATTTAACGGTGTTAATTCCTAACTTCAACCAATCCACGATATTGCACGACCATCTTCCATTGCTTTAAACGGGTAACGAAATGGACGTTCAGTGTTTTTAAGGTTTCAATAATGGCTTAACTTAGATCGTGATTTCAATGGATTTCAACGATCTTAACAACTCTAAACTGCCGTTTACTTATTTGTCCCTAGGATGCAAATGGAAGATGTAATACAGTGAACTAGAACTATCACTGGAATTTAGGACTCGTATGTCATTTGATTTGGAGCTCATCAGTTTGATGTACTTTTGTTACAGTTTGTTACCTGTAGTGAGATTCGAACGCGATATTTTTACTTCAAACACCAACGCACTGTTTACTGTATTGCTGAATGCAGATAGCCACTAACTCATTCAACGGGTCTGATGTTCATAGCACTATTAGTAAGAGTTTGAAATCATTCGAATTTTGGTACATAGGGCAGAATTTTGATCAGTCCTTGTTGGTGCATGTGTGTATTCCGTGTAGATTCTCTCGGTACACCTAATCTTTCATGTTCTCTTTTAAAAAAGTTAATTGTGATTTGCAGTGGAATCCTGGACAAGTGCTTTGTCCAATGTGTTCAAAAAAAGCTGGTTATAATGAGGCAATTCGAACAGGGTGCATATCACTCTCAATAAAAATTGATCGAAATTCAGTCTTGCATATCAATAACCGGACAATTCGAACTCCTACTAGGAATGATATAAAGATTTAATAAATTTCATCATGAAACTGTAAATGAAGTTTGATAAACACAAACGAATAGACGTTTCTCGTAGACAGTGTACGCAGTGTCGAGTCACATAGACTGGTGGCCACATTGCAACTTGATCAACAGCATTCGATCTGCACTAAGAAGGACTTGACACACACGACATTGATCACCACCCAGTGATCAATCAATTGTGGTTTCTCGTACACGTTTGAAATTTCTAGATAATCAACAATTCTTGACAAGGAATAAAGAAGTACCGCAAGGCTTTTGGATAATATAATCAACCAGAAAACAATATAGAATCTGTCAAACAGTTAATAATTTCATGAATTGATAACGCTGATACAACAATCCATTTTCACTCTCTATGCATTCACTTTTTAGCTTTACCTCGATTGTGAATTTCAGTATTTTTTTCAATACATACCTTTCCAATCATTTTTACTCAAACTATGTTTGCAAGGATTGGTCAGTCTTTTTACTATTCCTAATACATTGTTTTGACCTCTTTTGTTATTTGCATCTCATAGTGGTAGCCGGGTATGGCAACTAGAACGAACCACATCTTTTTCAAGCTATATGTTGATTATGTTAATCTGTTTAGCTAAAGTATCATGGCTTGATTACTCTTGACTAAAGAAGAGTTGGAATTACTACTATTTCACTACAATAGATATCCGCAATTACAATTTCTCATTAATCTTAACAAGATATTTAAATATTTCAATCTTAACTCGATCTTTATCATTGCATTTCTTAGTACAGATCGGTACTAGTGTAGTTGTGGTCAAGAAAAAGATTAGAAAACCTAAGTTGAATTCGAGTACCGAAGAATAATGATAAAAAGTTATTCAACTAACAAGTTATTAACTAAATACCAACTGAAATTCATTCGATCCTCAAGTATTAAAAATAAGTAAGAACACATACTATTGAGTGATTACTGAGTAAACATCAATCAACATCATGTTTATCAAGTCCGTTTTAGCGTTGATCGAACTCTATCAATTATGTCACAATATGGTCACTAGTTTTGTAGTGATGCACAGTGTCTGAGAGTTTCTATAAACAATCTTGAGCGGAAAGTTGGAGGGTGAAGAAGAAAGTTTACTTGGTTAAACTGAATTATATGTTTGCAAACTCATATTAAGCCTATCATTGGTTTATGTCTCATTTCCTGGTAAAAACGTCATTTCTTGGCCAATGATGCCCAATTATCCTTTGGCAATTTTTGACTGGCCTATTGTATCTACCTTTCCCTCCTGTAAAAAATAGGTCTGCTTGTCGAATCCAACTGAAGGCGTTGGAATCGGTGGCACAACTAAACGAAATGATTCAACATTATGTGTACGATGTTGAAATGGTAAATAATTGCAGATAGTTCAGCTTAACTTAGTTATCGTGCTAGTTAGCGCATGTCAGTCAGATGTAACTACCTGAAATCAAGAGATAACAAATAAGGCAAATTTCATAAATGAAAGTAATTAATTAACAATTTAGAAATACCTGATTACCAGTAACCTCCCAATCACCATCGGTTAACTGATCAACAAAGACCTGTTTAGCTTGAATAAGGGTTGCAGTTTGTTCATGTGTAAAGGTATTTCCAATATTATTATTATTATTATTATTATTATTATTATTATTATTACTTGAAGTTTTAGGCCATGAACATTGTATAAGATATAAATGTGTAAAACCAGATCTATGTGAAGCCCAAATAAATGTACAATAATTTTCATTTGTAAAATCTGATGATTTGTTAATTCCATTTGTTGGATGCCATGGATATTTCAAAAAAGTTAATAGGTCATGAACCTATAACAATATTTTACAAAAATATTTTTAAAAATGGAACAACACTTGTTAACATGATTTTAAGAATAAATAAGTATTAATTATGGATGAAGTGATTACACATGCCATTAGAGATAGGATGGTAGTTTTAACTGTTTAGTTGTCTGCAAAGTGGAAGAATTTTTTACTCTTGGAAGAACTGGAAAGGAAAATAGATGGGTATTGGTATTAATGACCTAAGACAATTGTTTGGGCCCGGTCACAGTCTTTTAATAGTAAATTTTAGATGTGTTAGTTTTATATTTTTAAAGGTTTTATCGCTAGAGATCTGTGGAGTAAAGAGAAGTGTATTGTTCTTCGCGTCGACCTTTTATGAACCTTTGGATCCGTTTTAAGAAGATAGCATTGCAGCAGATACTAGTTGTTTGAAGTAACAACCTTACTACTGTCCCACTCCTGTACGGTCGGCAGCATAACTTTGCTACTCCTAGTTTTTCCATCCTCCAACTAACCTATCAAATATGGTAGTGTAGCGAACGAGAACACAAGTGGGAACAATCGGATGCAATCGAACACAAAACTACAGAACATCTTAGTAAAATTTGAGAACCATACAGTAAATACTTAATTTGCAAAATATCAATCAACTGTCTCAAACTTGACTGTTCCCTCTGCAAATATCAGTCAATCATCACAAACTTCATTGTTCTTTCATTTTCATACCAACTGATTTCTGTTCCCGTTCTCCCCTTTTCAACCTTCTGCTGCCAGACATTCTAATCCTGACTATCGTTACATACTACTCATGTCGATATAGGTAGCACTCACCACAGTAGTACCTAGAAGGATAAGCGTTACGTCAATACAGTTTGATGGGGTAGTCACGATGATCAAACCCAACCACCCCTTATTGAATCCACCGTTCCCACCAACCCGGATTAAGTGCCGAATATTCACTTTTCCTCTTTTTAATTCCGTAAACAACACTCCGATTCGAGAAGGCAGTAGTTCTCTGTCAGCAGCTATATGGGCGTAACCATATGAGAGCATTTAGGGAGGGAGAGTGAACTCTTCTTTCACCCCCCTCAGTCTTACCATAGCATTTTGGGGCTAAGTTCAGTAAATATCTTACTGACGAGTGAAAACTAGCACGAAACTTGAGTCTAGCATTTCTTACCAACTTCATAAAACTATTTAACGTAAACATACTGAGGTAGACTAACCATCGAATGACAATTTCCTAACCCATTCCATTTAGTTTGGTTTCAACAGTTAAGCAGTTATTAACACTGGTACTCATATAATGTATACTTTAAAGTCGAGTACAAGTACTTCTATGTAATTAAAAGAGGACATGGCTCCTATGGGGCAAGACAGAATATACTATATAAAAAATGATTCATCAACTAATCAACAACTACCTTTAGAAAAGAAAAGAATTACCAAGTATATAAATCAGATGATTGAAACTATAACATACAATACTACATTGGTGATAAGATGACATTTACAAAAACACACAAAATCAATTATAACTTCGATAATTTAAGGAAAAAAACTGATTGACCATGCTAACCAAAAACTCACCAATACAAATATTTTTTCTACTTTTCATGAAATTTCTACCGGTGTTGTTATTGTTTAGGGATAAGACAGTAAGCATTATCATTACGAAACTATTTACCACAATACTTACAAAGACTTTTCACTTCATATGAAACAATTAGACTATAAACTGATAGAATACCGTTTACGACAGTACAGGGGGCACCAGATACATATACGCCACACAAATCTCATTTGATATGTATGAGGGCTGAGATACTGTTCGGATGACCAAACCGAAGTTGGTGGTTTTCGTAGGGAGCTACAACAGGAATCTTTGACCTAAAGGTCTGATCCACAAGACAGTGGAGCAACGTCAGGAGATGCAGTCACATGGTAGCCGGTGACCAACGATTGGTTCATACGCCATTTGTTCCCTCAAGATCACGGAGCCCATGTACACCAATGGTTTGGAATCAAGGTTGTCCAACTCCTCTAGGTGGATTCTCCCTGTCGACCAACCCGTCTAAAGTGTCGAACATTCTCTTTTCATCTTCTGAATTCCATAAACAACACCCCCATCACGAGAAGGCAGTGAGTATGACTTCCCTGGCAGAGGCTATATACGCGTGGCCATGTGAGAGCATTTCGAAAGAGAGAGAGAGTGAACTCTCCCCACTCCCGGCCGTACCATGGCATTTGGGGGAGTTTACGACAACCAGCATTTGTAGTGACATCGCGTTTTTTACAACGAAAGGAACGGGTTAGTAAAGGTCAACCGCATACATAACACACCTTCCCATAGCCTATCCAATTTCTACTGCTGACAATAAGGCTCTTAAAGAACAGCACTAGCACATCAAGAAATAAACACAATAAAGGCCATGTGTGACAGACTGATCACAGATAATTGACTAGTGGACTCTGCAGCTACGCTTCCAGTTGATCAGTATCATCTCACCCACAATCTAAACTAAACTTCACCAAATGTTAATTGCACAAAAAACAAGTATGGTTTATAGTAGAGTGTAACGCGAATTTGTACTTTGATCAATCAATTCCATTAAATCAAACAAAGAATTAACTAACTGACACTCATTAGCAATCCAAGTCCCGATTCTTCTATGATTACTAAAATTTGTTACACATAAAAATGTAAAAAATCTCTTCTAAGTAATTTTTTCTATCGAAAACACAATTTTATATACCTTAACCCAAAATTTCGACTCTACTTCAGTTACTAATTCTATACATGGTGAAGTGATGAATGAAGACGAATAATCTGTTAATGTGGATGTTGCCGATGAAAACGACGATGATAATGATGGTGATGACGATGATGGATCGGGATGATTAACAACATCAGAAATAGGTAAGAAATTATCAACTGGAATTAATATGAGTGAAAGACGTTGTTGTAGGCGAGTGATCAGTTGACACCATACACTAGAAATGAAATATATAAAAGAAAACAAATAAATTGTAAGAGATAAGAAAGCAACAAGAACTTATTGAGTTCTTCTTTTTAAAAAAATTGATTATAATTAAAAGAACACAGTACAACTGCTATTGTCTATATCATTCATATTACCTACATTTGACAGTGAGTAATGTCCACTTCCATGTATTTTTTTTCTTCGTTAAAGCGCATTTTTGAGAGAGGTTACATTGAATTTGGCTCGTGACTAACAGTAAAATATTCAATATAAACATCACATCATCTTCTTTGAAACTTATCAGACAGGTTAACACTAGACATTAAATAAGAAAGATTAGCTCAGCGAAGAGTTCACTTTTCGGCGAATTCATTTTCACAGCTGTACAAGCGCAAATATATATGCTTATTTTAACAGGATGATAATAATACTGATAATAAACTTCTGTTAGACATGGTGACAGTAAGGTAGAATAAGCAAAGGTATTAAAAAAAAATTTTTTTTAAAACAAGGAAAGTTTAATAATCATTTGATTGTTAATGGCTTAAGTATTCATCAAAAGATAGATAAGGAAACTATCATTGGGAAAGGATGGCTCAGCATGATAAGATAAAATGTTGGAATTGAGATTAAATGTAATCGGAATGATCGTGGAAATAAAAACAAAGCATTTGAGGGTAGAAGATTTAAGGGGAAGATGGAAAGTGAAAAAATATTACAAGACATTAAGACCATGGTAGAAGAAGAGGTTGTACCAGTCTCTTTTGCACGCACAATTCTGGTTTTTCCAGATGTATGGCTATTGCCTCGGCAATGCAAAGAAGATGCATTCTAATCGTCTCCGAGAGACCTATACTTACCTTATAGATGAATTTAAAAGCAGAGTATGTCTTGATTGAGTGACCTGTGTTCACAAGGTGTTCGATTATAGAACTTCTTATTGAGCCATTGCCTCCTCTTTTTAGCCACGCCGGACAATGTTCTTGAATTCTTTTGGATAAAGTACACATCGGACGATCTATATAGCTAGCTCCACAAGAGCAGGTAAATTGGTAAATGCACATTGAGTTTGTCAGATGCGATAATTTATCTTTCAGATTATTGGTGAACAATGATCGTCTGGAGAATAATATTCGCAATGTTGCTGCGAAGAATGTTCCTTTCAAGGAATCCGAAATTCTCCTCTTTAAGAAGTATGTGGCTCTATCACCCTTGAAGTTAATGTTCATGTATAAGGTTTTCTTTTCTACTGTAATTATTTGTGTTTTTGGCGTTTTCGGCCTCATGTTCTTATCAATGAATACCGAAGGATAACCGCTTTTGATAAGTATGTCCTTTAAGAGGCCCAATTCTTCATCTACGACTTCGGGGCTACAGATTCTTCGTATTCTTGTAGCGAGTGTTATTATTAAGTTTCTTTTTCGGCTGGTGGGAACCCAGCTGTGGAAACTTGACATTGACATTAACATTAGTAAATCCCAGTATTTTCATCTTGAGACTTTTAATACAGTGAAATCATTCATGTTACAAACGATTATCTATCTCTACAGTTAATTTCATTTTCTTGCATGAGATTATTTACCTCATTTTGTGAAAGTAAATTGAAACAATAAACCATACACACATACTAAATCCATGATATTTACCTATTTAGTTGTCTGAGCTATATATGGTTTAAATATTCGGAAGCTTTATATTGTCATTCTGGAAATCATCAGCGCCTACTTTATGCAGAGAAGTGAGCCATTTAGTCACTTTACAGGTACTAAGTCATTTTGTCTTAATGGCTTTAGTCATGATTTTAAGCAGAGATGAAAAGGAGCAAGTGAAGGAATCCAGGACATATGTTCAGTCCTATTTGAGACTCGACATCTAGACATACCTACATCCCATAGTGATTTGACAGACTACGGGACTTGAACTAAATATCGGTCGCTCAAAACATCATCGCGTTCTCTACTTGGCTATTGAATGCAGGTAACCACTGACTTACACGACCAGGTGAAGTATAATTTATTTAATTAAAATGATAACCATAAAACAATGAGCTACTTCCATTTATTGAGTCCCTAATTAAGATCCTACACCCACTACTTCACTTCGGGCAACCAGATAGTATCATTAGACCTCATACTTAAAGTTTGACATATATTAAAGTATCCAATGAATGATTTAATTCAATTAGAAATTTACTAACCACATTCATTTAGAATGAAACATATGAGAGGAGATCCTTCAAGTTTAGAAACCGAAAAAAAGACAAACAAAACGAAAGATTATTTCAAACGTTTGAAACACAATTTTTCTACTCATTGGAATATATTCTTATTATTAACTCTCTAGCCAATGTTCAATTTATTTGAAACAATTAAGTTCAACCTTGGATTTGATGCCTTATTTATTTATTTAAACACATAAAAATTGGTACAAGTAGGCACCAAATACATATGCGCCACATAAATCTCATTTGATATATGTGAGGGCTGTGATACTGCCCGGGTGCCCAAACCGAAGTTGGTGGTTTTCGTAGGGGGCCACATCCGGAGCCTTCAACCTAAGGGTCTGATCCACAAGACAGTGGAGCAGCGTCAGAAGATGCAGTCACATGGTAGCCGATGACAAATAATTGGTTCATACGCCATTTGTTCCTTCAGGATACTGGAACCAGCCTATGTACACCATTGGTTTGGAATCAAGGTTTTCCAAATCCTCTAGGTGGATCCTCCGTGTTCACCAACCCGGCTAAAGCGCCGGACATTCTTTTTCCGTCCTCTCAACTTCGTAAAGAAAACCCGTGGTGCGAAAAGGCAGTGAGTAGGACTTCACTGGCAGTGGTTGATACCTAGAAAGATTATTTCCTTATGAATATATACATAAATAAATGAAAACTATTGATATCAATAAATTGTAAGGATTAATATAGATCACTACATGTAAAATTGTCTAACTTAAAAAGTTGGTGCTCAATTAAAAGAGAGCTCACCTCCCTACAATATTTTAACTGAAATATCTAGTTTGTGTACATCACCAGAACATCTTTCAAAATTAGACTACCATTGTAGTTAAAACCTATAGAATATCCGAACTTCTGTGATCAAAGATGAATTACACCAACCTGATTAGACCACTAGACAACTCCTTTCACTCTCTCTCTCTCTCTTTCTCTACTGTGGTTAACATATCCTTTACGATAAGGTAGTTCGGTAGAGTTTCCCCACTAAATGAGAGAAATATATGGTCGCAAAATAGCACTTAGAAGAGAGAGAGAGAAAAGAGCGAATTCCTAACTACTGTTAGCCAGCTCTATATATATTTTAAACGCGTATACCTACCAAACAAAATAAAACAAACCCATTCTTAATAGAAACAGTATTTTGAACAATCGTTACTCTATAACTTAATAACCTACGCAATCATTCTTTTTAAAACTAATCTTATTACTAAATCAACCTGAATACATTGTCGTCAGCTATTAAAACAATAATTTAGTTGTAGCGATATGAAAATTTCCCATGAAAACCGACAAATTAAAGATGCAGACAAGTTAACTACCCGAAAAGAATAACGATTAGTATAAGGAGTCTGTAAAGATTATTGAATTTTATAGTTTACATTACGGATAAACATGTAGTGAACAAGAACACGAGTGGGGACTAATCGAATGTATTTGACACAAAATTACAGGACTTGTTAATAAAATCTAACAATCATATTAGTAAATGCTTAATTTGCAAAATGTGCATCAGTTGTCTCAAAATGACTCAGTCTTCATTGTTCTTTCATTTTCATACAAACTGCATTCTGTTTCCATTTTTTACTGTTCGATCCTCTTGTTTCTCTGCTGCCAGATATCCTGTTCACGAATAACGTCATATAAGTGGCACACACCACAACACCTTAGTTAAATAACCATTGAAAATCAGAAATCATTCAAAAGTTATTTCATTTTAGTGTAGGACCCCTCGGCAGTATGATGATATGATGAATTTATTAGTTAGGAATTTAAATCATCCAATGTTGACTCAGTGATATAAAAAATTATGGCACCTGACTTGGATTTCTTGATATCGATACCCGGTAAGTGGTAACAAAGATCTTTCCGTGATTTAAACTATCAAGAACAATCAATCACTGTAGAATTTCATCGACCAAAATTTCTCCAGTTAATTTTATTAAAAAAAAAACATTTACACAACTAAATGAATCTTCTTTATATAAATCTAATTGTTTTCTAATAATACAAACAGGTTATTAAAATTACTTACTAATTCCCATCTGGTGTCCAACCAGCACGAACTAAATATTCAAAATTCGGTAAATATTGTTTTAAGGGTGAACGTAGTGCAAGAGTTTGTACATTGGAGATCTGATAAAAGAAAGTAATAAGAGATAGGAACCCTTTTTTACAGAAAACTTTGATTCATTTGTTGATAACGTTGAAAAAAACAAGGAACAATAATTGAGATCATGAACCGAATGATGTTAGACCACTGTTGGAAACCTGGAATCATTGGACGACCGTTTCGTTTTATTGTGAGACTCCTTAGCAGTGCACATCCACGATCCCGTTGGCGGGATTCAAACCCAGGGCCCCTCGGTCTCGCGCGCGAACGCTTAACCTACTGGACCACTGAGCCGGCATCCAATGGTGTTAGTGTCTAACACTAACCAATCCACGACATTGCGCGACCACCTTCCATTGTACTGAGGTAGATACATGTCTCTACCCAACACGGATTAGCTCCACTGGTTACGGCTTCTTACTAGAACTCCGAGAATTCCCTCACGAAGCTAGTCACTACTGAGTACATGTTAATTATCAGTATTAGGGTTGTGGAAATAATTATGTTTTTGGTTGAGATTATGAACCGATTGGTGTTAGATCAGTAGCATTGGAGGATGACTAAGCAGCATTATAAAATCGATTAGTCTATTTTATGACTCTTCACAGTTTAAAGTAACAACAATAAGTAGCTAAAATGACTTTAAAAGTCTTTTCAACTACGTTGATTGAATATTTAATGTTTACATATATTTGAGAAAGTAGGTATTAACTTAGGACTGAGAAAAAGCCTTCATAATAATTTCTGAATATATTTCCCTGAATCCTTAAAAGGAAGAAAATCGTCTACAAGTGTATGATCGTTATACACTTAATGAATGATGTAAACAAATGGGATATCTTCAAAAGGATTAAAAATGATTGACAAACAAAAAACATTACATTTGTATTTTGCACCATTAACGATGTTGCCATCAAATGTCTGGCTACTGATTCATTTAAACAAAGAAGGGAAGTAAGAAAAACCTGTTTTTTTGCTCTAATAAAAAATAACTATCTCATGTAATTTCGTTTTTACTGATCTATAAACCCCTACTCTTTAAGTTGCTTTTATCCTCAGTGTATGTCATTTCATTTTATAATCAGCTACTTTCATTATGAGCATTATTGTTTGTCATATCAGCACCCCAACTTTATATGACAAGATTTCTTGACATCTAACGACCACTACTACTCAACAACTTCAATCAAAAGGATGTCTATTCATAATGTTATTCTGCAGAAATGCTGTTCTATTTTTTGAACGGTGAACACAGCTGCGTCAATCAAAGTATATATATATATATATATATATATATATATATATATATATATATATATATATATATTATTTATTTTAACACATAGGTATAGGTACAAGGAGGCACCAAGTACACATGCGCCACACGAATCTCAATTGATTTGTGTGAGGGCTGTGATACTACCCGGGTGCCCAAACCGAAGCAGTTGGTTTTCTTAGGGGCCACACCCTGAGCCTTCGACCTGAACGTCTAACCCATAAGGCAGTGGAGCATCGTGAGGAGATGCAGTCCCATGGTAGCCGGTGACCAACTATTGGTTCATACGCCATTTGATCCTTCAGGATACTGGAACCCATGTGCACCATTGATTTGGGATCCGGTTAAAGCGCCGGACATTCGCTTTTCGTCCTCTCATTTCCGTAAACAACACCCCTGCCACGAGAAGGAAGTGAGTAGGACTTCCCTGGTAGAGGCTATATACGCGTGGCCATGTGAGAGCATTTCGAGAGGGAGAGAGGACTCTCCTCACCCTCGGTCGTACCAGGGCATTTGGGGGCATATATATATATATATATATATATATATATATATGTTCTGTTTTGTTTCTGAAATTGAAGGACGCTTGGTCAATTGATATAATGCGTGACAACTCGAGTTGTATGAAGATAACCTCTAACGTTAAACAAAGGTGTAACATCTAGTGTTTCCGAACATTCTTCCGTCCATTTGGCGGGCAAGCACTGAATATAAAAGCATAAATTTCACTGAGGACTTCAATCTAATCATTTAAAATAATCTATGCATGTCTTCTGTGAACACTCTACTGTAGCGCGCATCCAAACTGGCCAGATGGAAAAACAAATAAAGCAAAAGTTAGGGCTTGAAATGAAGTCCTCAGTGAAAATCACACTGTTTTATGCAGGATTCACTCAATAAACGCTAGATATTTCACATAGATTGAACAATGGGGAAGCCGGTAGGCTACAAATTCACAAGTACATGTACTATTCCCTCGAGTCGGTTGATTTCAATTTCATGTTGACGCTTATTGTATCATCAGAAATGACAAAGAAAGCTCTATAATTTAATCATCTAGATAAAAGGATGAAACATCATCTGACCATCAAAAGCATTCACTCGAGCGATAAATCTTCATTTAGCCCTTTACAATATGATTAACTAAATAAAAATCATCGATTGATGGATTCAATCAATCGGTTTCAAAGGAAAGGCTTTCTAACTACTGCAATTCAATGACAAGACAGTCTTCAGAATGTAAACCTAATTATAATGAACGTTTAACAGTTAATAATAATAATAATAATAATAATAATAATAATAATAATCAGAGGAAGAAGAGGAACTATTTGGAAAAAGCTCATTCATCTATAATTAACTGAACAAAAAAACAGTCAGTCATACTCACTTTACCCATTGAATCCAGTTTAAACTGGCATATTTTCAAATTACTACTTGCATTTTCAGTGCCTGAATGGAAGAGAAAGAAATATAAGATTAAATAAACATACAGTAAATGAACATTGGACAATTTATTTCTAAACAAACAGCATTACATAAAGATAACATTGAAAATTTTTCAGCAATGAGCTCACTGCTGGCTAACTTTAAGATGTAACACTTCTGGAATTATGGTGAGAATCTATGAAGTACAACCACATCAGGTGTGAAATAGTTATCCACTGCAGACAATGGGTTAGGGTTGCATAGTATGGTGAAATGAATGAAGCCATACATTAAAATCATTGGATTCCGTCTCAGCAGTTTAGAGATTGTGTTTGCGAGCATGACTGAAAGTTTAGGGTTCGACCACTGGGTGCAAGTTTGTAGATATGCAGTGCTGAAGAGTCCCGTGCCTAGAGGAAACAGGTCCACAGTGACTTCACGCTTTTAGTGGTGGTCTAACTAAGATCATTTCGTGGCTTAAACTTTGAGAGTATAAAAAGTGTTCAAAATCGTTTCACACCTCCATTTATCGTCAATGAAAATTGAGGAAAATTTTAAAATTACAACCGTTTTTCTTATAGTGGTTTCATTATTGTAAACTTTGAAAATACAATATAGAATACAGTATAGAGAAGATATTGAAACAACCACGACAAATTTCCAGTTAGTTGTTAGCCAAACAGGCAATAGTTTTCGTGTAAATGGATCGTTTATGAAAAGGGAAACAATCATATATCAAAGTATAAACAGATTTTACATGATTAATAAAACTACTGTCCCCTATAATGAGGTTACTCTGCCTGTATATTCAAAAAAAGAACAAAGACACATAAACTTGTCCTCTCGGACATAGATTCTTTACCTGATTGAACTTTAATAAGGATCTAAACATATTTTTAGGATCCCCTTTATTGTTCCTAGTTAGGAATGGGTATTTTGTGTATGAGATTGAAGGTTTATGATTAGGCTTTTCCATCGCCAATTGACATCAGTTATAATATGAAAATGCCCTGTAACCATATAGATGAATGAATTTGCTCAAAAGAAAAGAAAAGAAATACAAGAGGCGCTATCTGATCACTTCGTCCGTAAAATAGAGTGCCAATATGTTAAGGTTTGTTTCAGGATTATTTATTATTATTATTTTATTTCAACACATAGATATTGGTACAAGGAGGCACCAAATACATATGCGCCACACGAATCTCAATTGACTTGTATGAGGGCTGTGATACTACCCGGGTGCCCAAACCGAAGCAGGTGGTTTTCTTAGGGGGCCACACCCCGAGCCTTCGACCTGAATGTCTGACCCATAAGGCAGTGGAGCATCGTAAGGAGATGCAGTCCCATGGTAGCCGGTGACCAACTATTGGTTCATACGCCATTTGATCCTTCAGGATACTGGAGCCCATGTGCACCATTGGTTTGGGATCCGGTTATAGCGCCGGACATTCGCTTTTCGTCCTCTCATTTTCGTAGACAACACCCCAGCCACGTGAAGGCAGTGAGTAGGACTTCCCTGGCAGAGGCTATATACGCGTGGGTGAGCGGACTCTCCCCACTCTCGGCCGTACCAGGGCATTTGGGGGCAGGATTAAGGGTTAAAAATTAAGATTTAAGGATAGTGTTGATTTACCTATTCTATACAACTGACAGAGATAAAATTGAACATTTAGTACGTTTAAAATCGTCACTTTTACGTTATCGTTTGCAAAAAATAATTTGCCGTTATCATTTTGAATATTTTGACCAGTAAACTAACGTATTTGTACTGCTCGTTATACGTGCTATTTGAATTTCGCTCAAAAAAAAAACAGAACAGTTGTATTCTTGACTCAGATTAGCTCAACCCTAAAGTAAACTTTAACCAAATTAACGACTACAATTATAGTAATGTATTTTTTGTTTTTTATGAATTAGACTGGATTTGAAATTAAAACTTAAGATTGTAATCAGTCAGTAATGTTTAAGGTATCGTGGGATGCTACCACATCACAGTTGTGCGCACCAATGAAAGACAATTCCTATAAAGGAGACTGGGTTAGTATAGGTCTTAGCAACCTGGGTAGATGACCACACATCACAAGCAACAACAACTTAAGATTAGTCTCACACGAGCTTTTTGTGGGCAGTTTTGATGTATTAACTCAGTGCTTTGAAGACATCACCACATGAACATAAATCTGTGGAACAAAGTGAGCTGTGCTCATTTCACAAATGATATTTTCTAATCCTCTTGTTTGTTGTGGAGTGTTCGTTCAACTATTTCTCTGATCAACATCCAACCCACATAATTTTACGAAATAAGATATGAGCAACCTTTAAAATTGGCCACCTTAATAAACGCGTCAGTTACTATTAATGATCAAGTTGATATTGGGGTCAGGAAACAAAGTCATTGTTGCCCTAAAGGAATTTTTATTTACCTGCAATTGGATAACGTTGATTTTCCCAACCACCACCAAATTCCCCATGAAACAATCTCGTCACAGCCACATTACGTTCATCCACTTCTTCATATAACAACTGATAATAATGATCTATAAAAACACAAAACAATAACCAGACAAAATTCACATTAGACTAACCCTATTATACCTACACATAATAAAATTCCTATGTATAAACATTTTAGCTATTGTATTCAAGTCGACTGAAAAACACTTTGGACGTTAGGCTAAAGTGATATAAAGCACAAAGATATAGATTCGAATCCTGGTTCATTTATACAGGTTTGGACAACCAACTATCAAGCAGTAAATAATATGCAATAGTAGTATCGCTATTTCTCACGTAAAATATTGTGACTTGAATCCCATAAGTAAACATGTACTTGATAAGTAGCAGTTAGCAGGATATAGATTGGATTAAAGCATGTTCCATGCAGTATTGTGTTTGGGCATGGAGACTGGCTATTACTTAATCAATCAGCGCTAGCCAGTACTTGAAGGCGACTCTAGAATCTCCTTACGTAAAAATTTATCAATATACGAACGTTTTTCTTATTGTGATTCCTACTTCCATTTGGAATATAATTACATTTCTATTTAACCGTGTTCTGATTTGGGGACCTGTCGAGTGAAGTAATAGTCAAAGAATACAAAGCAATAAGAGTAGCTGGGCTTTAATAAGAAAATTCATAGCAGTAGCTTAAACTAACTAAACAATACACTCCAATGTTATGCCCAACTAATGATCAGATCCATGTAAAGAAATGAAATAATGGCTTGATTATTAATCGTATGAAAAAAATCTTTATATAATTGAGTAGCAAAGAAACGTTCTAACAGTGCAAATATAATATAAAAAGAAGTCGATCAGAACATACAAGATGGATTCCAGTTCTCTACACGAGAAGTAAAAAACACGAACGACTTTTATTCTACATGACATAAGAAGGGTAGTAAGAATAACTTTCTATGACGCTCGAAACGTTGAAACGTTTTGGTATTAAAATAACATTTCTATGAAAATTAACCGAGCATTAACTGGAAAATGTATTTGGGTGACATTTACAATTATTTACAAAGTAGTAAACAATACCATGTTCGTTTAGTTCTTTAGCGCTGACCGAGTTCTATAGATCAAGTTACAAGACAGCTCCCACTAGTCTAAATGCTCCGATATTACACGCGCACTATGTTGAGATGTTAGGTGATTGAAGGTCGTTGGCAAGACAAACATAATATTGATCACTACTCAGTGATCAGTCCTAACATGTCATTTACAACACAAATTGCTGGATAAAAACGTCTCAGATTGTGACACCAGATGACCGAGGTTAGATTCACCAGAGAGAATTAGTTTCCCCAAGAGTGAAGATATTCCTCGTTTGTGGAGACTGGGTAGGATCCAGATTTTAAGATAGTGAAGATTCGTGGCTCAGGTAGATGATTTAGGTGGAGTTTTGTTCTCTGAACTGGATGGTTTGATCGTGGAGCTTTCATTGTTCTTCAGAAAAACATCATCAGCACAAACTTCAAGTAGAAGAATTCAGACTACCTCCAACCACTTAAAGTAAAAGTTATTTTTATTTTCAAAGGGAAATCCCAATTAAATTTTTGAACAAAGTAGTAATAGTGAGGTGTATTAAGTATTCTAAATTAATTTAAGAGGTATAGAGTTATTCATCGAGTAAGACGTCAGAATATAACATATAGTAGTCAGAGTACCACTATTGCAGATCACATGTATTCTGTAAATTGTAAGATAAGATAGATAAACCTTCTTGGTACATAAGTATCAAACATATCATGTTACCATCTGTCATGGTTGGTCTCCACCAATAACCAATATATCGGTCAAATTCTTCCTGGACGACGAACGGCGGGAAACCTGCAGAATAACCACCTAAAATGAGAATTACACAATATAAGAACATAAAGAAATGGAAAATAATTACAGATCGAAACTCCAACATTTTGATGCCATGTTCTTAGAATAATTATATTATGGCGTCAAGCGACAACATTTCAGATATATCAAAGTGAAATGTGCAACAGATGGAATTCAATCATGTCAGGAGTGTAAGTTAAGAGTATCATCAAAAACATTGGATGATCGTCAAGTTATATAGCGAATTAATTGAAGTTGACAATATGAACAGCTATTGGATTCCAACTAATTGGTAAAAATTAATTGTATCTAATCAATGTACAATAACTAAAGGTCCTGAATTCAACAGTTGATGAGTTTAACCAGAAAATATTACTGAACAGTTAATCCTAAACTGAATTGAATCAATTATCTAACGTTAAACCACCACTGAAAACGTGAAAGTACTGAACGGCCGTTTCGTCCTAATATGGGACTCCTCAGTAATACGTATCCAAGATCTCGCACGTGAGATTCAAACCAAGAACCTTCAGTTTAGCGCGCGAACATTTCACCTTATTGGTGGTATAACATTGATCGATTCATTATCTCAATTACAACTTAACAATCTTCATAACCCTATACTGATAATTATTCAATGCTTTACAATTTCCAATGAACAACTAATTTAAATGAATTCATAGATGAAAGTCAATCATAAAAATATTAAATAATTATTTTATATTTCGATGGTTGAGATCATGAGTCAGTTGAAGCTAGACCATCATGGAGAACCTGGAAGCACTGAAAGGCCATCTCGTCCTATTGTGGGACTCCTCAGCAGTGCGCATCCACGATCTCCACAAAACTTCTGATACTAATTATTTAATAATTTATAAAACTTACTATTATTTGTATGATTTGTTACTGGTATCCATGTATTTGTTGGTATATAACCAATAAAAATATTTTCATTTGATAAACATACAATTAAATCTGAATTGAATGGACACATGATTGGTTGAATTGCACTAGACAATGGAGCTTTGATTAGTTCCAAATAATTAGGTTGTTTCTAATGGATTAGAATAGATCATTTATTAATTATAGAAATTTATTCGAAACTAAAAATAACCTAATATAAGTGAAGTCTCATTCTAGGATAAAACAACTGTTTAGAATGCTTCTGGATCTACTTGAACAGGTATCTAAGTAAGATTAGCTCATGATGTAAACTTTACAAATTATATAACCTTTACGAAGTTTCACTATATTAATAACAATCATATAATTATTAGTGACTAGATTTCAGAAGCAATTTTAGTTCTTATGAGAAATTGTGAATAGTAGGATCCAACCATGCCAGCTATGAAATAGTTATCGAAGTTAAGCATGTACATCATTATTGCCGAATCAATAGTATAGATATTAAGCGTTCGTCGACAGACTGAAGGTTCAGAGTTTGATCTTTGATAGAGTTGTGAATGGAAACTGTTAATGAGTTCAATAATAGAACAAGATAGTTGTCCAATCCTTCCTGATTTTTAACCGTTGTTTACCCAAGATCAGTTAGTGATGTAAACATAGAGAAATCCTAAAAGATTTTATTAATACACATTACATTACTTAATGTTACACTTTATCACTTTCAATGTATGCTATGAATCTTACTCTGATAAACACGTTTAGTATACTTAATCAGAAATATAAGCTAAGATAATAATTGAAGCGGAACAACTTAACCCTTAATAAAATTCATTTGCCGATATGCGAAAATTCCTTTGATATCATCAATCGTCTTATAGTGTACGCAAACAATTGCTAGATGTATAATGTTACGTAAATATGAAAAACCCATCATGAATCTTCAATCAAGGTGGCTAGAATGTGTTAAGCATACCCAATAATCATCATCTAGCTTGATGAGTGTTACTCATCCTTTTTTTGCTATAATTGATATTGCTATTATTACGACTGCTTTCGGCATATATCTTATTAATTCTATCTCTTAGTGCTACAATATGGTAACGAGCTAATCCATATTTGGTTCAAAAATACAAGGCTTGTATTTCATGGGAACATTGGACCTCACATTTTCAGACATTATTTCAAATTGACGTTTCACCATGAAAAATAACTAGTCGCCCACAAATGCCCTGGTACGGACGTGAGTGGTGAGAGTCCACTCTCCCTCTCGAAATGCTCTCATATGGCCACGCGTATATAGCCTCTACCAGGGAAGTCCTACTCATTGCCTTCTCGTGGCAGGGGTGTTGTTTACGAAAATGAGAGGACCAAAATCGAATGTCCGGCGCTTTAACTGGGTTGGTCGACAGGGAGAATCCACCTAGAGGAGTTGGAAAACCCTCATTCCAAACCAATAGTGCACATGGGCTGTCTCCAGTATCCTGAGGGAACAAATGGCGTATGAACCAATCGTTGGTCACCGGCTACCATGGGACTGCACCTCCTGACATTGCTCCACTGTCTTGTGGATCAGATTTTCAGGTCGAAGGCTCAGGGTGTGGTCCCCTAAGAAAACCACCTGCTTCGGTTTGGGCACCCGAGCAGTATCAAAGCGCTCATAAATATCAAATGGGATTTGTGTGGCGCATATGTATTTAGTGCTTTCTTGTACCAATATCTATGTGTTAAAATAAATAAAATAAATAGGGGGAAATATTAGGTGGTTTTCTTGCCTATTGTTCTGAGAGACTAGACTTAAACTTCACCTGAAATATATATATATATATATATATATATATATATATATATATATATATATATATATATATATATATATATAAACATCTTATTTATACACAATAGAAAAAACATAACTGACTCCAAAACATGTATTGTCTTCAGTAGTATAAATTTCACTTGATGCACAAATAATAAGTTTACCACAATCGGATAAACAATAATTGCTAACACCCGATACAGAAACACGCATACGTTCATGGATTAAGAAGTCGGTTAATGCAAGTGAATTTCTTTTTTGGAATAATAAATAAACAAATAAAGCAAATTTAAAACCAAAATAAAATATAAACCAATCAAACAAAAGAAACATAGTTTAATAATAAATAGAATAAATTAATTTAATTTCTAGTTTATATTATGAATTGATCTTAGCCAAACAACCATGGAAACTAGAAAGGACTGGACAATTATTTTATTCCAGTATAGAACTCTTCGGTAATACGCATAAATAAACCTTGCAGGGATCGGATACAGGACTTTCAAGCCTCAAAGTGAGACCCTGACCTTCAAATCAATGATCTCGCATACAATGGTACAAATTGCGACATGGTGAAACTCTAGTGGTCACATCTCACTAGAAACTTCAGCACTTCTCTTAAATCTAATCACTGATGAACACATGATTATTATTAGCATATGACGTTAGGTAGATTGTTTTCACATCATACGAACGAATCTAATAATCATTTATGCCAAACATGTAAATTTCACAGAATATTTCAACAGAAAAACATGATTTTTGAATAGAACTGTGACATAATGATCTAGACACTTATATCCCAAGGATGTGGTTAAGGTATTCATTTTGAAAAAACTGAATAACCATGAAGATTTCAAAAACTACTTTCGTTTCTAATGTTGTGCCACCGCAGAACACAGTTAAATCTTTAATAAATAGTTTATAATGATACCTAGTAAGTTGAAACATTCTATAAACAGAATCTTAAATAATACACGAAAGTGATAAGTTGCAAAGTTGGTGTACTTCGTTATTTCAACTTAACAGAATATATGGTAATGAGATACTAACCATTGTCTTAGCTATTTTAAGGTGTACTAATCACAATGACTTAGAAATAATATACAACCTTGAAACACTGTTAAACACAGCATCGAACGGTTTGATTAAAATATTTACAAAAATAAGTCTTGACATATTCCTGTCTAGTCATGTAATTTATAGTCTATGCTGAGATTTTTATAAATTTTCTTTGAAATCAACAAAAACAAACATCCATTAAAGTTGCTGCAGTAACACCATTCATCATATCATCTTGCAAAGATTATAATAATAATGCTTACTTATAGTCTAAAAATTCATTAGGCAACAATGGATACCATATTAATTGATCATCGGAAGAATTCTGCCGGATTAAATCAGCGAAAAACAATGAAGGTTTAGTACCAGGTTGAAAACTAGTCGACGGATAAGAAATGAAGTAAATTCGACAGCCGAGCTAAAATTATGAAAAATAAATGGTATAAATATATCACAAAGGTAATAAGTGAATTCAGAAAACACTCGCAGAGAAATGAAAAGAAAATTAGCTTCATTTTATCGCTAATCTCAGAATAAATGGAATAACTTTAGTTTTAAATAACAAATGACTGTAATATTTAGAACGTGTATTAATTAGTTAGCTGTTATGCCAAAACTGACTACCTTTTTTTAATTGAGAAATAATCAGTTAGCGAATTCACTTCTCATACTAATAACAGAGATTCTATCGTCAGGACAACAATGATATTTGTTCAATATTTGTTTATAGACGACTGTAAACAGTACAATAACCAAACATCTCTGGGATATAAAACATGAAGTAGATACCTTGAAATCTTTCAAGGTAATTAATAAACATCCAGGCTCTAGTCTTATGAACTTTGCTGATTCTGTTGCTACCAGGCATCATAAACCTGATTTGTGTGTTTAAAGTCAGTCAATCAGCTACAACGAAAGACCAGGCACATATATGCATCGGTTCAAGTTGCCACACCTCATTAGCACAACAAAATGAACAGCATATTCATATAAGTGATTACTTCAATAGCGTAATATAAAATAAGTATTATTGTTACTATTATTTTAACACATAGATATTGGTACAAGAAGGCACAAAATACATATGCGCCACACAAATCTCATTTGATATATGTGAGGGCTGTGATACTGCCCGGGTGCCCAAACCGAAGCAGGTGGTTTTCTTAGGGGGCCACACCCCGATATAAAAGAAGGATTAAATATAATGATATAATACATGGAGGAAGAATTAGTTTGTAGAAAGGTATAAAGCAATTTTAATTTCACGGTTTAAAGGAAGACAAGGAGTGTGTACACCTACGCCATTTTGGTCGATTCTAAGCCATGTCACCAAGAGTCTTCAACCATTAGTTACGATAGTCACGCGGACCCCAACCAAGTAGTCTGCATCTACAAACATGGCTCAGACTACAAGTTAGTGACTTCAAGCACTGATGCCACTTTTTGGTTTGGCCGCCCCTAACTTTCTTCCAATCATCCCCAACACCAGTTAGCATTGCGCGTCGTGGTAATCGGTGTTCAGGCATACGCAGCACGTAGCCCAACCATTTCAGCCTATGTAGATTCACAACCTCACCAACTGATTTACCATCATTACCTAATACCCTGCGTCTAAACTCACTATTACTTACCCGGTGATTCCAACAGATGCGAGCAATATTTCTAAGACATCTGTGATCAAATACTAGTAACTTACGAGTATCTCCCACTCCTAATGACCATGTTTCGCAGCCGTATAGTAGAACGGAACGAACTGCCGCGCAGTATACTCGTCCCTTAATTGATAGACGGATATCTCGCCTTCGCCATAGATGACGTAAGTTGGCGAAGGCCAAGCGAGCTTTTCGAATCCGTGCTGAGATTTTGTCAGACACCAACCCATTAGAGCTGATCAGACTTCCAAGATAAGTGAAATTGTCAACGCGTTCGACTACTTCACTCCCTATCCTTGGTTCAGGTGTTGACGCAGACCAGTCCTGAAGCAACAACTTGCATTTAGAGGGAGAGAAGCGCATCCCAAACATTCTAGCATTGTTGCTCAGTGCTATTAAAAGACTCTGCATTTTATCACCGTCTTCGCCAAACAAGGCTATGTCATCTGCGTATTCTAAGTCAATAAGTGAACCTCCTGGTAGGAGTTCAACACCCGAGAATACAGTCGACAAGAGCATTATTTCCATCTGCATGTATATGATGAAGTTAAAAAAATGAGAAAATGGACAACCTTGACGGACACCACTTGAGGTTGCAAAAACAGATGAGAGTTCGCCATAAGCTCTGACTCGACTAGTAGTATTCGAGTAAAGATCCTTCACAAGGTTTATGTACTTCTGAGGTGCGCCTTTCAATGACAGACACTGCCACAGAATCTCACGGTCTACAAAGTCAAATGCTGCTTTTAAGTCAAAAAAATTATCATTGTCGGACGCTGACAAACACGCCTGTGTTCTAGAACCTGACGAATGGTGAACATGTGGTCGATGCAGCCACGACCAGGTCTGAAGCCAGCCTGATTTTCTCGTGTCTGTAGTTCGCAAGTCTTTGTCAGGGGCCCAATAATTATTGAGGCTAGTATTTTAGATGCCATATTAGTCAAACTAATTCCTCTATCGTTGTCACAGAATGATTTTTACCCCTTATATATTGAGAAAACCAGTGATTTCTACCAGTCAGGTAGGATTACGTTCAACTCCCAGATTTTAGCTAAAATATTAGTCAACCTAACTGTTAAAACTGGACCACCATACCTAAAGACCTCTGGACCCAGTCCATCCGAACCAGCTACTCGTCCTTGTTTCAGATTAGCTATAGCTTTTTGAACTTAAGCAAGTCGTGAGGCTCACTTCAATGTTCCATTCAGGTTGTTTGGGAATAGTAGGTAGCTGAACTGCTCCTTAGTGTTCGACCGATCGTTCTAAACGTCTAAATTGAGAGCAGATAAAAGTGTTGTCCTTTTCGACAACTGTCTTACTTACACTTGACTTCTTAATTCCAGTTTCTTTTATTAGTCTGAAAGACTATCTGGTGTTACCTATAACCGCTGCCTTTCCCATCTCTTTTGCTTTTATTGCCCACCACTGACCACGGTCTTTCCTTAGACTTTAGGTTAACCTAGATTTGACTTGGTTTCGTTCATCATAGTGTTTAGAGCCGATGGGATGAGTCTACGAGAGTCTATCAGCGCAATAAATGTAGCAGAAATCTAATTTTTCGCGCCCCTGTGGTTTAACTCAGTAACAGACGTTTTCAAAAGTAGATGGTTGTTAATCGTTCTTTACCCTGGTGCAAATATTCTTTCATTGCGTCATAAGATTTCCGTACAACTCTTTCCTTCAACTAATTGCATAACTACGGCGTTTTTTGTTTCCACTGTCTTCTAAATCAATAATCTTATTTTATTAACTGAGCTTTACGCATTTCGTTCTTATCAGCGTTTACTCATTATATAATCACTTGTTTATAGCCCTTTGAACTCTTATTACAATCAATTTTGTAGAATTTCCTCATACACAAGGTATATTTTCACTATATTTTACTATTAAATTTATTTACACTAATACTATACTAATGTGTCTTAAAAATCACTTCAACTAAACTCCTTGCAAGTAATTTAAACCCATTTTGTAATTATGATTTTATATATCGCAGGTTGTACGTAGTTGACGAGAACCAAACGAAACAAAGCGGATCCACGACATTCTACAATCTTTGTTTTTGCTCCCTTCAGGATGGTAAAGGGAATGATGTGTAATAAAAAAACCCCATCTGGGTAAAGTTGGCTGTTTAAGTTGGTAATCCTTCATCGAGTGATTGTGCAATGTTCAGTGCTTATAGTTGACACAGACTTTCGACCTCGATTTATGAACAAGAGTTTGTTTACTAAATTCCAAGACTCAGTCCATTAGACATCAGATAATTTACTTTCCACACGAGCTAAATTCGTTCCCCAAAAGGGTCTCAAATGTCAGTTTATCTAGTCAATTTTAAAAGTTATCAACAAGGAATGCCATCTAAGAATTCTACCTGATCGGCTAAACTGATACTCCATTAATGAATACACTGCTTTGATTTCACATTTACAAAGAAGCACATAAAAACATACTTTGTCTTTAGAATCAGAAAAATTTCGGATTTTGATCACGGTTGGGATGGAAAATGTATGCAATCCAAATCCGTATGATGAGGCTATATGATAGAAGTGTTCAAATGTACTGGTAACTTTATTCGAACTGTCTGACTCCGACATTATTGCCTGTAAACAGATGGAAGAATTTAAGTAATTTTGACCTGATAAAATTACTTGATTTAAAAAAAAAACATTTCTAGGTGCGAAGAAATGTAACGAACGTCAGACACATTTTTAAAGTCGATATCTATGTATGCAATTTTAACACGATACAAAGATCGTTTGGTGCATGAAGTATTGTCTTTTAAAGTCAAACTGATGAAGTTGTATAATGCATCGAAATATTTCAAAACAGCGTCCACAAAACAATTAGATTTAGGGTTTTCATCACGAACTGACATCAGATATAATGCCGAGATAGTATTTAGCCAGGTGAGCGTATGAATTTTGCGCTAAAATCCGAAACATATTGTTTCGAATCTAATTAGTTCATCAATAAATTATAGTCTCAACAACTCCTTTAGTCTAAAGTTGTTTTAATTTGACTCAGAAGCTGCATTATTAACATGTAAACACCGACAAAAAAAGTTCGCAGACATGTTCGAGTCACTTAGTTTAATGACAATATGTAGCTAATTAGACTGAAATATGACGTCTATCTAGTACCAAACACGAAACATCAATATCATTCATTATGTGGTACTTAAGCAACGAGTGTGCACGCACCGAAATTCACTGTATATATTCAAAACTGACTAACTGTGAAGCAGGTATAAGTATTAGCTATAGCTAGGAAATATATTTCCTGCACCTTATAACGTGCAATTTATTTTGGCATGAAAAAGGCTCATTCAAAAGCATACTCATTCTAAAAAAATACCAATGAGAGTTTATAGTGAGATAATATGGAAAAGACTTTACACATTCAGTAAAACTGTGCAGTTAAGGTCAAACAACCGGGCGTAGCGCACACAGTTGAAAGTGCGACTACAGCTTAAATGTTTCAATGTATAACAATTTGATTTCCCACACGCTCTCAAATATAATTGCCCGAATCACACTTCTTCAGCAAAAAATACACTACTTTGTTATTCTTCATGAATGTAGAGGGTAAGTACCGGTGGAAGTTTATTCATTTCTGCGATGACTAACAAATTTACTTATATTTGTGCATGAAGCTATGCCATTCATAATAATATCAATGAATATTGGCCTTTCCCTTCATTTCGCTTACTGCAGTATCACTTGCAAAATTGAATAACGAGCTAGAACTAGGTGAAAACTTATTTGTGACATCCGTATTATAGCACAACCTTGAAATAATTTAACCAATAATATGTGACCCACTCACATCGTTTCTAACTTTGACCTACATCATTTACGTAGTTAAATATTGTACTAGCCTCCTCAAATGAGACATAACACAATGTCCCAATATTAAAACACAAAGCAATCCATGTCTTACTACTTATTGACTAATATTTCTGTACCTCAACAGAACTAAGAAAGTGATTTTTTGTCAACTTTTGGTCCTTCGAAGTTGATAAATTCAATAGATCTGAATTATATTGTTGCAATATAAATCAAAAGTAAGAAGAATAAACTTACTAATAAGGCCTAATTTTTCAACGTTGTATACTCATTCCGCAGCAACTGTTTCCCTTCTTACAACTGTAATGTAGTGAATTCTCTGTTACAGTGTCTACGTGTTATTGTTCTGGCTTAAAGACGTAGCATAAATTCGATGGGGACAAAGGAAAACACGCCATCTATAGTTTGAGTAGTAGGTAAGTCAAAAGCCTAATTATATAATAGCGGCTAACCTGAAATATGATTATGAAGCGAGACGTTTTCAATATACTAATGAAAACATACATGGAGTTTCTAAATACCAAATCAAATAACAATTAGGATGAATTAGGCAGAGTTGTTTGATTTCAGAAAGACATAAGAAAAAAGATATTATTTACCAATCATATATAAATAGACTACACTTACGCCTTCAATAAGCAAATATGAAATATACGATCCATAATTAAGAATATTTTCGTAGATCAATATAGTATATATATATATATATATATATATATATATATATATATTTCATGGTCAGTTGCAACAAACACTCAAGGCTTTAAAGAATTGTAATAACTGTAGTGGTACTGGTTTCTAACCACAAGATTCTTGAAGTGGAACACATAATTACTGAGAAGATTGACATTCAACATATCGCTCTTGAAGGAGATCGATACCGGTGAACGAGGGATGATTCATTGAAGATGGTATGGCTCGGCCATGCAGACTTGGTCACAATATGTAAAATTTATTGAATCATATATCAAACATATTGCTTTCCACTGAGTCTAAATGTGTTATTCAAAAATAATGGACGTTATACAGTTGATTCTTATGATCCGAGTCAAAATAGATAATAATGTGACTTCCACGTGAGATCTTATAGATTAGATTTTCACATCATGAATAATCTACAATTTTCGGATTAGATCTATTATCATACTACCAGTAATACCGAACTTGAAAATAATTCTACATAAATATTCTGGTTGTTCACTGGTAGTGGATGTTACTGAGTGTTTTGAGCCAGATGATTTTCTTCAATCGGTCAACTAACCAGTTCAAATTGATGTGATGACTAAGAACTTTTAAAATATTGCGATTTAAGACAAGTTAAACGAGATGAGCATAAATGGACGTGTTATAATGTGTAACAATAATCCAAAATTATAAGTAGTTAATGATTTCAATCGTAATTGTTATAGTTCGAAAAGTACATTAGGATAAGGCATATAATGAAAATATTACGGTGATCTGTAAATGTAGATAGCAAATATGCTGGAGTTCTGTTATAATAACAACAATTAATCGTGAACAAGAAGTATATGTGTGCAGCAGTGTATTTATGAGCGATAATCGATGTGTTATGCTATGGGGAATTCATAACGAAGACGGAAGATTCAAAGTCATGCGTTTTTATACAACAATTTTACAGTCAATCTTAGAAATTGCACCACTTATGAGCGTTAGTGAAAAAAAGCAAATAGCAGTACAAACTGGTTACAAAATAAATCTGTTCTAATTATCTCCACAGAATGATCAGTCATTACAAATTCCACACAGAACTCATAACTAAATAGAGTTTCCTGGGTGCAAACTATCAATGGGTAAAAACACCTGAAGTGTTACATAAGGTCATTCTGAGGTTTCGAAACCCAATTTATTAACAACTAGTGATGTCAGATAGCTGAGACAGCTGAAAATCGCTCGGTAGCAATTTTACTGTCAAGACCATCTGTTCTGCAGGTTTCTTAGCGCTATGTGTGACTATTGTTTAAAAGAATCAAGCAGACAAGCATTTTGCGCCCAACTGAATAGACCACCGAGCGTTAGTATGTTGCTAGTACCTCTCACCACTCTATTTTTGAGATGACCCACTGTCATCGAACTGTTAGTGAATGGATTCGCTTTATTTACTGATGTCTTTTAAATACAGGTTACATTTATTTCGTTTTCTTAAAGTGCCTATAGCCAAATTTATTCATAATTTGGGTTGGAACTGTCGCCAGAGTCTAAAATGTAAATTTTCATTAAGCATCAAAACTCAAAGTAGTTTGGGAACACAGAATACCGTCTCAAATGAATCAGTTAGTCTCGTTTCCAGACCTTTATTAGCTGATATAGATGTCATTTTAGTTTAGTTTTTGGTTTCAATCGTATGATTCCAGGCAGTGTATTCGTAATGTGTGGTACTTGAATTTTACGTTTATTAATAATATGTCAATTAGATGCAAACAAAGCACAACAAGTAGGAGTTAAATTAAATTTTCCAAATTAGCTTAAAGGCAGATTGAATGAATATTACACGAGCACAGATAAGTAATGATGAAACAAATAAACTCGAAATAAAGTAAAGTGGTTTTTTGTCACATATCTTTTGTATCAGAAGTCTGTAGCGAGGTGTCGAGTTGAGCTTGACTATGAACACCTCTACAAGACTACGTGCCAATAGACCAATAAGATTCCGGTAGGCCAATATCAGAAGACAGATGATGGCTGTAGTCGAGATGTATTTGTTGGCGATCTCGTGGTATCGAAAGAATACCGAGATCGTGCCAAAGGAGTACAAGCGTGGTTACTGAGCGTAACCGAATTCGTACAAGTTCAAAGTTAACGGGAGAGTAAGTGAGTATAATGGCTGTCATTAGCACAGTTAAACAAACGAGCACAGTAAAACAGTCACTGGTACAATTGGTTATAATAATAATTGTTTTCATTGAACTTATCGCGTTCTGTTGACAAAAGTAGGTCACTACAAGTCATCGTTACCTAAGTGTAAGTCCTTGCAAACATGGAGAAAGCAATTTCAAACATAAGTCAACATGCCTCAATCCGAACATTCAAGCTTTTGCGAGCGTCAAAGCGTTTCCTTAGAAAATGTGACTAGAAATATCGTTCGGTTGATTATTATGCTCATCCATGATTTCACTTATATACATACTAATTATAACATCTGATAGTATTGTAGGTCATTAAAGTCATAGAAACACTTATATATACTCAAAATAATATTCTAATACATAAGATTGGTTTATTTCCTGAAAGCTGAAATCTGTGAACAGAAACAAATATGATACTATAAGATATGAATAGGGCATTAATCTCACATAAATCATTTATCACTTAATACAAGTTCTGCAAACATAAATGTGAGAGAAATAAATAAAACATAATGGTAGGCTTTATCATCCCCCAATTTATTTGTTAAAATTCTAACCTAGATATAATGTTGGCAGGGATTACGTGGGTTTGTGTTAATTTAGCCTCGGCGAATGATACAGCACCCAATTCAGAAACCCTAATGACCCTACAGTGAGAGTCCTAGGCTTGCTCATGTGAGACATAATGAAACCTGAACTGGTCTCAAATAAGCGTAGGTCTCAGTTTGTGTGAAATGTGGCAGGTACATCTAGCTGACAAGTCCCAGAGTGGACGTACTGGCCTGATGGATTCCACTGTTAGCCACATTTCTTCTTCACTACAAAGGATCATTCGACATACAAAGCTTAATAAACTCAGATCAACTCCATTATTCTACTGTCATTTTATTGTTATGTATTGTTAATTGTTTTATAAGCAGGCAGCGTTTCCTGATTAACTGATAAGTTGTTTATGGTTGTCAGCAGGTTATACTTTTACTAACTATTCTCAAACAATAATGAGAAAACTACAATCAACAAACCCATGTTCTTCACACACAATAGTAACTCTTCTTACAATGCTTTAAAAAAGAAGCATATATTTGAATAGGATGAGATTTATTAATATAATTTATGCATAAGAGAAGAATATAGTGATTAGTAGTTTGTTTAGTCAGACTTGTAGATAGTCTGATAGGTATTAGAAGAGTTATATATTCTCTTATCCTTATGATTACTGTGATTGTTGTCAGTTTATGATGTGGAAATATAATTACGTTCTAGTTAGGCTAGTCACGTATTCTTGATGTCCTTTAGAATAGACAGACACTGGAAGGGTATCTAGTATAAATATTCGTCTAAGACAAATTAGCGTCCCATTCGTGTAGATGGGGAAAACCGAGTGTTAAACTATTATTACATAAAATTCATTCGTATGGAAGCTAATGATGGCGGACAAAAACTCATTGGCTGATTATTGACCTTCAGTATCTGTAACTCACGATCTTCTGCATTCTATGCTGCATTAGTTGTCCTGTCTTTTCATATCCGTTAATTGCGAAGAGAAGAGAAGAATATGTGTCAACAAATAGATTCGCTTACAGAGAATCATCACTTCATTGTAATATTTACATTTAATGAGACCAGCTATCACAAAATCCAACTGCATAAAGTCCATGCAATTTTGATATAATATACTAGCTGTATAAATGATCTTTTGAATATTCCAGACAGCTCACCGTCACAAGAGTGAACAAAAACAAATGAAATCCAAATGTGATTGGATATATATACAAATTTATATAGTGAAACATAACTGAAAAACATTAAAGCAATAATTGACTACCAAATAATCTAGTTATCAATTATCATTCATGTTCTTAAACTCAAAGCATTATCGTTGTTTCACTGAACAAGTAATAAATCCAATGAATTAGACGGTTGAATGTAGTAAACAAAAACATATGGGCCTACGTTTCATGCTATTTAACATTCGTAAGTGAGGTGTGAATACAATCATTAAGGGACTGAGACTTCCTAAAAGATTAGAATTTATGTCACCTAATTTCACAGTCTAATATGATTGAAGCATGATCAGTTTAATATAAATAGTAATAGTAAATGTAGTGAACAAACATGTAATATAAGATTGTTTTAAGTTTACTAGTTCAAAAATTGTTTAAGTAGTACAATTATGCCATGTGTTACAGTAATGAAATGTATCAGCCAAGAAGTTGTAATTCTTCTTAAATGAACATCATTTTGATTTATGAAAGGTGCATTTAAAATCATTTTTTGTGCCATAACGAATTAATGATAATCATCTACAACTAGAGAATGTAAAATGGAAACAGAGAGCACGGATGCCGGCTCAGTGGTCTAGTTGGTTAAGCGCCTGGCGCGCGACTGATAGGTCCTGTGTTCGAATCTCGCAGGGGGGTCATGGATGCGCACTGCTGAGGAGCTACATACTAGGGCGAAGCGGCCGTCCAGTGCTCCCAGGTTTTCCATGGTGGTCTAGCTTCAATCGACTCATGATTTCAACTATTGAAAGTAACAATTATCAGAAGAGAGTTTTGTCGAGATTTCAGTAATTTAATAGTTGAATTCATGAGTCAATTGAAGCCAGACCATCATGAGAAACGTGAAAGTACTGGATGACCGTTTTGTCCCAGTATGAGACTCGTCAGCTATGCGCATCCACGATCCTACTTGTGACATTCGAACCCAGGACCTACCGGACGCTTGATTTCTAGACCACTGAGCCAGTATCCAACGGTATTAATGTCTAGCTTCAACTAATCTATGAAATCATACCATCATCTACCATTGTCTTCAATAAGTTACTATCTCACAACAGACTCCGGTTGAATTTCAATGATCACTACAATAATTACTAAAATATGTCAATCAAGTCTACCATAACTCAGCGATATACTGTTCAGATTAAATATTATTCAAATTAGTTAGAGTTGCCAGGGACAATTTTAACATAAAGTAATAGCAGATAAGTAGTTTTACTTAATAAATTCAATAATAAGAATAATCCCACTTCTTAAACACAGCCCTCTAATTTTTGGCATTGAATTCATCCTGTTTTTTAGGGGGGGGGGTTGTTTTTGTTTTTTTGAGACAGACATTAAAAATTTCTATCTCAACTAGTTTGTCTATTCTATAACCTTATTATTGAACTATCCTATCTACATTTAACTAAGCAAAATAACCAGAAAAAATATGATTGGTTAATAAAATCTGAGAAAATAATAATCAATTAACCAATCATAATTGAGTATAATAAATAAATCGGTTATTCGTTTATTTTTTTTATTTTTTCTTTCTTCGATTAACCATTTTGCCTATTTATTGATTTAAGAGTCTGTTTTAATACAGTTTATGAAGAGAACAATAACAAGAACAACGGCGACAATAAAAGAAAACACAAATAAACAATGATCTATAATTGAAAACTTCATTATCCTATTAGAGATTGATCCATTCCTGTGAACAACTTCCATTGGAATTATTGATATTTATCATTATTATTATTATTATTATTATTATTATGTATGAAAATCTGAGTGATTGGCTTGTTAAACAACTTTTACCATCTAGACCTGATCCAAGATTATCAAATTATCCATTAATGTCTACATGGACACCAACTGCAGTTATCTCATTCACTTATTGTATCATTGTATATATATGGCGTAAAAAATTAATACAAAAATACAATAAACAAAAGATTGAATCAAATTTAAATGGAACTATTTATAAAAGAATAAATAGAAAACAATCGATTAATTATTATATGGCATTATATAATTTTAGTATGGTTATATTCTCTACATATTTATCAATATCTAGTTTAATCTTAATACGTCAACTTGATTATGGTTTAGGTTGTATTGAATTACCAGATCCTAATGATAAACGTACTGATTATTTAGTTTATTATGGTTATTTATATTTTTTTTCAAAATTTATAGAAATGTTAGATACAATATTCTTTTTATATCGTGGTAAAGTTGATCAAGTTACATTTTTACATGTATTTCATCATGCATCCATGCCACCATCAGTATGGTGGGGTTTAAAATATGCACCTGGTAAGTTATACAGGATTGGTCTTTACTAATGGTTAAATAGGTTGTGTTTTTGTTTTCCTTCAATATATGCTGATAACTGTTCTATATGTATAGGTAGATTGAAAAAGAGTTTGATGAGACAACTTGAATGTTAACTTATTACTATTGAAATGATACAAACAAGAAATATTTGTTATTGACGAATAAATCATTCAACTGGAACCATTTATGATTGAGATCATGAATTCATTAATTTCAAACCATTATTGAAACCTGGAAGTACTGGATGGCCGTTCCTTCTTAGTATGAGACTCTTCAGCAGTGAGCATCCAAGACACAAACACCGTTGGATGACGACCAGAGACCAAAGGCAGTTTGCTGGATGGTGGATGTGCACTGCTGAGAAGTTTCATACTGGGACGAAACGGTCGTCCAGTACTTCAAGATTTTTACTGAAGGTCTAACATCGATCGACTCAGGATCTCAATCAAAAACTAAACAATAATCACAACCCCATACTGGTAACGGAACTATTTATCCAAGCTACCATATTTAATTTGATTCAAATCTCATATCATTATAACCTATACAAATTCAACTATATCTTTAAGCATAACAAATATCACATTTTCCACATTCACTAACATTCACACAAATACACGAACATCTCGGAGTTATGGATGTACACTGCTGATTGAGGTGTCCTGTACCAGGGCGAAATAGCCATTTATTGTTTCCAGGTTATTAACATTGGTCTATCAAAGATCAAATCATGAATCAAACTGCAAAAATTAGGCGATCTTCACAAATCCCCATATGTTAATCTAATTTATTTATTTATTTGCTGATAAGTAGCTCACACTGAGTGACGAAACGCCAGAAAATGTAATTTTCTATTCATTGAGAAATTAAAAATATGTTCTTTTTATAATAAACACTATACCTACTGTACAATTTATTTGAAATCATCAAGTCTTGGTAACGATATATTACTTATATTAAGTGGTGCTCTGGTTGTTAGAAGGGGCATCGGTATCGTGACTACAGAAGAATGTCGGCTTTCATCATAAAGCGTCATAATTCTTCCTTCAACTTCCTGTGTGCAGAATTTAAATGATTTAATTTGGTTAGTCTTTTTTAGCAAGATTTTTTTACGAGATGGGGTCGCCGATCCTATACTCAACCCTCCTCCTATGTGTGGGCTTGGGATCAGCAGTAACTCTATAGGAGCTACATCTGGAGTTGTAATGATGTATAATGATCAAACAAATCTGTAGTATGTTACATTTTTGAAATTTCTACTCCTCTAGTATTATTAAATTAATTTTTAACAAATCACATCGACTTTGTAATTTGATCAGTTTTAAAAATTTTAGACAAATATGACATTATTCAATCATTAGTGATTAATCAATTGTAGGTAACTTAATCTTACAGAAGAATAATCTCTACCCAGATAGTTCGGCGGCAACTACTTTCAGACTATGAAGCTAAGTGATATGGGTCCGAATCCTCAAATGAACATCATTTCCCTCGAAATAAAAAGTATATCTTATTGATGAGTACTAATTACCACATAATCTAGGTCAAGAAGAATTTCTTTTCGATCACAACTAACTACCTAACACTTCAATATAGTTTACTTATTGTCGAATAATTTAAACTAATGGCTAAATTGTAATTTGACCGATAAATACTAAACAAATAATGACATTAATCATTATATTCTGAATAATCGGTTCATCAGTTTCAAAGATACTTTTATCAACTTGGAATAAATTGACCGATAATGAAATCTGTTGAAATCACTAGTAAATAAGTAGGATCAGATGTGATTAGCATCTTTATTCTTAATACTAATGGATTATATGATCCGAGATGTATGTAAACTTTGAGAATTGGATAAGTGAAATGTTCATCTTATAGATGAATTTTACACTTACATAATGTTTTCTTCAATGCTTAAACGTTAAACAAATGTAAACATTACAAATTCTTGAAACCATTTCACGGTTAACATATAGTATGAGGATGTGCTAATCATTAAAACAAGAAAACTACTTTAAGGATTTAGTTATCTCAAGATTCGAAAAATCCAATGACATTTATCTTTCATTGGATCACGTTTATGGTAAGAGTTGATGCTGATGATGTCTTTCAGAAGAACGATGAAAGCTCCACGACCAAACCATCCAGCTTAAAGAACAAAACTCCATCAATAAAAATATCTTTGCATGATGCCTAACAAAACGTTCTAAATTGTTAGGAAAAATTGTTTGTCTCCTCATACAAGAAGAAACAACTGTCCAGTGTTTCTTGCTTTTCAATGGTCGTCTAACTAGTGTCAGTTTGTGATCTCAATGAAATAGATTAGTTTATTAAAAGGTAAGTATGTAGAAAAGAAACATTCGAAAATTGTATTGGTTTCAAGTGTACAAACATGGGGGTTGTATTTCATTTAATCGGAATACTGCTTTTTACTGGTTTCCATTTATGAATATGTACACACATCGTTGTTGCATATGATCACTGAAATAGTTACGGTTGACCTGATTAGTTTTAAAGAAAAAATAAATTATATGGATCAGTTTACTTACGAATGTTAACATTATTAAATCGTTTACCAGTAATAGATTAGTCTACTTGATGTTGAGTCATATTCATTGTGAGATCTAATCACACTACCTTATTGTCCATACTAAACTAGGCTGAGCTGGGTTCGAACCTTCAACTTAATTATTGAAGTTCAGATATCTTAAAATCTGAGTAATCAGTCTATAAACCAAGTTTGAACATGTTGTTTTAGGTCCTATTAATTAGTATCACTGAAAATAACCCGGTGATTAAATTTTAATCGATAATGTGAATTAAAACACATGTTACTTTATTAGCAGTCTGAGACTGATTGTTATAAGTATGTTTATATGAATTAGACAGAAATAATAACCGTATTATTCAAATGTTGATAAATTTGCCTTAAAACTAAGCGAGTTTATTGAGAAATTCCATTGGCTTATGATTCTTTTAACTACTGATTCCTTACTATTTATGATATATTGAAACAATCAGAAATTGACCAAATGATTAGTCTATATAGTAGACTAAGAAATGCCTTACATTACTTAGAAATGAGACACTATTAGAGCAATAAAATCTTACCTCCCACTATAGGTTTTCTTACTTGTATAAGCTTGGGTATCAGTATCGATATCCAACACTCATATCATAACAGTTTATATATCTTGTTAAGAACATCTGTAACGACCGAACTACCAGTATTCGGTTTGAACACAGGACCGACGAACCAAAACGTAATCGAATAGGCCAGACTACGTTCTTCTGTATAGATTACCAAGCGTTTTTGAGACACTTGTATTAAATTATATCAAAACACAAACTCTGTGCTCAATTTAAACGGTTCTAATTTAGGAAATAGAACAAATTATATCAAAAATACAAAATACCTCAAACGGTACAGCCTGTGCTATACAGTCAAAAGTTTCTCTAACGCAAAGTAGTGCGCTAAAAAATAAAAGAAACAATTAATACCAAAGGGTTTGATACCTGAGAATCAATGAAAATATTTCCAACAAGACGGAATCAAATATCTATCTTCAGGGATTCCAGCAATCCTCGCAAGCAGACAGTCAAAAGGTTAACAGTCACACACTGAATCACGCCGTCACCTCAGTCAAACACGACCTTACTGTCAATAGTCCGGCAACATGCAATAGAAAATTAGGTAACAAAAGATAAGCCTTTAATCGAAATCACGTAATAAAAGCTAAGACGAAGAGGACTGAAGAACAAAAGGTGTGGTTAAACGAGATCTGAACAAAGGTTAAAATACACTACAGCGAGAAGAAACAAATAAATGACAGTACTGTACAACAAAAAAGCTGCGGAGAGATTTTCACCATTCTCTTTCCGTTACAACATCTATATCCAATGAAATAAAGATGCATACAGGTAAGATGTACCGAAGGTACTAAAAATATATATTGCAGCTCACGTTCAATTGAGTTTGTTCACATTTGATTCGGTTCAGTCCTTTTGTTAACGTATTTAACAGATAGGGTCATCCGTACAATAACAGCTTATTGTACGGCGAGACTATAATTTATGGACGAACCGATCAGATTTACGATAATAGGTCTGAGATTTCGGCGCGAAATTCATTCATCCATTTGACTAAATAAAGTCTTGTCATTATAGCTTATGTTAGTTCGTGATGAAAACAATAAATCTGATTGCCAACCCTAACCATCAACCGTAAATCATAATCCCTATTCTTTAAAATGCTTTATAACCCTTATTTAACCATGGTAAGTAGGTAGACACTCTCAAGATCACTTCAGCGTCACTCAACGATCGTTCATAAATTATAGTCTCTTCTATAGCAAACGCAACACCAAATTCAAGAAAAGATTACCAGTGTAGCAGCAGCCTCAGAAGCAATAGGTCTCAACATACACAAAGGGAAAAGCAAGATTCTCCGATACAACACAACATGCACCAATCCAATCACAATTGACGGAGAAGATTTGGAAGATGTTAAATCCTTTACACATTCGGGCAGCATCATTGGTGAACACGGTGGATCCGATGCAGATGTGAAGGCGCGATTCGGCAAAGCAAGAGCAGCATATTTACAACTGAAAAACATCTGAAACTCAAAACAATTGTCAACCGATACTAAAGTCAGAATTTTCAATACAAATGTCGAGATAGTTCCACTGTGTTGGGTGGAAATATGGAGAACTACGACAACCATTATCTAGAAGATACAGATGTTTATTAACATTTGTCTACGCAAAATACTTCGGATCCGTTGACCAGACACTATTAGCAACAGCCTATTGTGGAGTGGAGGACGAAATCAGGAAGAAGCGTTGAAAGTGGATAGGACATACATTGAAGAAAACAACGAACTGCGTCACAAGACAAGCCCCCACATGGAATGCTCAAGATCGAAGGAGGAGAGGAAGACCAAAGAACACATTATGCTGGGAAATGGAGATAGATATGAGAAAAATGAACAAGAATTGGATGGAACTAGAAAATAAGGTCCAGGACAGAGTTGGTTGGAGAATGCTGATCGGTGGCCTATGCTCCATTTGGAGTAACAGGCGTAAGCAAAATAAAAGCCATCGTACCTTTATTATTGCTGCGCTTATATAAATATATATGCTTGAGCATTGCTTACTGCATATATTCATTCTGTTAGGTTTAATGTTAGTCACTTAACTGATTCGATGATTCATTCATTTGCCTATATATAAATATATATTTACATTTTAATCTTGTTCATTAACTTACTCATTCGACTTGCGAACTTGTATGATAGCTCATTAACTCACTCACTGCTATACCCATCGACATTAGCCTTTCATTCTTGTTTCGCGTATCTATAATGTTAGTTATCTGTGAGTCGTGATGTAATAATAAATGTAATCAATACAATTCATATTCACCTATTGATTAAAATACACCATTCAATCATTATCTAATGACGATTATCATGACAAATTATATAAGAAGTTCAAAAATTTTATACTGAATATCAACCACCACATATATATATATATATATATAACATACTTTTTTCACTTTTTTTGTTTCTCTTTTTTTCTTTTCTTTTCTTTTCTCTTTTTTTTGTTTCTTTTTTAGGTGGTTTATTATATATGTTTCCATTAATCAATAGTTTTGTTCATATTATTATGTATACATATTATGGTTTAGCATCAATTGGTTATTATCAATTATTATGGTGGAAAAATTATGTTACATTAATACAATTAATACAATTTTTATGGTTTATAATACATCAAGGACAATTTCTATTATATAATAATAATTGTAATTTCCCAAAAATATTCCCTATTATTGTATGTTTATATTCTTTTTTATTTTTTATATTATTTTTAAATTTTTATATAAAAGCTTATTGGAAAAAAGAACGTTTAGTTAAAATATTAAAAAATGAATAAGAAAAAGAAAACAAAAAAGAAAACAAAAACAAAAACAAAAACATAAAAGAAAAGAAAAGAAACATGATCCATAATCAATAATTTAAATAAAAATTTTTAAAAAAACAACAGTAATATGATATATTACGTAATGAAAGAAATCGATTGAATGATTTAATAAATACAAAAAAAAAATTTAAAAAATAAACAAAAAATAAATAAAAACAAAAATTATTCCATTCAATTATGAATTTAATGAGATAATTGAATTTTATCATTATTTAATAACTAATTGTAATCCTTGTATTCTTCTTATTTATAAAGAATATATATATATATAGTTTACGTACATTGTGAATTCATGTATTATTATTATTGTTATTGTTATAACTTGTGATGTTGTGCCCCTATCAATATTTATTTATTTGAAGGGGTTTTTCTGGATATTATAGTAATTGTAATTATTAAGATCATGAGTCAGTTGAAGTTAGTCTACCATGGAAAACCTGGAAGCACCAGACCATTGAGTTCGAATCTCGCGGAGAGGAGAGTCCTACAATAGCACAAAACGGCCGTCCAATGCTTCCAGGTTTTCCATGGTTGTCTAACTTCAATTGACTCATGATCTTAATCATTGAAATCATTATAATATTTCACTGGTTGAATTGATGAATTCATTGAAGCTAGACCACCATGGAAATCCTGGAAGCACTGGACGGCCGTTTCGTCCTAGTATGGGACTCCTCAACAGTGCGCATCCACGATCCCGCTCCTCGCGAGGAGTCCCATACTAGGACGAAACGGCCGTCCAGTGCTTTCAGGTCTAGCTTCAATGGATTCATGATTTCAACCAGTGAAATTTCTAAAATCTCCACACAATCCCTTCTCATTATAATATTTACAAAACCCTTCTGATATTAGTTAATTTAACTTGAAAATCTTTACTATATTTTTATACATAATCGATAAATGTCATTAACCAAACTATTGAAATTTTCAACTCATCAGATGATGTACTATTTTGCTTGACCTGAATTCGATAAATAAAGAAAAAAAATTTTTTTTTCAATAAAAAAAACAACAAAACAATCACTGATTCAAATTTAATTCAATATGTGTCGAACATGTAGAAAGCTAGTAATCAATGTTCACACGTACATACACTCAGCCACACGTACACACACACACACACCTGTACCTCCTATTATATATATATATATATATACACAAACAAGTACAAACGATTGTGTCATTAGAAGATGGAATTGATTTGATAAATGTGATATATTTTCATGATACATTTTGAATAAAAAATAATTAATTAGTTACTAGTTAGTAATCATGATAAACCATGACAACTGTAAGTTCAAATTGTCAACGAGTGACTATATGAAAAGATAATAATAATAATAATAATAATAATAATAATAATAATGAATTACATAATATGAATTAACATATTTAACGGATTATCTTGTATTTCTATAAACTAAATAAGATTTAATTAATATTTACAAATGAATTAAATAGTGGTATAGTATGAAATTGAAACAATACTGATTATAGATAAATTATATTATATGTAGTAATTTAAATAATTAAATTGATAAGAACTTACAATCATTAAATGATTGTTTCGTTCGGATATAAGACTCCTAATGAACAGAGAGCGTTCACGGACATTCATGGGAGAGTTGAACTTAGAAGTTTCAGTCTCGTAACAGAATACTTCATCTTTAGACCAATGAATCAATAAACCATGGTGTTAATGTCTAACTTTAATCGATCCATGACCTTGCTTAATCCATTCATCTATTATATAAGATGGATAATTATCTCTATACGACACGGATTAAACATAACTGGTTACTATGTCTCATTATAACTCAAGGAAATCCATTTGGAAGCTAGTCACTAGTGAGCTTATGATTATTTGTACTTGTAAACTGTCTTTTGATAGATAATAAATGTGTTTTCATTTATACATTTAGTATGGTAAATATTAGTAGACTTAAATGTATTCCATTTGTAAAAGTTAGTAAGGTATAAAACATCATAAAAATTTCCCTTGTCAATATATTTGACTAAAGTATGAATAATAGACGTGGAACCAGTCAGTAAGTCAATTACAACGTAGAACCTGTGCATATGTCCATGTGTTGAAGTTTCAATATCCCTTTAATTTAGACAGATCAAATTGTCAGGTGAAATCTCAGAAAAGTAGAGGTAGTAACAGTATCCGAGGTTATATGAAAGATTAAGCATCAAAGATACAATTCAAAACCTATAGATCACTAGGCTAATAAACAACGGTGTTAATGTCCAACTTCAATCGATCCATGACCTTGCTCAACCCATTCATCCATTATTTCAGATGGGTAACTATCTCCACCTGACACGTAATTAATGAAATAAACATACAATAAAGGTTGTGATAAATTCAGAAGCTTATGTATATCTATTTTTAGCTTTCTTACTGAATCATTTGACATTTAATACAAGTATTCACTAGCATACATTAGAATTGTCTCCATCGAAGTATTGTCTAAATCTAGGAGGATTACTAACAAACGATGATCGATCATAGCTACCTAAGACATACTTCTACTCATTATAAATTAATATTCATAAGAGAAAAACAAACTTAATTGATGTAATGTATTCAACTAACTAACGTAATAACTTACAACATATACTCAGATGTCTGTAATACTAACTATGCACCAATTGCACATTTTGAATATACAGAAACCACACATGGAATACATAGATAGTTGTTTCTTAAATGGGTTTTTTACTTATTTATTTGTTTGAACAAATAAATTTTGGTAAAAAGGGGCACCAAATAGATATGCGCGACATAAATCATTCGATTTGATACTGCCTGGATACTCAGACTGAAGCAGGTCGTTTTCATAGAGGGCCACTTCACAAGCCCTTGACCGAATAGTCTAATCTACAAGACAGGAGCAACATTAGGATGATGCAGTTCCATAGTAGCTGATGACCAACAGTAGATTCATACTCTATTTGTTCCATCAGGATCGTGAAATCTATGTACACCATTGATTTGGAATCAGAATTTCCAACTCCCCTATTTAAATCCTCTATATCCACCACTCATCGTGTCCACCAAACCGGTTAAAGTACTGGACATTCGCTTTTTGTCCTCTTAATTTCGTAAATAACACCTATGGTGCGAGAAGGCAATGAGTAAGACTTCCCTGACAGTAACTGTATATGCGTGTCTATGTGAGAGCGTTTCGAGTAACAAGAAGCGGTCGTCTAGTGATTTCACGTCTAACATTAATCGACTCATGAATTCAACCATTAAAAGTAAATACATGCTTTTCATAATTATGGTTATTTTAAACAAAATTACACATCTGCTTAACATGTAATAATAACATTCATAATAATAATAATAATAATAATAATAATAATAATAATACATGACTTCATCATTTCACACAAATAGTAAAACATGAACTACTTATCTGGAACAAAGGAAAATAGTCTTACATGTAGAGTTACACAAATGGATACGTAGACAGATAGATTCTTTACTAACATACACAGAAATGTGACATAATTTGTGGTTTTAATAAATAGAAAAACGAAAAAGAATATGATGAAGTGAACAGTTCAACCTTTGGACTTAATATCAAATAAATCAACGAACAATTATGAGATTAATATAGTAATCTATGTTAGTTCCATACACACTTAGATAATAAAAGATATATATGTATTTTCAATAGTTGAGATCATGTATCAATTAAAGCTAAACCAATATGCAAAACCTGGAAACACTGGATGACCTGTTTCGTCCCATTTGTGGGACTTCTTGGCAGGGCTCATTTACAATCCCGCCTTGTGAGATTCGAACCCAGGACCTATATAATAGATAGGTCAAATTACAAGATATATAATTAAAGTAGTCCGCTGTGTCATTGAAAAAATAATAAAGGTGATTCATTGAAGAGAATTATCTTTTGGACGACCCAATAATTCAAGCCGGGACTCTATGTACAAAAGCAGTACGTCGAATCTCTTATCCTTCCTTAGCCCTAATTCCCTTCTTCAATGTTCTTTGATCTTGTTTTACATCTGTTATTATTATTATTATGTATTCTGTTAAATCATAATCAGTTATTATTATCTGCTAACAATTTCCCATGATTATTATGACCATCACGTTTTCTATTTCTTCTACATATCTGTTAAGTGGACAATTATCTTTCATATTTCTGATCCATAAATTATTTTCATCCACCTATTCTTCTCTAACCTCCTTATTATTACGCAATCTACCTTAGATATTTGATATCACAAATTGTATTATGATCCTGATGTGTGGGTGAGTATGATAATGATTGGTTGTTTATTTAGTCAGACTTGTAGATAGTTCGACGGGCGTTAGATCAGTTATAAATTTTCCTATCCTTATTATTGATTATTGATTGTTATTGGATTGTGTCGGTTTGCTTTCGGATTTTGATGTGGAAATGTATTTACGTTCTAGTCGGACTAATCATGTGTCCTTGATCTGAGTCGTGATAAAGTCTTGTAGAATAGACACTAGGAGGGTATCTAATGTAGATATTCGTTTAAGGTAAATCAATGTCTCATTCGTGTAGACAAAGAAAAATAGAGTTACAACAGATCCAATCTCTTATACCCTTCTATTAAGTTATATATTTACCAAACAACTATAAATACAAATGTACAACTTAAGTAAAATGATGTCGTCGTTAAAAAATCTCTTTATTTTCATTCACTAGTACAGTTTTCATTCTCCAGTCTAACATTTTAAAGTTTCTCCACACCTGCTATTACTCTACTTAGCTTTATATGATATAAAGTAGTCTGTACATTGATCGTAAATAATGATTACTATCGGCTAATTAGACTGAGTAGCTAATTGGATAACGGGATGTCGTTTGAAGCGAACAGTAATGGGTTTGAGTCTCAGAGTGAACATGCAATCACATCCAACTGACGAGTCCCAACTAGAACAAAACATGGGTCCTGAATTCCATCACTAGCCACCGTCCACCTTTATTTACAATGTTCGTGAGTAAATACAATAAATGAGTTCAATAATTACTATTATTTCAAACAAATAACACAAATCTATCAAATAAATAAATTTACCTTATTCTACTACATTTGT